TTAAGGTCAGGACAGCGAAAAGAGTATGCACTCTGTCTCTGTAAAGTCTGCAACGTAATTTATTGTCTTTGTATTTGTGTTTAGACAGTTCCATGAGTTTATTACCCTTATGATTCTTACCAACAATGTAGGACATAACAGGAGATGCTTTTTCACCCATAGGATTATAAACCTATGGAACTGCCTGCCCACCAAAGCCAAAATACTGCTGAATTTTAAACTCCAACTCAATAAAAACATCAGGTATGACTTTTGACAATCTACTGACTTCCTCTCCTTGTCGAGGCCACTAGTGACGTAGTAGCTCTCGAGTACATTTCCAGTAAATTAATGAAAAGTCCTCCTTGCTGCCAGCACAGCTCTTAGTAATAGATTAGTTAGTTTAGGATAGGATAATGACTGTCAAATTGATAAGGGTGTGAAATGACCAGAAACATTCAATAAATAAATAAATGTTTATTTAGGTAAGGTACACACATACAAGAGATTTTACAAAGAATGATGGATTTCTAGATAGGGCAAGTACATACAATCCCTAAAGCCACTATTACGCAAAGGGTTTCGGGCATGAAAAACTTAAATGACTAAAGCTTAATACTAATTGAGCATAAAGAGTAAAATGAAAACATGGAATGAAAACATAGCTGAAAAAGCAGCACAAATACAATTCTGTCGACAAACAGCGCTCTTAAAAAAAAAAAAACAGACATTGGTTGACAATAGAGGGGTAAGGTAGGTTACAGGGAATTTATTAGGTATAGCTTCGTTTTTATCTTAAACTGGTTGAGAGAGGTACAGTCTTTAACATGGTTGGGAAGGTCATTCTACATTCTGGGTCCCTTGATTAGTAGAGCATTTCTAGTTTGATTAAGTCGTACTCTAGGAATATCAAGACGGTATTTATTTCTGGTGTGGTGCTCATGGGTTCTGTTACAACCTTCTATGAAGCCTTTGAGGTCAGGATTGGCATTACAGTTCAGCATTTTATATATGTATAATACACATGAGAGAATGTGCAGTGACTTAATGTCTAACATATTCAGAGATTTGAGTAGGGGTACCGAGTGATGTCTGGGGCCAGAGTTGGATATTGTCCTAATAGCAGCTTTGTGTTTAGTAATTAGAGGACGTAAATGATTTTGGGTAGTAGAACCCCAAGCTCAAATACCATAGTTGAGATATGGATAGATGAGGGAGTAATAGAGAGTCACCAGGGCAGGGCGTGGTACATAATATCTGATCTTAGAAAGAATGCCAACAGTTTTTGAAACTTTTTTTGATATATTTAGAATGTGTCCCTGGAAATTCAGCTTGGTTAACTAATCAATTCTATTAAGCATTCGAAGATGAACATGAAATGGACTTATCATAGTAATGTTGTTATATATTTTATTGTGTCGGGGGAGAGGCAGCCAGTTCATACATATATTATATGTTAGGTTTATATCCAAAGGATACCTGATCAACCAGGCTGTGACTCATACGTCAGGCTGCGAGCAGCCGCGTCCAAAAGCCTGGTTGATCAGTCCGGCAACCAGGAGGCCTGGTCGACGACCGGGCCGCGGGGACGCTAAGCCCCGGTAGCACCTCAAGGTAACCTCAAGGTAGGTATATCAACCCCCATGTCCCAGGGTTGAATTTACTGACCAGGATGTAACCCCACAACTAGCTGACTATCTCATGGCTACTACCTATTTACTGCTAGGTGGATAGGAGCATTAGGTGAAAAGAAACATGCCCAACTATTTCTGTCCTGCCTGGGATTCGAACCCGGAATTCTTGATTGAGAGTCGAGAGCGAACCTGAATGCACTACCGGGACTTGTGTTAGTAGTACAGTACAGTACTGTGTCTTGTTACAGATATGGGTATCTCTCGTAGGCTCCAAGTTGCCAAGCTCATGCATTGAATGCAAAGTAGAGAAATAGTGTTTTGCCGGAAAATCCAAAAATTTATACTGTAGTTTTCTTTGCGACCAACATTGTTATATAAATCCATTGTTAAAGTAATCCCATCTCGCCATCATCTGTTATCTTAAGGTAATCTCAATCCTCTCTACCATTTGTGATAATAATTTGATAATTCATTTTGTCGTGGGGACAGGCAGCCTGTGTACATCTCCCAATCAGTTTAACAGAGACTGAGAAATATTTACTTACTATAATGTAACTAATTTCACTCACATTTCCACACCAAACAACAAAAACAAAAATCATCCCAGAACCAAGTCAACTCTCACACAGTACCAGGAACGGTTGAGGGCCACAGGGCTAACAACACCGCAACCCAGAATTACAGGATAGATCTCAATGAAATCTTTAAAAACCGAACAAATTAGAGGATATTGATCCACACAATTTCTTCAAAAGTCAGGTATAACAGGAATGAGGAGCAACGGTTTCACACTCAACAAATCACAATGTAGGACTGAGAACAGGAGATTCTTTTTCACCCACGGGGTTATAAACCCATGGAACTGCCTACCCGCTGAAGCTTTAAATGCCAAAAAACTTGTATTTTACAATCCTGGTAGAAAAAATCATCAGAACAAATGGGGGGGACCTTTGACAAGCTGTTAGCTTTCTGCCCTTTTCAAGGCTACTAATGTTATTGGGTAAAATTCAGGTAAATAAATACGTACAGTATACATTTTCTAAATATAGACATTTAGAAAATGCCCAAGCACTTTAATGTCATTTAACACATTTTATTGGCTTTATATATTACTTTTAGGCTTGTTGAGCAGTAGCAAACAATATAAATAAATAAATAAAATAAATAAATATGTTTATTCAGGTAAGGTACATACATACAAGTGATGTTACATTAATGGATTGATATATAGATAGAGCTAGTACATACAATGCCTAAAGCCACTATTACGCAATGCGTTTCGGGCAAGAAAAACATTAATATCTAGAACTTAATACTAATTGAGCATAAAGAATAAAAAGTGTTGAAAACAAATACAAATAAAGATAAAAAAAGGGGGAACATGACTGAAAAAGCAGCACAAATACAATAGGTTGACAAACAGTGTTGATTAAAAAAAAATATAATAATAATAAAATAAAATAACAGACATGGGTTGACAATAAAGGAGTGAGGTGGGTTACAGGGAATTTATTAGGTATTGTTTAGTTTTTATCTTAAACTGGTTGAGAGAGGTACAGTCTTTAACATGGTTGGGAAGGTCATTCCACATTCTGGGTGGATGTCCAGAATGTCCAAGGATGCTGAGTTGGTGGATGTAGCAGCTACTGTTTATGGTAAGAAACATAGTTTGTGAATTATTTATTTAATCTCTTTTGCACTGGTGAATGATTGGAAATTAGAATTCTGTCATTGTGAAGAGGACTTGGATAGGCATATAAAGTACTGTATCTTCCATGTATACAATATGTTATATTTCTATCATCTCCTTTCTAGAGAGTATATTTTGAGTTCTCTGAGAGTTCCCATATTTTAGTTGCTTTATTGTGTTTATGCATGCTCTTTAACTCTCATTGGAGTTTGGTGGATGGTCTGGATGGTGTGTTGCTAAATCAGGTGGGTGACCTTCCATCTCAATATCAGCCATATTCCTTCTCTGCTTCCATACTGGTGCATTTCTGGGTCACAGTGAGCAGCCTGGATCTACACCCTTTAATCTTTATTCAGGTTTCATCATCTGTTGTTCCCCAAGCTTTGGCTCGGGTAGACTTGCTTTGATTGCTGTTGTGGGACCAAAACCATGTATCTGAGATATACCTGAGCCACACACTTTGGAATATACCAAGGTAGCTTGTCCCGAAAAGTAACTTAACCCTTAGACAGCAGCTGTGGAGAAATGGTCATACCTGCCTATGCACAAAATATTAAAAAAATGGAACAAATCATTTTTCATTATAGAATTATTAATTTGTATAAGAAAAATGCAAAAATAAGGGAATATTTATAGTTTCACTGGGTGGAGGCGCTCTGCAAGGCAGCGTCTGGGATTTGTCGATGCCTGGTTTCTATGCTTTCTCTATGCTTTCTATGCTTTGCTTTTATGCTTTTAAAGCTTCTATGCTTTCTGGTTTCTATGCTTTCTTTTTCTATGCTTCGATGCCTTGCCTTCTATGCTGACACTTTCTGTTTTATCCTCTGATGTTTCACTGATTGTTTTATCACTTTTTTCTTTATTTACATCCACAGAGAACTTTTATATCCTAATTATCATCATACATGTAAAACCCAGACAATAATTGTTTAAATTGTCATATGACGATGATCGCATTCCCCTAGTAACATTCATGATGATAACTGCAATTGTACAATGTAATGGTACTAGGAATAATGGTCCATAATATACCTTTTATATCTATATTTACATCATAAATATAAAATCCAGATAATAATTTGTTAAATCTTCATATGATGATACAGTAAACTGCATTACCCTGTGACTCAACATTGACTGTAACTGCTGTCGAAGGGTTGGGTTAAGTAGCTGAATACTGATAACCTTTCCCTACACAATTTGTTTGTTTAAAAGGTATGCTTTATACTGAACTAATAGATTGTGTAACATTATTACCAGTTTGAACAGTTGACGTGAACATTATGACACTCATAAGTGTAATAAAATATATTGTGCATAATTTTTAGTTAAGTCTGTTTAAATAACAGACTCTATGGAAGATAAAATAAGAGGGAGTATAATGAGTTGAAGAGTGATGGAAAAAGTGAATAGTAATGTATAATGAAAGGATGGAATGTTAGCATGGAAGTTAAGAAAGGCCTGAGAGAGAAGTATACTACTCCAGCCTTAACATGTGGAAGTTAAACTTGAGTATTGTTTGACTGTTTTGATGCCTTGTTTTCTGTGAACTTTGCAGTTGTTTGTGTTGCTTTGTTTACTTCTACATGATGATTCTTTGTCAACTGTCTTTTAACAGATGCATTACGAACAGTTCGAGATCCAGAAAAAGATGCTACACTAGAAGATTTGGATGTCATAAAAGAAGAAGGAATTAAGGTAAACTATTAAAAGGAGACAGTATAAGGAAGATTATATCAGAAGAATGCAAGAAATTGTTGAAGTTATAAGGTTGTAAAATTATGACGGATTTGATAAAATAAGAGCATAGCTTTAATTTTGTCTAGCTTCACTGGTAAGTTTTCTCTCACAACACATCAATATTAAACATGTGTGTATTTAAATGTCTTGACTGTTTAACCTTTGGACAGCGGCTATGGCCATAAACACAGTATGGTCATAAAAATAACCAAAAAATTTAACAAAAACAATGTGCAAAAAAATAAAAAAAAATCCCCCCCCCCAATCTTCATTATAGAATGCAGAATATAAGAAAAACTCGAAAATAAGGGAATATTTATAGTTTCACTGGATGGAGGCACTCTGCAAGGCTGCGTCTGGTACTTGTCAATGCCTGGTGCTCGGCTATGTTAACACGTCCCGTTTTATCCTTGGATGTTTCACTAATTGTTTTATCACTTTTTTTATTTACATTTATTTACAGAGAGCTATTATACAGTATCTATATTTGAATCATATATGTAAAACACAGACAATAATTGTTTAAATCATCATATGACAATGATTGCATTCCCATAGTAATATTCATGATGATGATTACATTCATACCATGAAATGGTAGCAGGATTTTTTCCTGGATCAAGGTAAACTCCATTACATACACATAGACCTATTATATCCATATTTGCATCATACGTATAAAACAAAGACAGTAATTGTTTAAATCTTCATATGATGATACCCACATTACCCTGTAAATCGACAATTAATGATGTCTGCAGCCTGAGGGTTAAATAATTGAATCGTCTGCCTTACCATGTTTTACCAAATCTTTCTTAACATTTTTACAATTTTGTACACTACAACTTCCTTACATTTAGACACATGCTATACTTCTCCTCAATTCACTTCACCTCCAGTCAATTCACCCACCTCCTGCTTACCCTAATTATGCACAGTATTACATAATGACCTGACCCCCACAAACATTCCTCTCACAACACTCGCAACTTATACATCTTGTACGAATACATATTTACCAGTCATTAAAATTTTCCTCAATTTCTTCCCTTCCTTTAACCTCCATGTATACCTGCATATAAACCTATGCTTAAAAAAGTATTTGAGAAAAATAAACACCTCTTAACACATATCCACCAAGAAATCCCTATTACCATTTACACCTGGCACACCCTACTCCCAACACCCGTGCCTGTGTATTCATTACCCTCCCTAGCATATATATCCTCGGCACAAGATCTACTACTGTACCATCTTGTTGCGTCTCCACAAAATCATTCGGTTAATTCCAGAACTACTCCATATTATTCTTCTTGTAACATTTGATTTGTGGTGGTAAATTGTATGTACTTATGGGAAGTGTTTGATAATAATGGGAGTATGGAAGATAAAATAAGAGGGAGTATAATGAGTTGAAAAGTGATGGGAAAAGTGAATAGTAATGAATAATGAAAGGATGGAACGTTAGCATGGAAGTTAAGAAAGGCCTGAGAGAGAAGTATACTACTCCCAGCTTTAACAAATGGAAGTTAAACTTGAGTATTGTTTGGCTGTTTTGATGCTTTGTTTCATCTGAACTTTGCACTTGTTTGTATTGCTTTGTTTACTTTCTGGATATTTTCTCGGTGAGAGTGATCATACTAATCCTCTGCTCCCTGTGCCTCTGTAAGGGGGGGGCCAAAGTTTGGCTCTGGTCCCAGTAGGCCATATAGAATTCCTATGGCTGATGTGACTCAGTGGTGAGAAGCCATCTCAATGAGATAGCTTCAGGGAACCACCAAGAGACTTCTCCAGAAAGAGGTGTTTCATTACATTCATTGACTTTTTTTTTGCATTGACTAATCTATCTTCATACCTTTTGCTCACATATTCATATTTATGTGCCCCTCATTTACTTTGTATCTACAAAATTCATAAATTTTTCTTGTTATTAATTGCTCACTTCCTCACCCCACCCACCAATTCATTGTACAGCATTCTTCTAGCAATTTGTGCAACTGCACAAACATTTCCATGACATTCTTAAGCAAACATTCCTTGTATACATCTCAAATGTCACTGAGGTTCATTTGTTCATATCCTCTTTCTCCAAGATTACATTACATTCAACTCTTGTACTCATCTACCAATTCTCTCACTTGTTTCAGGTGACAAGGTTAAATCACGACAAGTTCTTGATTAATATCGAATTTGTTCCAACTGTTCCTCATTGTTCTCTGGCTACATTGATTGGCCTATGTATAAGGGTCAAATTAAGTAGAAGTTTAGTGTGTCCATACAAGGCTGACATCAATATTGCACCTGGCACTCACAACACAGAAGTGGAAGGTGAGTGTTGCATACAGTGTTTGTCGCATTATCATTTCTTCATTTAGATGATATAACTGAAACTTTCTGTTTAGACATAATGGTGCTACATAATCTCCTTGGCTTGGTGCCTTCTTTTGATAATTCCTTACTTAATTACCTTTTTGACATGATTGTATAAAGAAAATTTTGATTTTGGTGAGTTTTATAGATTTACTACAACAATATTAGCATGTATATCTCACTTTCTTTTAAATTTTCAGTGAATAAACAAATCAATGATAAAGAGAGAGTGGCAGCAGCACTGGAGAATCCAAACCTTTCTAAAGTAGTGGAGGAGTGCCTGACAGATCGAGACTGCTAGATTCAAAATTTATACGGGAAATGTCATTATTTAGATATTCTGCAATAGGATTTTGTACTTTAGTTGGCAGTGAAGTAATTATACGGTGTCTAAAGAACATTTACTGTTATTTTGTTCATCATAAACTATTTGAAAATCATGCTAACTTTAACACTGTGACTGAGAATTCAATGATGTTCAGTGAAGTTATTTTCTTTCCTGATTATGGTATTGTGTCAGAAACCCAATATAAAGTGCAGGACCACAGTACAAACTTTAGCTGGTCAAAGAATGATAATGCACCACAGTCACAGTCTTCTGAAGGCAAGAAACCCTCTAGAATTCCTAATAGGGAAGACACTAAACCATCTGCTTGTTTAAGGAAAGGTAATGGTAATCAAGATGTTCAGTGGGAATTAAAAAGAAATGCTTTTCTCATCCCAAAGCCTATGTTTAACACTCATAGCAGCACCAGTCAACAAAAGGAAGTTGTAAGTTTGAAAACAAAGAAACAAAATAATTTCTCAAGTGTAAGTGAATGTAATGGTGAGGATAACTTTGAGTGTGACCTTAAGAGCAACCCCTTTCTAATCCCTTGCACTCTGAACCTGACCAGCCATCACCATGATGTACCAACAAGTCATAATGGACAAATACATAACACTGAAGCTATTGAAAATAAAATCTTCAAGCCATATGGCTATCTGAAGAGAAGCACATCACTCATCCATATAATAAACGCTTTGGAATCAGCCAAAAGATCTCTAAGTATATGCATTTATGTTTTAACATGCAAGGACCTTCTGGATGCTGTTGTAAGAGCAAAGGTTAGTTGTTGAAGTGAATATGAGATTAAGTAGTCATAATGTGTTAGTGTGTGGTTAAGGGAAAGTTGATATGAAGTGAAAGAACAAAGAGGAGAGAATGAGAGATAGACTGTGTATGTGTAATTACTAAAGTGTAGTTCCAGGATGAGAGCTTTGTTCATGGTGTCCCGTCTTCCCTATAATCTGTCATGTTGACCAGACCACACACTAGAAGGTGAAGGGAAGATGACATTTCGGTCCGTCCCTTCCCCTTCTAGTGTGTGGTCTGGTCAACATACTTCAGCTAGGTTATTGTGACTCATCGCCTGCATCTTTGTCATATGATGCTTTAAAACTATTGATGGTTTTTGGCATCCACCTCGCTTAAATTGTTCCAACCATTCTATTATTCTATGTTTGTATATTTTGTCAGTGCTTTTGTTTTCTTGTTTGAATCTATGGCCTCATGTTCTTGAAATTGTAGGTTTAAGAAATGCTTTCTTTTCAATGTGTCAATTCCTGTTACTATTTTGTATGTGGTGATCTTTTCACCTCTTTTCCCTCCTGTCTTCCAGCTTTGGCATATTTAGTGCTTCTAACCTCTCCTCATAGCTCGTTTTTCAGTTGATATCTCTTGCATCTTTTTTTGTTCTTTTATTGGTATCTTTAGTGATAATTTTTAACATTTCATGACAGAGGTGGCACCACATAGTTTCCTCAGCTTGGTGCCTTCTTTTTGACAACTACTTGAGTGGTATCCTCTTTGGAATACTGCATCCTCTATTGTGTTTGTCAGCCTATCGTCTTAAGTTTTTAATGACAACTGTAATTAAACCCTTATCTCTTGACTTATGCACCGGTCTTGATGGAGTCATTCCCCGTAAGCAAATTCAGTTTTTACTTGCTGCTCAAATTCTATGATATTTATTTAGTGGCTTAATGTACATGGGTCAGTTGTTGGCCACAGTTATTTATATCATCACATTTTCAGTTGCTGTCAAATAATAATACTATTAATTTTAAGCAATTTGCCTTAGAAATGATATATAATAATAATATATATGAGTAGAGAATCTCTTATCACACGTTTCTCATCCTCAGCAACGTGGTGTTAGAGTGAGAGTGCTTTTAGAGACAGAAATGGCAAGTTCCAGCGAGGTTGCCATCAAAGTCTTTCACAAACACAATATATTGTTTCGATGCAGCAAACCCGCTCTTCTTATGCACCACAAATTTGCTGTGATAGATGCTCCAGAACAACAATTCACCGCTGCCTCTTCTGATACATATGTAGAAAGGAAACAAAAACTTATTAACAGTGAACAATGTGAAGTAGATCATAATTATTTGAAGGATAGAAATCATACAGGATCCATTGTACATTCTAGACTTTCAAATCTGTGGAAAAAGAATGAAACTTATAAATTCTTCTCAAAGTTGTTCAGCCAGTGTAAGACTCCTGCAGTTAAAGCACCTCAAAATTACACTTGTGATGGGGTGTTGTTGACTGGATCGTTTAACTGGACTTGGAGTGCAGTTATCAGTAACAATGAAAACGTCATTATTACCAATCATCCACAATTAGTGAACAAATTTGCTCATGAATTTGAGAACCTCTGGACAAATCTGGACAGATAACTATACAACTGTGATTTATAAAAGATTATAATTGAAAACAAACATTGACATAAGAAAATTACTTGGTATTATGGATATGTTTTTAAGATTTTCTGTACATTTATTCCCAACCGGACAATTTTTTTCTGTTGTGTAATTGGAGTCATTTGCACTATTAGTGCATTTTCCTATCATGGCTCTCTTCACATATTTGAATATTGTTGGTAAATATTATTGTAGTTTTTTGGAGTCTTCAACTAATATTAGTTGGAGTAAATAATAAAGATATTAGTTGTAATCACCAGTAGAAATGCTGTAGTTTCAAGATGAAATCACATTAGTAACTATGTATGACTCATGTCAATAAATTTTAGTTGGGTGAATTAATTTGGCAGCTTTCCTAGATAAAAATGGTGCCTTAATTCATTCTTTAGCAAATTATTTTTTCTTGTAGGTTGTGAATCACATTTTGTTTGTGTATCACCGTTCCTGGTTGGAACTTTACTCGGTTTATCATTTTCACAAAAATCCTACCACAATCTCTTAAGTCTTTGCAAAACTAACCATGGAGAAAATTTCAGACACACACACATACAGTATAACAGACTGTATGATACAAAACTCAAGATGAGGTGAGCTTCCAATTATAATTCTACTCTAGTACTGTACTTTGTCAGTAAAATAAAAGTGAGCGAGCAAGTGCTAACTGTGAGCAGTAAACCCATCATTGTGGAAACATTGATTTCATTATTTCAATACCATTGGGATTACAATCAGCAGCTTATCAGTCTTTTTGTAAGGATTAATGAAGATGAGTAATTCAAAATCTTTTAAAATAGATCATTCCAATTGTCTTTGAAGCATTTTACAGAGAGTTCATTTCAAAAAACTAAGTAATAGGTCAGTTGACTCGTGTACATATGTTTATTATTGAATAAAATGGGCCATAACTATTTCTGCTTTTTGTATAATTTAGCAACACCACTTTTCACTCGTATGTCCTTCATATTCATCAGCAAGATGACCAGGCAGAACAGCCAGAAGATGTTGAAGTAAGACAGCTGGGAAGCTCAGCCCTGAAATACATGGGCATTTGGCCCACGAATAACCAGGGGTCAGATTCACGAAAGCACTTATGCAAACATTTACGAACCTGTACATCTTTTCTCAATCTTTGGCGGCTTTGTTTCCAATTATTAAACAGTTAATGAGCTCCGAAGCACCAGGAGACTGTTTATAACTATAACAACAGTTGAATGGGAAGTTTTCATGCTTGTAAACTGTTTAATAAATGTAACTAAAGCCGTCAAAGATTGAGGAAAGATGTACACGCTCGTAAGTGCTTCCGTAAGTGCTTTCGTGAATCTGGCCCCTGGTCTAAAGACAGAGAACAGTGTCCTGAAACCACACTGCCCAACACACCAGTGTAGATACACAGTTCAGCACTACAGAAGCGCCAGAGCCCGGATAATTCACTTTTCTGCCCCACAAACCTAGACTATTCAATGTAAAAGCCCACAAAAGAAGGTAAAGGGAGAAAAAAAGATGGCAATGAAACCCCTTTAGCACAGCCCAACAATCACCAGAACAGCTGATCAATAGATAGAAAACAAAAAAACATCCATAGAGGTATACCTCCACAAACAGCAATGAACCAAAAAGACACTAAAGTTTCTCAAGCTCTGTTGGGCACCAAAGCCAGGCCCATCATCAAGTATTTTGGCACAAAAATCCAGCTCCCAATAAACACTTGCATTAAGAAGCTGCCACACATGCAAGAAATGCACAGGGCCAGGCACCTGACCCTTAACAAAGAGCTAAATGCAACTGGGGAATCAGACAACTTCAAATCACCATCAGCCTTTGCCTCTGGAGAGAGAATGCCTCAGGATAGAGCAAACATACCCCTCCAGACACACAAGCCCTCAGAAAATGAGACAGCATTGACTGGGATAGACCCTCACACCCCAGGATACTGAGCTCCAAAATATGCAAATAAATTATTGTGAAATGAAGGGGTAGGGGGAAAAAGCGGTAGCAGCTTTTATCACCATCCCAGACTGGGCATCAGGAGCAACTAACAAAACCAACCACTGAACTTCCACCACATAAAACAACTGGGAACTGTTGCCTGGATCCAAAAGAGGTAATACAAACAAAACTAGGAAGCACAGGCCACTGTGCAACTGCTGCCTGGAAAACATTCCTGAAGCACTGTGCAAGTCTTCAGAGTTGGAAAACCCTTCAAGTCATCAGGTGTATTGAAATAGTGATTCCCCACCTGGCTAGTACAGTAGTATGCAGAATCACTATTACTGCACCACAGTCATAAGTGATGCAAATGTGTACACCAAAAGTAAAAAGGCATGCTACAAAATGGCTTGCAGAACTGAAAAACAAGAATTACGAAAGAGAGGCTAGAAGCGTTAAATATACCAAAACTAGAAGATAGAAGAAAAAAAAAAGAGGCAATATGATCATAGTAACAAGAATCAACCAAATTGACAAAGAGGAATTTGTAAAAATGGCAACCTCAAGAACAAGAGGTCACAGATTTAATCTAAGAAAACAAAGGTGCTGAAGAAATATTAAAAAGTTTTCTTTTCCAAATAGAGTAATAGATGGTTGGAACAAATTAAGCGAGAAAGTGATGGAGGCCTAAAACATCAGTTGTTTCAAAGCGTATGTGACAGATTGTTGGGAAAACAGGACATCACGAGCATAGCTCTCATCCTGTAACTATGCTCAGGTATTTACGCTTGGGTAATTACACTTAGGTAATTGCAGTGGCCTGGAAAAGCCATCAACCATAAAGTCCAACAGCAACAATATTACAAATCTGAGTGCAAAAGGACAACTGACCTCAGCAGGAAGTGATGGAGATGGCAAGAGTACCCTAGACACACTGATACATTCTAAAAAACAAAAAATGCAGCTGTTACAAGTCTGAAGACAGGTACAACCATACTCATCTGCCAAAAATTATACCCAAGGAGATAAAACCGACATTTCTTTGTAGACCAACAGGGAAGCCGAGTGCAGACAACATATCTGTGAAACACACCAAATCATGACCACATATCAGTCACATGGTGAAAGGAGGCACATAAGTTGCCAGAAGCACACAGTCAACCAAAGTGTCGGATAAATTTGCTCCAAGAGCGCACAAGACCCAAAAGGCCTCACAGAATGGCAAAGGGAAATACTGTAACTCAAGAGGAGGCAACCCTAATCCTGGAGGGGGGGGGAGGGGCAGGGGTAATATAAATTGGCTACCAGAGAAGATAACTGGCCACCACAGTCAGAGCAAACTGAAAACTCTGGGAAAATGCAAAGTGGGTGGTATGTAACACACATGAAACAATGCAAGCAATGGCCCCACACAACTATTGTTCCAGGGATAGCCAATACCATTTACTGTATCTTAAAGCCAATATGAACCAAGTGTTCCAGTATACACCAGGCTCGTGAAAAAGCTTGGTGGGGGGGGGGGGAAGTCCCCCTAGGCTGCTCTCTGGAGGCAGTCAAGTGTATTTAGGCAGTGATTTTGTCGAGTAATGATTGTTTACTGTACTTTGTTATCATCCAAGTCATAAATTCTTCCAAGCAATTGTTTCTTTTGGAATGCTGATTTAGTATCTAGTGGGATTTTCTTAATACTGTGATCTCTCAACACTCCATTTATCTTTTATGAGTGGACCAGATTCTGGTTGGGGCTCCTGGGAGGTGCTCGTGGGTGTTAATCCTAGTGTGTTCCCCCAAGGTTTGGATGTCTTCTCAAGTTGCAGGATCAGACAGCTACTGAGGGGACCTAGAGAAAAGATGAGAACACTGTCTCAGCGAGACAACAGGAAAAGAACTTCCATGCCATTAAAGTGAGAAACACCATATGGTCTGGGGCGGCTGAATGGGAAGTGTGGGGTGTTGTATGGATAAGTTAACATGGCTGTAAGAAGACTAAACCACACACGAGAAAATAAGGCGACGATGACGACCACTTGATAATGGTCCAGGAAGGACCGAAACGTCGTCTCCTCCTCATTTTCTCGTGTGGTTTAGTCTCCATATATTCAGCCACATTATTGTAACTCATCATCTGCATATGGATGTAAAATTGAAATAAATTAAGATCTTCCTCTTGGGAGATGGACAGTAGGATAAGAACAAATTCACAAGGGCCGTGACGAGGATTCGAACTCGGGAGAGGTTGCAGGATCCAAGTAAATTCAGTAGAATTTCTGGTTGCAATTCTTATACCATGTCATAGCTCAGTCGATTAAGGCAGCGTCTGGGATGCTCTCAGACGTAGGTTCGAATCCTCGTCACGGCCTTTGAGGATTTGTTTATTTGATGCATCACACTATTGTGATTTCTGTGTGTAGGATAAGAATATTAATACCTACTGTAATTAGTTTTCACTAATAAAGCACACTGGACCAAGTGAAGATTACTCAAGTTGAAACATAAAGCTCATAACTTTTTAATAATTTTAATAACCAAAATCTTATTAAAAACACCTATATATATAAAGGCTTACACTATGCCATTCATTTTACATGACAAAAAAATACAAAATAAATAAAACCTTAATTAACTAACACTTAAATTCTGAATTAAAGTTTTACAGAATATAAAGTTTCCACAAACATTTCTCTCAATATGTATATGAATTCACATTAACTGAAATACACAAGCTACAAATGCATTGAAGTGAATACACGTGTGTTAACTGAAATACACATGGAAAATAAATGGAAATACCCTGTATCATATGCAATGTTTAAGATTTTTAATAGTATATGCCAATACTGTAATTTATTGAGAGAGAGAGAACACCGGCTGACAACAGTGTGGTGGTACACGTACAATGCCGAGGACAAGTACAAAGTGGAATGAAAAATGATCACCAGAGGGTGTTATCACATCTGGAAAAGCCTTGGCACAGAAATGGAATAACTGCCTGTGTTTTGTTTTTTAGTAAAAATATAGCTTTAATAGTGGTTGGACAGAATTGTTATTAAAGTAAAACATGTAGATAAATAGTGGTACTGTACATTTATAAGTAATGTTTTATTTATTAATATTATATACACCTATATACACACTAAAATCAGTTTTTACTTCCTAAGACTACGTTTAACTTTGTCCAATAGGTGCCATTAATAAATTTTTTTTCACTATCAATACTGTATTTACATAACTAGAAAATCTTTAATATACTGTATGACATATTAGAGAAACTTTTCTAATACAGTACATGACAATTACGAGAATTTACAATTTCAGACAAATATCAAATTAATCTTAGAATTTTGATACACAGCTGAAGTTTTCATTCACTTAATATCCTCGACTGTCTTGGGCACATTTTATAATCTGAAACAAACATGTACAGTACATAATAGCTGCCTCGGGTGTGTGATCAGTCGTCAGCAGATATTCTAATTACAGTATTATTTATCATTTATAAAATTTCGACACTAAATAAATTACACTTTTACTGCAGTGGAAAATATATGCAATATTATTTTAATTTGTTGATAAAAATACAAAATCATAATTATTGTCTTGCATGTTAGTTAAGGAGGCAAGATTTATTTTAAATTATTCATAATGTATGGTGAATATCCAACAGTGATCTAAAATGAATTTAAAAAATTACAATTAACAAAACCAGAAAGTTAATCATGTTCAAGCAAGTGTATTTTCTTCCTCTCAAAGTTGCCAACTTCCCAAAACTGTCAATCAGGGTTTTGAGGTAATTGTGGTTGTTAGAACACTGTATACCTGTAACACACTTAAGATGCCACCTGTCACACACACACACTCAAGGTGCCACCTGTCACACACGCTCACACTCGAGATGCCACCTGTAGCACACACTCAAGGTGTCACCTGTCACACACACACACACACTCGAGGTGCCACCTATAACACATTTGAGGTACTGTATTATATGAATATGTATTGCTTTATTATTATATAAAACATAATATTCTGCAAACAATGAGCAAAGTTACAACTACTGTAGTTGTATATTTTAAAGCAGAGTATAATAGACACATGCCAAGTGAAGAGAAGCTTCAATCTATAATTTAATACATGATGTATACTGTATGGTCAGCCATCATTACCCACATGTTTAGTATTTGCAAAATTCCCCATTAGCTTTCTACAAAACTTTACTAAATGCAGATGCTGGGTTTACTGTCCATGAGTTGGTGCAGAGTTCACTGTGCTTAACACACACACTTGAAGATACTGTGCTGTGCTGCATCACGACACATTCTATATATTCTGCAAGGCCTGCTGCACCGCAAGATGGCCTCGTGGAGAAAAGAAAGTTCACATGTACGTACTCTCATCTACTTACAAAATGAAATCACATATACAATACAGTATATTATTTGAATTTGTGAATACAGCAATGTATGCATTCATCCTTTGCTATAAGAAAAATCTAGAAAATTAGGTGAAGAGAAAAACAAGGGCCAAATTTTTTGGGAGGAATCCAGATTTCACATAATCGGATCAAAATTGAATGGGTGGTCTTGAACGATTACTAGTTTCCACACACTACTGTAATGTACTGTATAATCTTAAGTTCAATTTTCACAGATAGGTATGTGCCTAGGTTTCCTCAGAACACATCCTTGATGGAGAATGATGGCTGGCCATACTTCTTAGTAGGCAGTGTGATTGATATGAATGGATTTCTGTAACAAACTGTATTTTTCAAACTACAATACAGTATAACATTTTATCAAAATACTTGCATTTTAATAACTACTTACTATATTTATTAAAAATACACTGCAGTGTCAGCTAATATATATATATAATGTTAGTTTAATTTAAAAATTAATATAAATTACATGTATAATATCATAAATCTTTGGTACATATGATGAGATTAATTTAATTAGATTTTGATATAAGGGATTCCATAGTGGTGGGTTGAGGCCAAGAAGAGATGAAGCCACTGGAGGAGTGAGGACAATCACTGGTACACAACACATGCCTCAACCTCTCATTCCCAAACTTACCAACAGTTTGAATTACTGTATGTGTAATCACTTGAAATTTTATGTAAAAAATAATTTTAATTTAAAATTAAAAGGTAAATCAGGTAAAATGGGTAAAATTAATGTCAAAATAAATAATTCAATGCTGCTTATAAATTATGAATACTATAATTCCCATGAGTACTGGTCAACATACTTTAGCCACGTTATTGTGACTCATCGCCTGCAAGCTTGTACAATACAGTAATTAGGTTTATTGAGGTCCCCACGGGCCAAGGCCAACTACTGACCTTCCCCAGGATTCAAACCACAACAAATGTGTACTTCCCAGATACCTCTTTACTGCTAGGTGAACAGAGGCATCAGATGTAAGGAAACATGCCCAACCTTTTCTGTCCTGTCTGGGGATTGAACTCGGGTCCTTCAATTGTGAGCCAGTTATTCTTGATAATTCTTGATAACCAAGTCCATGAATAATGCATTGTGTGTAGATGACTCCCTACTTTCTGATGTGGTCACTTGGTCGTTTCCCTAAACAATATCTCATTCTCCCCAGGGACATTGCAGATTCCAGCCTGGATCAGTGTGATCATACTAATCTCTGACACATTAGACTTTTTTGTCTTAATACTTCTCTACTAAACCAGTACTTGAAAAACGGATACATTAGAGGATTCTCAGTCCATCCCTGAATAACCATCAAAAGGTTATTCCTATACACTCAGACTTAACTCCATTTATGGGAACACTCCACATACTGTACTTTTAAATAACAAAACATTAATCCAACCTAGGATAACCACTGCAATACCATAACTTTTTTTAAGATACTCTTTTAATGCACAGAATCAAATGCTTTGCTTTTGATTCATTGAAAATTCATTGTCTGGGTTTAACATGTATGATGCAAATATGGCTATAATAGGTCAATGTGGATGTAGTGAAGTTTACCTTGACCCATGAAAAAATCCTGCCACCATTTCATGGTATAAATGCAATTATCATCAAGAATGTTACTAGGGAAATGCAGTCATCATCATAAGATGATTTAAACAATTAGTGTCTGGGGTTTACATGTGTGATGTAAATATGGATATAAAAGCTCTGTGGATGTAAATAAAGAAAAAAAAGTGATAAAAAAAATAAGTGAAACATCAGAGAATAAATCAGGAAGTGTTAGCAAAATCGAGCACCTGGCATTGACAAATACCAGATGCAAACTTACAGCATGCCCCTACCCACTGAAACAATAAATATTCACTTATTTTCATGTTTCTTATATTCTGCATACAAATTAATAATTCTATAATGAAAAAAAATATTTGATTTTTTTTATTTTGTTTGTGCAGTATGACCATTTCTCCATTGCTGCTGTCCAAGGGTTAAAAATCACCACCACATTTACAGACTCTCCATGACTCTGGTACTCTGCAGGCGATGAGTTACAATAACGTGGCTAAAGTATGTTGACCAGACCACACACTAGAAGGTGAAGGGATGACGACGTTTCAGTCCGTCCTGGACCGAAACACAATCGACTTGAGAATGGTCCAGGACGGACCGAAACGTCATTGTCCCTTCACCTTCTAGTGTGTGGTCTAGTCAACACTCTGGTACTCTGCTCAACTTTACATGATTTATTGAATGTGCAAGACATGGGTTAACTAAGCTATTCTTTACATTCTTTAATCACCCTGGGAAATATTTAATATGCCCTGGGGGACTTGTTTGGCTTCAATTTTTCTGTTTGTTAAATATCTTCCTCTCTGGTAACCACTAAACAAGCAAACTTGTTCCCTCCACCACTTACACAAACATCTTCAGCTGTAGGCATAATATTAAGTTCTTCTCTAGCAAATTTTAAGATTATTTAAATGCCACCCATATCTTTGTCATTATCAGTTACTTGACCTGTCTTAAGTTTTCAATGGCCCAGTCTTTTCCCTCATCTTTGTTTGTTATACAATATATGAACAAAATCTTTAGGATTTGTCTTTACCTTGCCCCGCAGGTTTTTCTATTTCTTTTTTTTAACATTTCTAACTAGTTTGACAAATTGTTGTTCTAGATTTACTTTCCCCATTCCTCAATAATATGGGAGAAGGATGGGGTGGGGACCCATTTTCCATCTTCTCTTGACTAAATTTTAAGTGCTTATCCACCTCATGAAAGAGAAAAATTATTAGAAATTATAATGATAAACATACATAAAGGCCACCTATTACATAAGTTTCCATTTTATTCTTCAGAGTGCAGCTATCATCAAAATTGTCACCTTGACTTGTGACAAAAATTATTACTTTTTTCTTATTTTGCCATGGTAGATCAAAATGGATGGAAGATAAATCAAAATGCATCTACTCTTATTATGACTGGACAATGATCAACATTTGTTGTGGCAATTGTCGCCATTACATTTTGATGGGAACCCAAATAATAAAAATGTATAAATTTTTTTATTTTATATTATATGAAATATATTCAAAAGAGGGGAATCTGTATACAGAAGTAAAAACAATATCAAAATAAATATATTTGTGAAGATCTTTTATGTTGGCCAGGTAAGTGCAGTCATCTTTATATGTTGATGACCATGAGCTAAAGTCTATCTGACTCCAAATTATTTAGTGTTTTCTCATGACTGCTGAGACACCATTGAGCTATTGGAACCACATCAGCATTTTTGGTATTCAAACGCTGATGCAAGATGCAGATCTACATTTGACTATGACTGCATTCCACTGGAGTCACTAGACGATCAACACATGACGATAACCATACCTTGAGGGATTTTTCCATCAAGTGGCATCAATGAACACAGACTCATTCAGCCTTAAACTTATTATAATTCATCGACTGAACTTTTACATTTTAATGCTCGAGTTTCATGTTATGGGTATTTGCAATACTGTGTTCCCTGAAAGAAAAAACTCAGCACTCTGATCTACTGAAATTACTAGTGCAGTACTGTATTTAAAAGTCAACTTAAAACGGGTAAACTTATAAATTTCTTTGACCAAACTACACACTAGAAAGTGAAGGGATGACGACATTTCGTCCCTTCAATCACCTTAATAATGGTCCTGTATGAACCGAAACGTCATCGTCCCTTCACTTTCTAGTGTCTGGTTTGGTCACACATATTTCAGCCACGTTATTGTGACTCCCAGTCTGCAAACTTATAAATGTATAAACTGCTTACTCAGACTATTTTCTTTGAGATGTTTGGGATAAATACTTTTACAACACAAGAGATAATAAATAATGTAGTACTTTTGCAGTATAATCTCAATCAAGAATATAACTACACTTACAGAAGGAATATTTGACTTTTGGAATGATTTTGTAATGCTCACAGAGATATAAACAGTATTACAGTAAACCATTCTCTCTCTTGATGACTGTACATTACAGACTTCAATAGACTTGTATTAAGTAATATGACGATGACCTTCTCTCAAATAATATTTAGACCAGATTTTTGTAAGCAATGTGATAACCATGACTATAGGTCACTAACATAATGCAGAATAAATAAATACTTCTCACTGCCTGTACAGCCCCAAACCTTTGGTAAGTGCACTTTATTCATGATCAAATGGGAGGCAAGTCACTACTACAGCATGCAAATGCCATGTACACTGATCCACCACTTTGTAACCTAATATTATGAGTTTTTATAGATACAGTACAGATTTTCTCCAGATTATTATATTAGAGCAGGGTTACCCCCTCACCTGCAAAGTATAATTTTATATACAACAGATTCAATTATGATATTATGATACACAAGATACCATAACTTACGTAGGTTACGTATAAAAATAATATAAATAGGATAATGATAATGAAATATATCGGTGAGAAGGGGTGTGTGGGGGGGGGGAGACATGAACAGAACAACTCTATTTGCAATTTTCTATCAAAATTAATGTGTTGCTCTCCACACTGTAATTGGCCAAAGAGCCAGAGCTCAACCCCCGCAAGCATAACTAGGCGAGTACACTAAAGGTATGCTGTGTAATTACCCAAGTGTGTAATGTACCACAACAAGTGTAGGCCTCTGCTGCCATCGGGTGAGTGAACCTGCAGCGAATACTTCAAGAGTTGTCTATGGTGCACAGAATAATTCCTGAGTTACCGTCATCCTTGGCCGCATGCATTAATATTACGTTACTGTACATAATATTAAAAGGAACAAGTAACACAAATTATGGAATCAAATAATTGTATATATAATGAATTCAAATTATATAGTACTACCATTATATGGTTGTAGCAAACTACCATTATATGGCTGTGGTGAACAACCATTACATGATTGTAGTGAACAACCATTATATGGTTGTAAAGCATGGTTGTAGAGTACTACTATTATTTGATTGTAGAGTACTACCATTATTTGGTTGTAGAGTACTACCATTATTTGGTTGTAGAGTACTACCATTATTTGGTTGTAGAGTACTACCATTATAAGATTAGGAAGACAACAGTATAAGGAAAGTAGTACTTTCGAGCTCAAAATGTGTCGTGTTTCTTCTTAGAATTTTACAATTAGATACTTATATCCGAGAATTTCTTCTACCAATGTTAGGTTATTGAAAAGGGATGGACTCGGTGAGGCTAATCTTACAACTAGGTGTGACAATGACATGATGCACTGGAAATCAATGAATGATGAGTTTCACATAACCATGATATATATTAACAAAGTAGCCTTATAGTTCCATTATCAGCGCCAAGGAGGAGCAGCCGGTTTAGTGGTAAAACAGCCATTGTAGTTAAAACTCCTCGGAATGTGTCTGATCGTAATCGTGTAGAGGAGAAAGATGCTGTAGGGGAAACAGATGTATGAACTCCAATGCGATTAGCAGTAGTCCCTGTGATAACCTCATCTCCATAGAGGCAGATGAGATGGACAGGTTCTGTTGGACCCCTACAATAACATAAAAGGTCCTTTATTTTAACAAATATGCAGCATATACAATGAAGAGATTATATAAGGAGTTTATAATGCAAGGGCTGATAATTCTGGTCATGCACAAATACAGTGCAGGACCAGAATATCTAGATACAGTATTTCAAATTTCGACTAGTAAACGTTGGGCGAAATAAAACGGCTGTATGCGCCCCCAGTCTTAAATGCTCGTCACATCAGTCAAACAGAAACATACAAATTAATTGAGTGTCTTACCTGAGGGTGAACTTTAGTTTACTATCATCCACACTCCACACTGACACAGTCTGGTCCAGGGCTGAGCTGATGAATGTTCCATCTTTGTACCACTTCATGCAAAGCACCTGACCAATAAATATCTCAATAACATTAAGAAAATATATAAAATATTTAACACATCTTATTTTAATGTACTGTATTTTGTTACCTTCTAAAAAAAATGTAAGTTAGTAACACTTTACCAATCTGATGTTGTTAAAACACTTCATCCACACTCCGACAGTAAACTTTCCGATGACAGTAAAACATGTTATTCATCTCAAAATTAAGCAAAAGTCAACGGAACGGAAAGGTTGATGATATTCTTGAGAGACATAAGAATTTTGCACCAAGACTGTAATTTTTTGTTGAATTATCTGCATGTCTCTTGCAAATTGTCTATACAGTATACCTAGGTCATAAAAGTATGTGTGTGTACGTCTGATACCATACTACTTGTGAAGGAGGAAATGTATATGTTTATCTCTCAGAATGTTTGGTAATATGTTTATTGTTTGTGATGATTGTATATGTATGTATTAACACGATGTACTGAACGGGGTGAGAATAGCTTGAGCTACCTCATCCCTTTGTGTGTATTTTACCTCAATAAACTTATTTCAATTTCATGTTTTTTTAGGATAATGCATGAATAGGTTATCAGGAAACAAGCCAAAGTATCAAGAGGACCATCCAGAGATCACATTGGCCAACCCACTTACCACTCAAAACAAGAATTGCTCCGTTTGTGAATATTTTTCCATTATTTCTAGCAAATTACCTCCTAGAGAAGTATGAAAGTTATGTTTGTTTTCTTTTTACAGTGATATGGATGAATAATGTGCACACACACACATTTATATGTTTTTTTTATTTTAATTTACTGATATTTGGATAAATAGATGAGGAATGTTGCAACTTTCATAAAAATTCAAATATTTAACATCTTCAAATGTGCAAGACAATCAGGGATGACTGCACTATTTCTGACCTCATTGTATGAGTTAATGAAGGATGATTTAAAGTACTGTGCAAGGTTTTAAAAGTCCTGTGCATATATGGGGCTCATATTTGCTTCCTGGGGTCTCCAGTAAATAGATTCCATCTTGGAAAAAATTGTGGGCAACCCTCCTGGGTGTATGAAGCATCAGTATTAAGAGGACAACCACAGGTAGTGCATTCTGCAGTAGCTTACAACACTGCTGTGAAGCTTGTCCCTACAGCACCACTTAATAAGGATGATATTAATAAATAACTGCAATTATTTTGTAATGAAAAGAAGATCAAAGAAGTCAAAGAAGAAAGAGAAGAGAAAGAAGAGAAAGTCAAAGAAGAGTCAAAGAAGATCCTATCTGTGATAAAGGCTATGTACACAGTTCAGATATCAAAATTGTCAGTTATCCATTTACAGTGCAAGGATCATGAGAGTACTGTATTTACGAATCAACCTGTTCTTGAGTTTGGAGTCTCACCAACAAAACTAACATGTGTGTGAAAATATTGGAGCTTTGTATCATGACAGTGAAGATATTGTTTTTAGCACAGAACTTTGGGCAGATGATTTTCCTAAAAAAATCGTAAAATAAAAGTACAAATAATGTTAATTTTCAAGATATTGGAGTTTCCTTGGAACAACTTCAATTGGAAAATAAAAGATGTGTACCTCGCCCTCATGTGGTTTCCACGTTGAAAGAAGATGTCCTGTTCTTGTGTCCAGGACCGAGATGACCCCAGAGGAATGTGCCACTGTAACAAGCCGTCCATCCCCACTAGTGTCAATACAGCGAACTAAACCAGCACCTCCCATAGATACCTGTTGGTTAAATTTACAACATAACAATTTTATGATTAATTCATCTCTAAATTCTAACTACTGTATAACTTTGAAGATTATTTTAATTATTACAAAATTTTAAGTTATTGTTACTGTGCTTAGCCATGACACATTTTCTAACAGTACAGGTACTACTGTAGTTTTCTATTTTAAGCCAAAAAGCAGCATTGAATGTAGTGAAATGCAAAAATAATGCAAATGATAGTTCACAGCACTGTAGTTGGCAATTGGTGAACAATCCTATGTACAATTCACCCAGCTGCTACTGGATGGCAACCCAGGACACCCAAGATTTTGATAGCAGCCTTAATTGGAGCTTACCCGTGGGCTTGCCATTTCCTGGTTTTGTCATGTTTTCAGGGGCTCAGTTTTGGAGGTTTCTGTACCTGGTTTTGGGCTGGAGAGACTGAAGTAGACTCCATCCCTGGCCCTTCCTCCCATATGACATTGGTGGGTCTCAGGTATGTTTGAGGTGGCCCACATTTGCCCCATTATCCTCTTTGTATCCTTGTTACATCTACACACGAGAGAATGATTTTCCTGTGAAGTCTTACGTTTGTCTTAATCATTGGTTCATGTTGGATGCCTTACATGACTGACTGATTATTCAAGTCTTGGGTTCATGGCTCGAATTAAGTCCTAAGATTTTTACAAGCTCACCTTTCTCTGGTCTACGGTTTCGGTTTCAGTTTTTGAGTTCTGGTTGAGAGTTATCTGGTACATTCTCCTCTTCAATTCCATGTTTGTCCCTGTGTTGGCAATTTATATTCTGATTTCCTGCAATTGCTTCTGATTCTTAAAGTTCCCCATAGAGTTTCTATCACCCATGCTGGGCTCTGGTTTATCTCTCCAAGCTTTTACTGGCAATCTCCAGTTTGTCTGAATTGCAGCTGTTTTCTGAGAACTCTATTTTCCTTCTTCCCCAGTCAACTGTTTCCTGCACAGCTATTTAGTGGGGTTTATGTTGTGCCTGGTTCTGGTCCACATCCCTGGTCCCCCTCCGTCACCAATCTGGGAGTGAAGCACCTGCTCTGCATTTTTCTCTCGCTGCCAACACATGCAGCAGGTATGTCCTCTGGGCTTGCCTGTTTTGCCTTGGGATTTTATAGTTCCTTAAAGTTCTGCCTCCTTGAGACATACCAGCTTTAAATAAATTTTTCTGGTTGTCTTATCTTTGTGATTCTTGGGCAAAATTGTATTACTTAACACAGGTCTGAGGGCCCTGGCCCGTTCGGGTCTGTCTCATGATATGCCAACTTGTGGACTCGGGTTATATGGGTGTGCTCCACCAGCCAGTAAGTTTTGCAGAGCTATTAATAATAATAATAGTAATTTTATTCACAAGAAGGTACAATGAGTTAGTGAGATTACATAAGATTGGTATTTTTACATTCTTGCAAAGCCACTAACACCCATAACGTTTCAGGCAGATTTCCCGAAAATTAACCCGATTATTGACAGGGCCCTGACAGAAAATGTATCACGGACAAGGGTTAGTGTTTTATTAATATTTTCTTCAACTTTGGTTAAACAAACTCATCAATAATGCCTTTCAGTGTATAAATGCTTTATTAAACAAATATTTATGTGTACCTTATCCTTACAAATTATTGTATTGTTACTACAGAATTTATTACAAAAGATACTGCCTACCTTTCATATATTCATCTCAAACAATATTAACTTTATGTTGCCCTTTTACCTCCTACCTTTATCTCCACATTTAGTTATCATAGATAAAACGTTCATTGCAGTTACCAGATATAACAAAATTTATCACCTCTCTCTCTTACCCATGTCATGATTCCATTACAATTTAATTACTGACTGTAAAGATGCCCTCTATTAAGTGGGTACAATTCAGCGAACATACCTTAAACTCATGGGTGTAGTTGCATGTACGAAGGTCAATAAACTTGAGCGTTGCATCTGTTGTTGCTGCTACTAGCAGTGTGGACGGTGCTGCCATGGCTGTCAATACCTAAGCAATAACATAGTTCATCATTACATGGTTTAACAGGGCACTTAATGACTTCTAAAAGCTGAAATTTTGTTCGTCTTTCCAAGTGAGTGTCATCTAGACAAACAAAGAGCTAATTTCTCAAAAGATAAGAACTAGAAGATTCAATATAAAAAAGCATGTACATGTTGTTAACTTGGAGCACACAAAGGTCTGTGCTCTCATGTTTCTTGGCTTCAAAGGATGTAACCAGAGCTGTGTATCTCACCGAGCATTCCACAGTCCATGACTGTTGATTTGTGTCTGCCTGCCTGCTTTATCCATAACATTATATGTTAACTGGATAGGCAGACAGCAACTTGACAGCATTACAGTTGATAAAGTATGTGTGTGTTATCAGAGTTGAGATAACAAGATCAATAGACAGATGAGAGGAAATGCATATGTTTATCTCTCAGAATGTTTGGTAATATGTTTATTGTTTGTGATGTGCGTCTATGTATGTATTAACACGATGTACTGAACGGGGTGAGAATAGCTTGAGCTACCTCATCCCTTTGTGTGCATTTTACCTCAATAAACTTATTTCAATTTCAATAGACTAATAATTTCAATAATTTCAATAGAAGTTCCAAGTCTATAAATTGGGTGGTGACAGCAAGTACAGTACTCATTTTTCTTCCTTCTTTAGAATGAATACCCCTTTCCTCCCCCTTTTTAACATTTTGGTTGTCTGGCTTCTCCGCTCATTCCCGACTGTAAATGTTCATGGGCCGCTTACAGGCCACTCCGATGTGAATTGTTTTATTAAATTATTTTATGTTTTCTTAGTTATCTGTTAGGTTGTAACTATAAATTTGATGTCAAAATTTTCACAAATTAATTTTCTAGAGAAAGGAAGCAAAAATAAAATACTAGATTATACATAACAGCAATGAATATTAAAATGTTTATGAATACTGTAGCAATCAGATGATGTGTTTCAGCGTCATCAAAACATTTTCTGTTAACAATTCGGAAAATGCATTTTAACATCATGTGAAAGTGTTAATGGTAGTAAATTGTGCCCCCCCCCTTTGTCCTCCCTTTAGAATGAGTAGTATTACCTCATTCCTTTCCTTTGAAAGTTGAGTACTCCCATTTCTAGAGGGACTACACTTGGTAAATACCTATAGTTACCAAAGTGAGTGAGCTAATTCATGAAATCTGGGGAACTCTGATCGCTCCACATAAAGTAATGAACTGGAAGTACAAGTAAGTAAGTAATTATCAAAAGAAGGCACCAAACCGGGAAGGCTATGTAGCACCATCAAATACGCAAAATAATCAGAGGGCGCTAAATATCACCAAGGATGCCAATACGAGAACAAAAACGCATAAGGCGAACGATATCAAAAGTATCCGAGTCACCAAGAATTCTATCGAGGGACAGGTGACCGCGAGGGGCGGTCGGAAAGCAAGACACACGCTCGTCCTGGAAGTCAGGACATTCAAGAAGGACATGCACGACCGTAAGAGGGACAATGCAACTAGGACAATAAGGAGCAGGGCGGCGCTCCATCAAGTGACCATGGGTTAAGCGAGTATGGCCAATACGCAACCTCGCTAGAGCTGTTTCCCACCGCCGGTTACGGTGGAAGGAGGACGGCCACGAGGAAACACAACATTTAAGAGTACGTAGCTTGTTACCAGTAACAGACAACCAAGAAGCCTGCCAACGGGTAAGGACTGAGGAATGGATAACCGGGTAAAAGTCGGAATACGGAATGCCTTTACGAGAGATGGGACAAGAGCGGACAGCTTCCTTAGCGGCAGCATCCGCACGCTCATTTAAAGACACGCCAATATGGCTGGGAACCCAACAAAACTCAACCGACTTAAATTTACTGTGAACGAGAAACAGCCAATGCTGGATCTCGACAACTACCGGATGAACTGGATTAAAGCACCCGAGAGCCATGAGGGCACTACGAGAGTCAACAACAACCACAAAGGAAGACTGACAACGAGAAAGCAGGAGACGAAGAGCATAGAGAATAGCATAAAGTTCCGCTGTAAAGATGCTAGTCTCCGGAGGCAAGCGACACATATAAGTGCGATCAGGAAAAACAACAGAGTAGCCAACACCGTCCGCTGACTTAGACCCATCGGTGAAGACAGAAACGGAGCGGGAGTGAGAAGAAAAGTGCTCGAGGAAAAGGCGTTTTAGAACTGTAGGAGGGGTAAAAGCTTTAGTGATACGAGTCAAGGATGTACAAAACCGCGGAAGAGGGACCCTCCACGGGGGCAAAGAAGGAACAACACGAGGAGAAACATCAGAAATACGAACGGAAAGAGAATCCTGTAGGCGAGATAACCGGACAGAAAGAGGGAGGTGGTGAAGAGGAACAGGAACCGCAGGAGGGGTAAAAGTTAAAGCACGACAGAGACGAGAGGAAGGATGTTGCAAGGACCGCGCAAGATAGCGAAGACAGTAGCGATCACGGCGGTCCTGGAGAGACAGGAAGCCAGTGTCAACATACAAGCTAAGGACGGGAGTCGAACGAAAGGCACCAGAACTGAGGCGCAACCCAGTATGGTGCAAAGCATCAAGACGGCGAAGAGTAGAAGGAGAAGCAGACGAGTAAGCAGGGCAACCATAATCGAGCTTAGACAGGACGAGAGAGGAATGTAAAGCAAGGAGAGTGCGCCTATCTGCCCCCCAAGAAGTATGGGACAAGACCCGAAGGAGGGTAAGGGACTTAGAGCACTCAACACGGAGGTAAGAGATATGGGGAGACCAAGACAAACGAGTGTCAAGGAATAACCCCAAAAGCTTCGCGGAATCTTTGTATTCAAGGGGATGACCATAAAGTGACAAAGAGGGACGAAGAACAACCCGTTTCCGCGTAAAAGTCATGGCACAAGTCTTAGAAGTAGAGAACTTGAAGCCATGACCTGTGGCCCAAGACGACACGGCATCAATCGCAAGTTGAAGCCGGCGTTGAAGGAGAGGCGAATCATCACCCTGACAACAAAGGGTAAGATCATCGACATAGAGAGCGGAGAAGACACCAGAAGGAAGAGAGGAAAGAAGACCATTGAGGGCAACCAGAAAAAGAGTAGTGCTCAGAACACTACCCTGGGGCACACCTTCGTATTGCTGAAAAGAGGGAGAGAGAGCGGTACCAAGGCGCACCCGAAAGGAACGACGAGAGAGGAAGCTGCGGAGAAAGAGAGGGAGATGACCACGAAGGCCAAAAGAATGAAGTTGAGATAGGATATGATAACGCCAAGTGGTGTCGTAAGCCTTTTCCAGGTCAAAAAGGACGGCAACAACGGAGGTCTGCGCAGCAAAAGCAGTACGAATATAGACCTCCAAGTTCACCAGGACATCTGTCGTGCTGCGGCACTTGCGGAAACCAAATTGAGAAGGGGAGAGGAGGTGATGGTGTTCCAGGAACCACATCAGACGAACGTTAACCATACGTTCAAAGAGTTTGCAGACACAACTCGTGAGAGCAATAGGGCGAAAGTCCTTAGGGGAAGTACCCAGAGACCCCGGTTTGCGAACAGGGAGGACAACGGCATCGAGCCAGTCCTCAGGGACTGACGACGACTCCCAGATCCGATTATACAGACTCAGTAAATACTGAGACGTGCTCGGAGGGAGATGGCGAAGCATCTCATAATGAATACCATCGGAGCCCGCCGCCGTAGAACCGCAGAGGGCCAGGGCAGAACGAAGTTCAGAGAGAGAGAAGGGATCATTATAGGGAAGCTGAAGATGAGTGCAGAAATCTAAAGGACGAGACTCAAGGACAGGTTTACGAAGAAGGAAAGATTGGGGAAGATGAAGACCAGAGCTAACAGAAGAAAAGTGGGAACCCAGTTCGGAAGCGACCTGCAACGGGTCCGCCACAAGAGTATCATGGAGGTGAAGGACCGGTGAAACATCGGGAACGAACTTACCCGCTATCTTGCGGATACGCTTCCAGATCTGGGCCAGAGGGGTTTCGGACGTAATTGTCGAGACATAAGATGCCCAACATTCACGTTTAGCCGTACGGATGGCCCTACGGGCCACCGCACTCGCTTTCCGAAAGAAAAGAAAAGAATCGGTCGTCTGCCTACGGCGGTGCTTCTTCCAGGCTGCACGCTTACAGCGGACAGCCCGAGCACAGTCCGCATTCCACCAGGGAACGCACTTCCGTGGACCCCGAGAGGAAGAGCGAGGAATAGAGCGGAGGGCAGCGTCGAAGACAGTGTCATGAAAAAGGAGGAGAGCGCGAGAGAGGGGCAGAAGGGAGAGGTCAGAGAGAGTAGCACTGAGGGAAAATAGGGTCCAGTCCGCCTTAGCAAACTGCCACCTAGGGAAAGAGAGGGAAGGGCGAAAAGAGAAAAAGGAAACAAGGATGGGGAAATGATCACTACCATGGAGGTCATCAAGAACCTGCCATGTGAAATCTAAGTAAAGAGAAGAAGAGCAGAGAGAAAGATCAAGACAAGAAAGGGTGCGAGTTCGAGAGTCCAAATGAGTGGGCTCACCAGAATTCAGAAGAGACAGGGAAGAAGAGAGGAGAAACGGCTCAAGGAGGCGACCCCGGGTATTCGTCAGAACGTCACCCCAAAGAGAATGACGACAATTGAAGTCACCCAGCAGGAGCACAGGCTCCGGCAAGGAGTCTAGGAGGTGTTTCAAATCAGGAAGAGAGAGCGGGACACTCGGGGGGAGATAAATGGAACAAACTGTGTACCATTTCCCCACAAAGATACGAGCAGCAGAACAATGGAGAGGCGAAGGAAAAAGTAAAGGAACAAAGGGAACATCAGCCCGAATCAAGAGAGCAGAAGAATTAGAAGCCCCAGCAATGGCTGGGGGGGGGAGAGAAAGGAATAGCCACGAAAACGACCAGGACGAGCACCAAGCAACGGCTCCTGGAGACAGACACAAAGGGGCGAAAACCGCGAAACCAGAAGTTGGAGTTCGAGGAAATTGGCGTAATAACCTCGAACGTTCCATTGAAGAATGGACAACGACGAGAAGAGAAAGGACAAAAACAGAGAACAAGGAAGAAACAAAGGCGAAAGACCAACAGAGCACGTTAAAGAATATCAGGGTCGGGATCAGGGTCAGCAAAGTCAGGGTTAGGGGGCATGGGTAAACTGAGCAAAGACAGAGGGAAGGAAACGGGAGAACAGATCAGAGGTGGGCGGGCAGGGTCCGGAGGAGGAGGAGGAGGAGGAGGAGGAGACAATGGAGAGGAGCAGTCAAGGACAGCAGCAGGAAGAGGGGGAGTAGAAAGAGAGGAGCGCACCCCAGCAAGAGCAGCAACCGAAAGGGAAGCAGGGGCCAAAGAAACCTCCATAGCAGGAACAGGGGGCGCAAGCACTGAAACGGGAGGGGAAGGAGCAACAGAGCCAGAAGGAGGAGCTGAGGAAGAAAGCGAAGCCTTCTTACCCGCCGGGGAAGAGGAAGGAGAGGAGCCAGGCTTACGCTTCTGACTTAAAGAGACCGGTGTCCCAGCAACTACGTACCGGGCAACGGATTCCAGTGTCTCAACAGGAGAAGCCGAACGAGAGCACACACGACGGCCGTTAGGAGAGCGATGGACATCCGCCCGCACCGACAGGCGGCGGGGAGAGCCGATAGATGGAGGAAGAGGATGGGAAGGAGGATCGGAGGGGGACGAGGAAGGAGACACAGAAGACACGACAGACCGGGTAGAAGGAAGGGGAACCCCAGACAGAGGACCAGGAGGAGGATCCTTCGGGAGAGAACCCAAAGGGACAGAGGAGGGGGCAGTGGGCGCATCAGGGTCCAAGGCCTGGAAACGGTTGAGAGTCTGAGGAAGGCGGGAAGGACGAGGAGAGGAAGAGCGCAACACGCGAGCATAAGAGATGTTAGTATAAGGCGGGAGCCGGCGAACCTGGCGCCTCGCCTCAGGAAAAGACAAACGCTCCCGGTGCTTCAGGTTAAGGACGGCCGCCTCAAGCTTGTAATGGACACAGGCACGGGAGAACGTAGGATGGGCCTCACCGCAGTTGAGGCAGCGAGCTTGGGGAGAAGTGCACTCCGACTTAGAGTGACCTTCACTCCCACACAAAGGACAGAGAGAGACAGTCCCAGAGCAGCGGAGGGCACCATGCCCAAACCTCCAGCACTTATTACAAAGTCGAGGAGAAGGAATATACTCCTGGACAGAGCACCTAGCACCAGCAAGAATGACAGAGGATGGAAGGGTCCTACCATCAAAGGTGATCTTCACAACGCGAAGGGGTTGACGGCGACGACCACGAGGGGGACGAGTAAACGAGTCAACCTGGAGGACAGAATGGCCTTGGGCATCAAGGATATGCCGAATATCATCGTGGCAATCCTGCAGATTCCGAACACCGGTTGCAACATGGGGTGGGAGGAGAATGGTGCCAACACTGGAATTCATCTGAACGTTCTTGGAGACCCGAACAGGGATCTCGCCAAGGCAAGATAAGGCAGCCAAGCGGGAAGCCGCATCCTGAGAAGGAGCAGCAACGACACGTGTACCGAGACGAGTGGGGTTGAAAGTAACACACGCATCCACGGAATCTACAAGATGCCGATGGAGGAAGAAATCGTCAGGAGGCGCAGAATCAAGAGGGAGGAGATCAAAGTATTTGGCCCATGAAGCAGGACCAAACAAGGCCTGATACGCATCAGCACGGGAAGGAATCGAGCGAGTGCGGTTGGGGCGCGAACGGCGGTGAGAACCCCTAGAGAGAGAGGGGTCAAAAGGCGCAGTAGTCACAACGAAAGACTTAGCCACACCAGGGGACGAAGTGGTCACCACCGGGGGCTGGAGGCTCGACCCAACCTCAGAGGAGGGAGGGGAGCTGGGGGAAGAAGTCAGGACGGTCAAAGGAGGAGCAAGGTCGGGGCCCAACGCAGCGGGAGCTACAGAGCCTGGTCTTCCAATACAGGCCGACTCGGGGGCTTGGTCGCCCACCCCACGAGCCTGAGAGGGTACAACGGAAACATTCAACAACATAGAGACGAAAAGTGACCTGGAAGTACAAGTCTAAAGAAATCAAAAGGTGAAATAGTAGCAGAACAAAATTACATACCCCATATCCCCCCTCTCACCCCGCGTTACAGTTCGCTGCCCGGTATGCCTAATAAACTTCAGGAACAAGGGCATTATATGCTATATACTGTATATACATTGCAAAGACATGGTTTGCACCAAAGAATTGCCATATACAGTACCTTTAATATGGTTTACTTCATCTCAAGTTTTTTCATTATTTTTATTTTTGCACTAACCAATAGGCTTCAGGGATATTATGAAGATATTTCACTACACTATCATACTGGTAAGATAAGTAAGAAACCTATAGTGTATATATATTACAAAGGTTATAGACCTAGTCTAATTTTTTTTCTAAGGAGTTAAGGGGGAGGATTTCCAGTGGTCTGACAGTTCGAAAGAAATCCCCATGCAATGAATCGGCCTTGCCCAGTATAGTTTGTTCAAGCGAGTTTGCACCGTACTTTATTCAGTTTAATAGTGAACAAATATTTCACTCAATATTTGCAGTGAATAAATTTGATATCACTGAAAGTGGTGGAGGCAATGGGTGAAATAATGGATAAATCTTCTAGTGATGGAGCAGTGCTAGAGAGAGAGACTGAAGAACAGATGAGAACTTTTGTAAATACTGTATATTATGATGCAAATTGCAAAATTTATCATTTAACTCGGTGTTTATTAAACTTACTGTAACAGGACTGTGACGAAGAGAGTCGAGCTGCTTTACCCCAGCACAGATGAAGGGGTCCCAGACATGAACAGTGGAGTCACACGATGCTGCATACCGCATCGAGTCAGAGAAAGTGACTCCAAAAACCGATTTCTTGTGTCCAGTGTATGTCCACTGAGCACTTACATGTGTATTTCCATCACCCTGTTTGTTAATTTATAATTAAACAAAAGTTAAATATTTATAGTACTGTACAGTTCATATTTAATTTACAATAGCTTAAGTGTACAGATAATCATCACATCTGTTCCTATTGTCATGCGGTGGGGAAGCATTAGAACTAGGATAAAAATAAGCATCTAATGTAAAGAAATGGCCTTTTCTTTTGGATCAGTCAGTAGCTCTTTGAGCTACAGCACTGGGGCTGTCAAGCCTCAGGTAATTGTACTAGGCCTCAGAAATCCAACTAAACCTATCAGGAACTATGACCCAAATTTGGCTCTCTCTACGAAGCAAGATTAGAGATCAGATATCAATAAAAGAAAAATGCCTATCAGAAAGTATATCAAAACAAGCAAATGCTTTAAAGGAAATTAGTAACCCTGAAGAAACGGCAAACAACTGTTGTCACAGGGTAAACATCCCGAACCATAAAGCACCTGACTTGCCACCATATGGCAGCTGGGACACCCAAAAAGGAGTCCTGGTCAAGGACCGGGCCGCAGGGATGCTAAGCCCTGAAATCATCTCAAGATAACCTCAAGAAGATTCCTTCAGAGACCTTCAATGAATGGGTAAAAGTGCAACAACTTTTCTTAAAGATAAGTATTCTAAACACATCAAAACAAGAGAAATCCAAGGAGCTACCGGCTTTATTTTTCCAGCACCTCAGTACCAAAATGTCATCCTTCCTGTCCCAAAATAATGTGATAGCTCTAAGTTATTAAATACTGGAAAAACAGAGACATTAGTTAAGCAAAAAATATTTTGTAACAGGCTAGATTATTTTATTACAATTAAATTTTAATGCACTCTAAATTTATTAAAAAAAATAGCATAATTTCTTAAAAGATTCACACACATTATTGAAAAGTATCATAAAATTATCACACAAATTTGTATTTAAGTCTTTATAGGCATCACTGGAGTGTGACCCCAATCTATACCATCACTAAATCTGATCGTACATTTATAAGCACATACAATATATAGCAACTTCAATATAAAGAAAGACTTGGACATGTTTATCATAAATGATACAGTAAATGAATGTTTGACATTTTGGATACGTTTGATGTTTTTTCCTCTACTGTCTGCTATTATTTACAAACAAATGCCTCTTCATCCTGTGAAATTAAAAACTTGAATAATAATACGTAATGATGAAAAAGACTAACCTGGCTACGAAGGGACCACAGCTTCACAGTCTTATCTTTACTACATGATATAAAGGAGTTCTCATTGTCAAGCACATGTATGGATTTCACACTGTTGGTGTGCCCTGTGAAGGTCTGCAGTTTGATCTGCTTGAAGTTGAATCTTGCATCTTGTTCACTCCTTCCAATCTCGTGTTCCCAATAGGCCAGCCAATTACCACGTAAATGCCTAGAAGAATTTGAAGCACTGTTTGAAGATGATGTATTAAAAGTAATGAACAGATTTTTGGATACCACTTAATTAGATATGCCAGTTTTTCATTTTGGAATTGTCCAAATAAAGTTAACAATCAAGTGGCAAGCGTGATCAATCTGTATAAAATATCTGATACAGTAATGAGAGCAAGTGGTAGTGAAGAGCCACAGTGTTTGTTTTGGTTTGTGGTGCGACACATTCCTGCACCACGTCAATACACGAGGCCTTTACGAGTCTTTAAAAGCCTACTAGAGACCAGAGGGCAAAACCTTGTCCCTTAAGAGCCGTAAAGAACAGAGGATTCAAGATCACTAACTGAAAGAAACTTTTCTACAGTGACTAGTTTATTATCTATCAATTGACTACAGAATTTTGTAAGCTAAATATCCATAATTTTTAGGGGATTTAAGTACAATCAATAGTTTGAACCACAATGAAGTACAAGATATGGGTGATGTGCTATCATTTCGCATAGCTATTTCACCTGATGTGCGGCTTAATCATGTGGGGAATCAGAAATATCCAATGAAAAGTCAAATTACTGGAAGCAGTCACATAGTGATAGATAATAGATTAGTCAATCTTGTATAAAGTATAATAACTCTGAAGTGAAAATCAAGAAACATTTAAGTAAATTTATAAATCAAATTAGTTGAAAAATAATAAATTAATGAAATAAAGAAATAAAATATAATTATTAATGTGTGAAGCATTTCACAGCTGATGTCTCATGAATTCCACCAATTACCTTTGAGAATTGTCCATCCTGGTGCCAGTGTACTTGGTTATGTCAACTGTCGTGGCAAACCCAATAGAAGGTGGAAGGTCTGAGTGGGTGTTGGAGAAGCCATCTGCTGTCTCCTATAATTGATCAAACATGAAAAACTTGAGCTTTGGGTATCTAAGAATATCATTCTGCTGCTCCCAAAACTAAATTCCACCACGTCCAAATGGAAAGAAAAATACAGAGCCAAGCAGGATGACCAAGATCTTTTCGTGGTGTTCTAGCAGGGGAAAAATGGTACCAGAGGGTTCAAAGGAGTATTTTCTCTAGTCCAGAATGATGGATAGCTGCTCACTCATAACAATCAAAGTCCTATATAAATCTCTTCGATATCACAGATGACTGCCAAGTCATCTGTGATATCAAGGGTCATTTGTGAGTTACTTGCCTCAGAAGGGGCAGTCTTGCTTACTTCAGCCTGAAGATGTGATTGAAAAGGAGAGAAAGGGGGCAGCATACTCAAAATGAGATGAGGATTCAGAAGCATTGTGATCTAAGAGATACATGACATCTGAATTGGAAATCAAAACCCAAGAAGGATCAAAAGGAAACAAATATGAAACCTCCACTCTGCTCAAGACCGAACTTAAATGTTCACCAGGGTCTACTAAGAGCTGGTCACAGAGTTGAGACTGAGATCTCCAATCAAGAGGGGCCTGTGGCTTTCCCTAAGGTGAGTAGGACCACACCTTGTGCCTGTACAAGTAATGAGGGAAAAGGGTCGGGAAAAACTTGGATGTTCTAAACAAACTCCCTGTGAAAAAGACATAACTAAACATTCACCCTGTAACATACCAGGAGGCATCTTTATGAGAACAGTAAAGCCACTTACAACCCATAGCCAGAGGAAGGGAAAGGGAGGGAAAGGCAGAACCATATGCTTGTATGCTGGAAGAGGGACAGAAATCATGATGGATGACAGGATAGAGATTGTGCAACATCTGCTAGGTACACTAACAAGGAGCCGGTCGGCCAAGCGGACAGCACGCTAGACTTATGATCCTGTGGTCCTGGGTTCGATCCCGGGCGCCGGCGAGAAACAATGGGCAGAGTTTTTTTCACCCTATGCCCCTGTTATCTAGCAGTAAAATAGGTACCTGGGTGTTAATCAGCTGTCACGGGCTGCTTCCAGGGGGTGGAGGCCTGGTCAAGGACCGGGCCGGGGGAAACAAAAAAGCCCCGAAATCATCTCAAGATAACCTGGATACAAGGCCTCACAGACTGAACAAACCACAGGCAATTTACGAGAGGTCTGAGGTGTTAAATACTGTATACCAAAGCTAGCAGATAGAAGAAAGATGTGATATGATCACGACATACAAAACAGTAACAAGAATCGACAAAACTGACAAAGAAGTATTTTTTGAGAACTGTTTAGTTAAACATGAACTGCCTTTGTTAATGTTTACCTAATGCAAAAAGAACACATTTTTGTATTATATATTTTTAATAATAATTACTTAAAATGTTTTATTATTTACATGTAAATTATATGTACAGTTAAAGCAAATCCTCATATCTGTGCATAATTGTATTAAACAGGAGACATACACATGAGACCATGATGACTTAAGTGTAAGAATATAACTGACCCTGATATCGATCCTGTTTCCTGTCATGGCCACATTGGTGCTGCGGGTGCTGGTTTTTCTCCCACTTGTATCATCTGCTAAGCTCGTCGAGTTGTTTAGCCCCAAGCCATCATCTGTCAATACTATTAACAAATTATTCACTTAGTTCTTAATTGCAATAAAACTGCTGATTCTTACACTTAAGCATTTCCACAGTATGCAAGGGATGCACAATTACCTTTAACATTAGACACTGTTTTTAAGCATCAAGAAAGACTGCCTTAGGCAAGACTACACAACTGAAGTCTCATGAACCAAATAAGAAAATTAAAAATATATATGGACAAGTTTATTTGATTTTAACTAGTTGAGCAAGCATGACACTAGGGATTGGCCAGAACCTCTCATAATGTGAAAGATAAGAGTGAAAGTGAGTAAGAAATTGTGAATAAGAGTTTGAGAAATTATGGAAAATATTTACTTCACCCAAAAAGTTAGTTAGGTACTGTTAAAAACATTACACATTCAAAAATAATCTGTGCCAAACTATGCCCCCCCAAATTTTGTTTAACAAAACATCATCTACAATGTATTTCACCTGCAGCATGTTCAGCCTGGGTGTTCTCATCATACTGGAGACAGAGGGATCGCAAGAGGTCATGATTGGGCAGTGTTGCCTCCATGTAGGAGGCTCCCAAGAACCTGCACAGCGGAACATACGAGAGGTAGGCCAATTCAGGTGTCAGCACCTGTTTAAGCTCTTCTAAAGCCTAGAAAAGAAAAAATTATGAATTTTGTTCTCTTGTAGGAATCAAACAATTAAATGTAACATAACCTCCCAGCAAGCATAAGAAATATTGCCGAAACAACCGTGGACATTTTCAAGAGGAAACTAGATTTATTCCTCAAGGAGTGCCGGACCAACCGGGCTGTGGTGGGTATGTGGGCCTGCGGGCCGCTCCAAGCAACAGCCTGGTGGACCAAACTCTCAAGTCAAGCCTGGCCTCGGGCCGGGCTTGGGGAGTAGAAGAACTCCCAAAACCCCATCAACCAGGTATACACATATATGCAAGAAAAATCATAAAAATAGTACCCAAAGTGTAACAAAATGTGGGTGACATCTCAGTAGCTGACCTGTGCTTGACTGACATGGAAATGACATGCTGGTGACATTTGCTGGACATGACACAATCTACACTCTTGGTGATTATTTCAACCCACCACGATCAGACATTCTTGCAAATCGTCCTGCCCCATCATGGGGGATGGGGATTTAAGATCAACCCACTACCACAATGTATCACCATGAGAATAATAAAGAGGCAACATTCTCAACAGTCTCTCAAAATTCCCTACAAGCCATATATGGCAACAATAAATCACAAAACAACTTAAAACAACATCTTAAAACAGTCTTGAACCCACGGTCGTCGAAGCTGCTTTCTCACTCGGCAAGCATTACACCTCTTTGGCAAAAACCATCTCTTGAGAACAACCTTAGACTCTTATACACCATTGGACATCACTTCTATTCTTCTCTTCAGTTAACCCTACTGGCACAACATCAAGTAGGTGGAATAAAACTAGAGGATGTCAAGTGATAACACAGAATGACAGATGCTATGTCAAAGGCCTCCAGTAAGTGACATGTGTATGCCAATCATAGCCCCTCCTTGCATGACACCTTGAATGGGTTTCACACTGATTGGCTGTCACTCACAGCATCTTGTGCAGTTACCATGGCAACAGCACGTAGATTGCTTCTTGGAGCTTCCACAGTCATTAACTTATGGGTGGGAAAACATGCTTGCTGCCTGGCTACTTCCAGTCCCTTTTAACAAACAGAGCTCCAGCAAAATCAAAATCTCATTCATACTGACCTACCTATTCTTGCCTAAGTTAACACTGACCAAGAACAATAAACGAACAAAAACGGTACAGTACAGTACTAGAGAAAAACTCATTATGACTCGGCCGAATACTAGGCTGTGTTTCAAATCATGACAACAGGCAGTGAAAAGCAAAGCTCAATGACACCAAGACACTGCTCACTATAACACTAAGGAACAGATAAATACTTTGACACCTTCAAGTGATAACTGGTAACAAAGGGCTAGTCAATTTATGCCCTTACAAACAATTAGACAAACTAAGCTATCCCTTCAACACCACTAGACAACAGTCAGATCACACAACAGGGAAATTTGGGCGAGGGCTGATATGTGGAGAGTAAAAGTGATTATAACACAGTTTCACCTTCATTAATGTGTAATGTGCCAGCTGGATGAACTGTGATCATTAAACTAGACATAAATGAAAAACAAATTACAAGATTTGAATTTCTTCTTAATTAGTTTAAACTTTATAACCCACACAAAGTTTTGCAATTGAATTAACAAAGCGTATCATTGAATACAAAAATAAATGATCTTAAATTAACTGACCTTAAGCTTGACAGAGTCTACATTAGATCCAGGGGATGCTTGGAGGCCACCTGCCGGTGATGCTTCATCACCACCTCCCAGGACTACTTCTGCTTCAAGTGATCTGGAAAGAATCTCAATCAGGGAAAATCTACATGTGTAGTATCTTTATGTATCATCTGCATGTATAGTATTTTGTACTATAAAGTATATACTTTATGTATATTACAGTACAGTATCCTTAACCACTCAATAAACTAAAGAAGGAAACTTTAAATACTTTAATATATTATGTAGTATTGTACAATATAGTGGGCTAACAAATATAGTACAAGGCACAAGGACACCCATATGATGACAAAGAAAGCAGACACTATAATGATATAGTCATTCCTTGTTGACCAGACCACACACTAGAAGGTGAAGGGACGACGACGTTTCGGTCCGTCCTGGACCATTCTCAAGTGGAAACTCAATAAACAGAATTTTTCTTTTACCAAAAGATATAACTTAGCTTATGAGTTTAATATATATAATAAGCCTTTGCTATGCATTACGGAGAAGAACTGTTAACTGTTCAACTGCACAACACAACCAGGGATCTTCTCACTAATTATCTGTAAACTGCGCAGTATAGGGATTTTTAAAGTGCAGCTCAAGATATGAAACGTCTTTGCTTCGTCAGTATGTCAGCAACTGACTAGTGTGTGACACTGTGTTAGATTACAAGATTACCACACCCACCAGAACTGATTAGAGGTTCATAGTGGTGCATAAAACTGTAGTTATATATAATGCATGTATACAGTAATAACGACAAAACCCAGTACGCTTTACTGTTTTGTTACTACATTTAAGTGATATTATATCACTGTAGGATTAAGTAGATATACAATTCCACTATATTTCAATTTTTACACAATTTCATCTTTTGAATTTTGTCAGCACACTTCTCTACATTTTCCCCATAAGTTCTTACAATTGAATATTCACACAAGTCTCATGGCTATATTCCTACCTCAAAGATCAAGGACCTATTGTACAGTACAGTATCCCCTCAAAGGACAAGGGCTGGCTCTATTGTACAGTATCCCCCGCCACTTACAATGGTTTCCCATGCTTACCTAACTCCATTTATACTAACTCTTTTCTTCCTTTGAAATAACCATGCCCTTATCCAACTTAAGATGGCAAGCCATTACCACAAGCCTTTACCCTTCTAATCAGTCTTGCATGGGGCACAGTATCAAAAAGTTGAAGTTAAAGTACACAAGTACGTGAAAGTACACAACATTACACTCCTTTCCACTTGATAAGACCTCAAACATAATCCACAATAGTTATCCACGCCAAATATTTTCTGTCTTTATCGGGAGCACTATGAATGGAAACATTGAAAGACACTTATGATAATCCAAATTTCACTATCAAATCCTACTTTGTACTATTCTCTTTCTCTGAATTACTGTACAGTACTGCATATGGTCTGGTGAACTCGTTACAAAACTTAGGAAGAAATAGAGCAGAACAGCCTTACCTTGGTGATGCTCCAAGCTGACTTGAAGAATTAGTGTGACATTTATCAAAAGCTGTCATGAGTCGTGTAATAGTGGGCATCAAGATGCTTTTACTCATTTCCCGACCCACTCTCAGTGCCATGATAAAGAGGCAGTCAATAACTCGGCAAGCTAGAACTCCCCGTGCTGCTCCACCATGGGGGAAATTGACTTTGGTTGATGACAAGAGACGAATTACAGGGTAAACTGCATTACGAATTAGTGTTTCCTGAAATGTAAAACTAAAAAAGTGAATAAAAGATGCTACACAAAACTTGCAGATACAGTACTGTAAAATAAAATTCATGTACATAATACTGTCAGCTGTCTTTTAAGAGATGGAAATTAGAGTGTTAAATATTACAACTCATTATTTGTTCCTTGTGGCTACAGTTCTATCAGCAATACTGTGTATCACTCTCTACCGACAACATTTGTATTTTATCATTATCAGTATAGGTATTGCTCTTTCTTAAGTGTGTCTTGGACTACTAATAAACTAGCAATAATCCATCATATCTTGCTTTTCAACTAGCAATAATCCATCATATCTTGCTTTTCAACTAGTTAAACCTACCCTTGTCTTCCTCTTCAACTAGTACTAATCTTCCCCTTCTTTTGCTCTTCAACTTGCATTCAAATTTTTCCAATTTATAAAATAATTTACTAGATTATATTAGCCATTAGAAATCTTGCCTTTCACATTCTCCTCTCACAACTGAGGATTATGGGTTCTAAATCTCCCCATTTCCTTTCATCTAATACCTCTGTTCACCTAACAGTAAATAGGTACGGTACCCAAGAGTTGAGCAACTGTTGTGGAGTAGCATCCTGGAGAGGTTAGTAGTTTGACCAGGGGGGACCTCGATGCAAGCTTAAAGTGTATGTATGTATGTATGTATGTATGTATGTATGTATGTATGTATGTATGTATGTATGTATGTATGTATGTATGTATGTATGTATGTGTATATATATATATATATATATATATATATATATATATATATATATATATATATATATATATATATATATATATATATATATATATATATATATATATATATATATATATATATATATATATATATATATATATATATATACATATACATACATACATACATACATACATACATACATACATACATACATACATACATACATACACAGGCTTCCTATCCCCAACACAACAGAGTACAGTATTGTATTAAATTTTCACTTAAGTATCTCGTTTTGAAGGAAGAAACGTTAGTGGAAGTGTGGAATGAAGTCATTTATTAGGCATCTTAGGTATCTATATGAAACCACTGGTACAGTGAAGCAGAGGCAGATAATAAAAAAAACAGACTGGAGGCTACATTCAAGCCTTTTGTGAAAGATTAGTTCAATGCAAAGTTCTCAAGATACCTTCATCAACAAGTATCTGTGTTAGTCATTCTACAGATATTCTGCTTTGATAGACAGGCTAAATATGAGGTCTCTGCCCATGATAAATATCATTGTATCTCTCAAAAGAATACATTTAAATATGCTCTTTTGACATACAAATTTCTGATTAATAATTACATTACAATTATAAATTACATAAAACTGAACGGATATAAAATATTATGAGCAGGTGTTTAGAAAAGAAAATTGAGCAGTCTCCAATAGAAAACAGGAGAACCAGAGAAAGACTATGTAAGATATATCTTGAGGTTATCTTGAGATGATTTCGGGGCTTTTTAGTGTCCCTGCAGCCCGGTCCTCGACCAGGCCTCCACCCCCAGGAAGCAGCCCGTGACAGCTGACTAACACCCAGGTACCTATTTTACTGCTAGGTAACAGGGGCATAGGGTGAAAGAAACTCTGCCCATTGTTTCTCGCCGGCACCTGGGATCGAACCCAGGACCACAGGATCACAAGTCCAGCGTGCTGTCCGCTCGCCGACCGGCTCCCCAACCGATATGAGTTATTACAATGTGTTACGAAGAAGGTGAAGAACGTGTTACCTGAGTAACCAATGACAAAGGCATCACTCTGTGTACTGTGATGAAGAAGCCTGCATCAGAGTGCAAGAGCAAATGGAAACGTTGCATTATTTGGATCATTCCCCACCACTTAACATAATGGGGAAATGAAACTTTAACAAACCATTCAGGATAAATACCCATTATTCAATTTATAATTTAACAATTGGAATAAAGGATACTGAATTTTCTACTTTTGTATTACATCACAATTTTGTGTTAGTCTTAGTATACAGTATATGTTCTAATCTACTTAATTAGGACTAGAATAAGTGCAACTGAAAGAATTACACTGAAAAAATCAACGTGAAGAACTTTAAGAAAGCCCCATAAACTTGTACAGGGTAACTAGGAGAACCAACCTGTAAGTGTTCCATAAATGTACTGTCAGTGAGGTATGGCAAGAGGTGTTGCAGTAAAGCCATGGCTCCCAAAACGCCACCTTCCATTGTTGCTGACAATTTACGTCGACAAGATGCCACCAACTCACAGATGTGGCACAGGTATTGCAGTAAAATGACTTGCTCACCATATAAACCTGTTCAAATAGCAATTCTCATATAAAGATGGCATGTTACGAGCTATAGCAAAATATGACCAAATGTATAGTTTATGTATATATAGTACTGAACAATAAATACTTACAAGCAATTTCCGAGAGACAATGGAGCACTTTTTTAGCGTAATGATCACCAAGAATACGTTTTCTTGTAACCGACAGTTCATCTAATGGATCCGTAGGTATTGGGGCCAGAGCTCCCGAGTCTGGGAGATAACACAAGGTTAGCATTCTCAATAGATTCCGTGTAACATAGCGGGAAGTAAGAACTGGACCCAATCTTCCTGCTAGCCAGAGCACACTCTCACAACAAACATCTGACATGCTATGATCAAGGTCCAATTTATGTTTACTGTTCTGATTTTCAACATCATGAAAAGCAGTTTTAAAAGAATCTTTGTTATTTTCTCCAATGTCAATGTTAGTGATAAATCTCCCTTTTTCTAAACGAAAGTCAGGGAGTGAAGTAGAGTACTCTCCCGCAGATTTGATCACTGAAACACCAGTTACACCACTTTTTGGAATGTTGATGTTAGTAGTGGTGGATGCCGGTAAAGCTGTGTAAGCAGCAGCAAGAGGAGTAGGGGTGTCTGGGTCACTTACTGGCTCCTCCTCATCCCCACTCATAGAAGGGGAGTGTGGAGAAGGACACAGAGATGGGATAGATCCTATTCCTTCCTGCAGTGATACTTCATCCAGACTTAAAGTTTCTGATGCCAGCGGTGATCTGCCAAAACAAATAATGAACAGTAATGTACTGCAGAACAGTAACCTAATGTATAGTACAGAAATCTCTCACCGATTGACAAATTTCAAACAAAATATTAATCTTAATACCAATAATACATTAATGCATCAAAAAGCTGGAATGAATTGTACCAACAAATTTTAGTGCACAAGGAGCTCCTCCAGAAATAAAAACTCTTAAATTATTCAAATATTTAGGAATTTCTGGTTATGAAAATATAGGATTTCTGATGCTCCACTGTATATTCATTTAAAGTATTAAAGAAGCAAATGCAAGCCGAGTTAAGTGATCCAACTTGCCAAGCTGCACATTACCGTCTCTTGTATTACGAGGCATTGTATACAGATGGGATAAAAACCTGGTTACTCAGAATTTAACAGGTACAGCCTCACCTCAACTGGTCACTTGCATCTTGCATAGGAGTGTCTGGGGAACTAACATCTACTTCATCTTCACCCCCTTCAAACACAAATACCTCTGAAACAAAAATTGCCTTCAACACCCCAAAATACTGATAAACTCGTTATATCTGGTCTGGTAATGCTCTCTATATCAATAATCCTCCTCACAATATAAAAGAAAGACAAATTTACTTATAACTATGCTACCATTTATGAATAAAGTGTTTGATCGACTAATTTTAAATACTGTACACTGGAAGGAAAAAAATTAAAAAAAGTTCCTACTAATAGTACAGTTTGCCACACTTGTTTGTTTACATACATTTTCATAACAAAGTCCTTACCTAAGAATAATGTGCAGAAGGGTGGGGGGAAGAAAGGGGCAGATGAGGAATAAATATTACTTAAAATACTGTCAACTGCACTGAAAACAACATTTATTTCTTTGAAGAAAGATCAGTTTCTTTACATCCTAGTATAAGCATCTGACCTGGCTCTGCTTCTGCTTCAGCATCTGTGAGGTCAGCCTCAATGCGAGCTGCACCAGATGCTTCGGAGTCCATTTTCAGTGTGAGCTCTGTTGTGCTGGAGTGGGAATCTTCCTCACAGGGTGAAGTTATACTTTCAGCACACAGGCTTATGTCCACACTCCTAAAGCAAGGAGAAGGATGATATCACTTCAGGTAGTCTAACTATTAGCTTTATTTCAGGCAGTGATGAAATGTGAGTACAGTACAGTAACTGCAAACATGTTTAAATTAGAAAATAAATCCAGTGTTGAATGAAACAAAATGCCTCTTTCTGGTGGGCCTTTATAAGCTTCTTAATACTACAACGTGGAAATGTCCCTTTATAAGCTTCTTAATACTACAACGTGGAAATGTCCAAGTCCTGGAAAACACACAAGATGTCTAAAGACTCGTGTGCGTGGCGAGCGAGACCTAGGAATGAGAACCAGAATCTGACCCCTCCTTAAAGAGGTAAAGGAAAACCTGGCTGCCACCAGGTGATGGGTGGTACCGGTACAGGAATCCAGGCAAGCATAGAAGCATGGCCCCTCTGTCAGCAGTCACTTGTGATGTAGAGAAAACTGGAAATGTTTTGATGTTCATGTAAAAACTTGTCAAGTCATTCTGGGGTGAATTGAAAAACTAAGTGACTCCCTAATATTGTACCTAATTATGACCCTACATGGATGAATAATAATCCCCCTGTGGTGATTTAATTATTTAAATTAATTTTCCCCATGGATCCTTGATTTTTTAAAGGTCTGTCAACTAAACAAGTTGATTTTATTAACAACAAATTCATTTTCCCAGTTTCACCTCTCAATTGAAAGACATATGTAACTGAGTATGCAATTAAATAAAAGGCAGTACAGTATTAAAAAACTTGCTTATTTTGAGATGTTTGATGCTATTTTGTTGACACTGTTTCAAATTTCAGGTTCAATGCCAGACAGTTTTAAGCATATATCAGGTTCCAAATTCATCATGTTTTTGTATTATTTTATTTTATTTAAAACAGCTGGGAGAAAGTCTGTTTGCAAATATGTAGTGTGGAATAGCATTAAATATCTCGGTACTATAAATACAAGGTCTGGGTACTAATTTTTTACATGCAGCCAAAAGTATTGTTGTACTGAATGAAACTTGACTTTAGCGACACCTGTCACTAAAGTGACACTTTTGGCTGTGTCACTAAAACTTTACGTGACACAGCCAAAAGTGTCACTAAAACTTTACATTGTCACTAAAGTGACACTGTAAAGTTTTAAAGTTGAGTCACTTTAGCTTGTGATAAACATGATATAATCAATATTGCCATAGTGGGTTGATAATATTACAACCAAGAAAAAAACCTGAAAATTTGGAAGTTTATCTTTAGCAGCTTTATTATGAGCAATTATACATTTTATGCGGGAACCTCTTGCAATTGTTATTTTAGCTTGCAGATCCCAGGTTGGAAATCACTGGTCTAGAACATCCTTCTTTATTGCTCATGATCCCAATCATATAATACTATGGACATCCTCAAGTGAGAACCTAGTGTGATAGTTCAGAAATGCAAATGCAAGGTCTTAAGCTCCATATTAAATTTCACCCAAATATAATTTTGCATTCACATTAGTCAAAAATATTTAAGGAACCTGTGAATAAAACAATTACTATACCATCCTCAGGAGGATGAAGGCTTTTTTCATTAAATATGTGCCCGGAACATGATTTAATAATGTGATGGTTCTCAAATGGGTGTAGAGAGCGAGTAATACTATAGGCTGCCATACAGGTGCCAGACTAAAAGCATGAGAACTATGCAGGGGCCAGATTCACGAAAGAACTTACGCAAGCACTTACGAACGTATACATCTTTCCTCAATCTTTGACGGCCTTGGTTACATTTATTAAACAGTTTACAAGCATGAAAACGTCCCATTCAACTGTTGTTATTGTTATAAACAGCCTTCTGGTGCTTCCGAGCTCATTAGCTGTTTAATAATTGGAAACAAAGCCGTCAAAGATTGAGAAAAGATGTACAGGTTCATAAGTGCTTGCATAAATGCTTTCGTGAATCTGGCCCCAGGTCTTCAAGAAGAGAATTTGGTTATTTTCACTTACTTGAGAGTTGTAGACTGCTTTCTAACAATTTCTGTAGACTGTTGTGATTTTCCATGTACTTCCTTATATCCACCAACACCTTCAATCAATGGTGTTACAAAAAATGTGAGAAACTTGTGAAGACCATGCCAGACTATCAATTGCAGGAGAAAGGAGCGATGAAAAAGCTTGAGATGTTTGTCGGTCACAGTTTCGGCCTCAAAAAGTTTCACTACAGGAGGCAAGAGGTGTTTATTTGCTTCCTCTGGTCCCAGAGCTTGAGCAATGAGACTCGTCAGGTACCACGCAGCATTTACAGCACTTTCTGGATATTCAAAGAGTTCAATCAAGTATGGTAAAACAAGGTCTAATCCCTCTGCTGATAAACTAGGCAACAAATCTGGCAAATCTTTGGCAGCCATCTTGACCCTGATCTCTGCAACTTTAAGAATATATTCCTTTCTTTTCTGGGATTCACTTAGCAACATATTAGCTTCATTCAAAAGCTGTGAGTATTGTCTCATCTTGCATACAAATCTATACAGTTTTGGAAAGTATGATGGGAAGACAATTACATTAATAAGGGGTTGAAGCAACTGATGTGGGCTTGGAGGTGGCAAACCATCTGATGACACTGGCTCATATTTATTAGGTAGCGAGTTGTCCTTAGCATCTCTCCAGTTCATTATCTGAAATATTACTTGTAAAGTATGCCGTATGCACCGAGGAATATCAGTTTGGTCGTGCGTGAGAAGTTTGCGAGCATGAGCGTATCTCTCTTTGAGTGAAGCTTTATTACTCAGAATCCTACATTTTGAGTGTGAGAAAATCTCCACAATAATGCACCCTATTACCTGTATGTCTCTGACACGCCTCAAGTGGGCTGCCTGCTTCACGGCTTGTTGAATGTCTCTACACTTAATTGATTGCTCTGGAATACTTCTTGATGCTTTCAATACCAAATTAAATAACATTTCAACTTGATTAAGTGCTACAAGTGGATTATATTCATGAGGTAATTGGATATTCGGTAACTCTGTTTGCTTTTCCTCAAACAGAGACGTTCTAGATCGACTTAATTTTTTGGAAAGTGCCAAAGACTTGACACTTTCCATTTCTTCATCCTGCCGTTCTGGTGCCGAGTCTGCCTCACTTGCCTCGTCACATTTTTCAAATTCTGGAAAGAGAATTTATAATTAAGAAAAATAGTTCATGCATAAGTGTATGTAAATCATACACATTTTATTGTTAAATTATATTTTAAAGAAGTGCTTGCAATATTACCAAAAGAATTTCACATAAGTTGGGTATTATGTGAGGAAACTACCATTTTATTGCAAGATGCATTAGTAGGTCACAGGCATCCATGACAAGAGGGTGTACTTGTTGAAGCATTTATTGAGACAACAATGGTAAATGTCAAGACCTCGCACCAACCTCCGTACAGCTTTGACTTTATGCTTAGGTCAGAAATTGACAAGCTGATGGGACAATTGCAATGCCTAAGGGAGTGGCTAACGGGGTCTGCTTGTTGGACACCTTAATACAAATTAATTTATTTCATGTTCCCAAAGAAAAGATTTCGAGTCACCACTGTAACATGACTGAATGGAAGGATAATGGAGAGAAATGTCTATTAACGGCTCGGAAGACAGCATCTCTTCTGACACGATGATATTTTTTAAATTGAGCTCAAGTAGTGCCTTTTGTACTGGCGAAATTGGTTATGCATGCTTATCCTGCATGTGCTGTAACTTCATAGTATAAAAGAATCCCAAAACAATAAGCTTACTTGTTTCTTGTTGTGCAGCGATACTGAACTTGGGCGGTGATCTGCCAAGGTACGGAGATGGTGTTAGTCTTGGAGGGTGAGGTGTAGTGAACAGCTGTACAACTCCTCCAGTAGTAAGGGTTGTATGGGCATCCACTAGCTGCAGGCACACATTCTTAGCTTTTACTGATGCTCCACCAGACAACCTGAAGAAACAGTTACCCTATATTAGAGCCACAAATCAAGACAAAGTACAGTAGTACGGTTGGGTTCATTCTCGACTCAATTGAAAATCCTGAGTGGGACAGAAATGGTTGGGCAAGTTTCCTAATGTGTTGTGGAGTTGCACCCTGTGGAGGGTCAGTAGTTCAATGGGGGAAGGGATGACCTTGACTCTGATAACTGTCTCTTTTAGGCAATTGTCATTCAATAGTCTGATGTAGTGCTGATGGTTTGACAGGTATGCATGCAAGAAGCTTGGGAAGCTACCAAGAGAACCACCAGAAAGAAGCATTTCATTACATTCAATGCTGGCACTTTAGATATTGGTCTTGACAGATGAGGTGGGTTGTTGATGTTCAAATGTTACAGGTTACACCTTACACTGCTCCAGTCATTTGGGAGATGATTTAAGGTGCCTCATTTTATTTAAAATTCTCACCCATTCTAGGGGATGTCATTTGACACTAGAGACCTCTGTCAATTGTAAGCATGAGATCGCTGGATTTTTTCAAACGTAGATTAGATATGTACAGTACTTTATACGAGTATATCTGGTTGGATATAAATAGGATCTGCCTCACATGGGCCAATATGCCTTTCATTCTTGTGTTCTATAGTTAAAGAACATGAGTGACTCCCAAACAGATTTACAAGCCGTCATTAAAGTGTATTAGGGGCATTTGACAACAGCAAATATGATCACGTATTTCTGGACCTCAGCAAGGCCTCCTACACAGTTCTGCAAGAGAGGCTACTAAGGAAGGTCAAAGTACATGATACTAGAGGAAACATATTAAACTGGATCAGAGCATGGCTAAGACAGAAAACAGATTCACCATAAATGGAGTGCAGCTGGAGAGGACAGATGTTCCTAGTTGTGTGCCACAGGGCTCTGCACTAAGCCCACTGATTTTCACAATTTAAATACAACAAAATAGATATTGGAGTGACCAGAATATCAGCATGTCTGTCGATGACACAATGGTAAGGCAGGTAATAAATACAGTACAAAAGAAGACTCTGATGAAATGCAAAGACTTCAACAAACTTCATGCTGGGCATTTTAACATCAATAAATGCAAATTCTTGTATCTAGGGCTAGACAGCAATGCTATATACCACATCAGTAATACTTGTATAGCCCTGGGTAGATCCAGCAAGTCTTTGGAGTCAGTGCTAGCAGTAGCCTGAAGCAAAGGCAGCAATGCATCAATGCACAAAATAAAGCAAAGAGGATGCTGGAATACATGAAGAAGAATAATCATCATCAACAGAAGCACATATATCATCCTTCAGCTGTATGTAGCACTGGTAAGGCTCCAACTTGCACTATGCTGCGCAATTCTGGTCACCGTACTTTAAAAAGAGGCACAAAACTCACAGAAAATACAGAGAAGGATAACGAGGCCTTTCCTATGATGACAGGCTGAAGTGTCTCAATCTACACATACTAGAGAGATGACAAGGGGGAATATGAGCAAAATTTTTGAGTGGGTTAGGAGAATATACAAGGAGGAATTTAAACAGGGTTCTGAAAAGTTGCCACAGGTCAGAACCCACAACAATGTGTACAAAGTGGAGAAATTTAGTTTTAAGAGGAATATAGGGAAGTTCAGGCTTGGAAACAGGGATGGGGATGAGTGGAATGGGCAGCCAGCTAGCATTATTGAGAGGCAGTTTACAGGTTTGAAGCATAGATTGGACAGTACAGTATATGGATGAGAGGGATGAGGGGGAGTGATTTGAGCAAGACTCGCCTTCAGTGGGTCAACAACCCTGTTGCCGTGCCAAGTCTTATGTTTTATGTTCTTATTTGGAAGATACAGCACTCATGACATTTCATTTTTAATTGGACATCAAACATTTTCATTAAGATAGAAAGATAGAAATGAACAAACTGTTAAAAGGATTTCACGAATTAATTAATGTAGGATTTCTGTATGAAGTAACATGTGCTAACTAACCAATGCCTCGCTGGTACATGTCAACATAGAAACACATAACAATAAAGGTACACATAAGAATTACAATAATCAAGCTAACAATAAAAGAAAATACTCAATATACAAGTACACACTTGTGTCCAAAGTTAAGGTCAATCCAATGATGAAGACGCTGCGACACTCTCTCACTCTCGAGAGCAGAGCGATGGAAGTGCATGAAGTCTGCAGCATCTTCACACCATTCAGGTACTTCCAAGTCACTTAGGTCCTGGTGGATACTCTGAAAATAGTTAAAAAACATAAATAACTGCATCAAAAACTATTTATCTTGTGCCACTTGATCATTCAGAAATGGCATTCAGAATGTGAGAAAATACAGCACACGTTTCTACTTATGCATGCTGAAGGTATCCTCAATCTTTACAAAATAAAACACTGGCCAATGAAAAGACCATACATGTAAAGTGCAAAAGACATGTACTTTACAAAACTTCCACCAAATGTTACATGCATAGAAAACAAATTTCAACATTTAATGGCCATATGTCTAACCTTAAAAATAGATGAATCGATGTAGAATTCAGGTATACACTCATCTGGAGTCCAGAGATAAAGCCGACTTATTGTAGCTGGATAATGTTCTGGCACCCACTGTTGACGTACATACTTAGTCAAAATCTCCTTTGGGGTTACACGAGCCTTGTATACATAGTAAGTGATCTCACTGAATACTTCCGTCACATGATGTGCAACCTGAGGGTGCAAATACAAAATATTACATCTGTATATTTCTAAAATCCAGGCTCTAAATTATACAAAAAAAAGCTCACAATTTCTTTAAAGAGTTCATTCATAAAACACAAGGTATTTCCAACCCTCACTTGACATCCCAAGTGACTGCCAAGGAAGAGGTCCCATTATCAGTAATCTGCATTGGTACCTGTGTCAGCTGACATCAGCAAGCAACTCCACACAGCTTCAGATGCACACACTACAGCAACTCTACATACAGTACTTACTGATGCAAAGAAACATACTTAGTAGAGGGAAAGAGAGGAAGCAAGGGGGGGGGGGGGTTAGGAGCAGCCAAATAATCCACTCAGAAAACCACATTTTATACAACTCTGAGCCTAATTTCCAAGCTGTCTCATTCAGCTTCAGGGTACTGCAGATACTGTATCCCAGATACTGTATACAAGTATCTGGGAGACCTAACAATGCACCCCCCCCTCAAGTAGTTAAAATATATTAACTCTTCAAGTATCTCTGTATAAATTCTTATCCTACAGTTTAATAATAAATACTTATGGTGTTTCTCGCCACTCTACACGTATCTACAAAGTCCATATCCCCTTTTATAATATACTAGTAAATATAAAATACCATCGACATGTATATACAGTATATACAATATGCTATTTCTAAATGTACAATGCTACATGCCAAAAATAACATCAAGGCCTAATGAAGGGCTATAGTATAGGTGGGAGAAGAAGTGGAAGAGGAAGTGAGGTAGAGATGGTCAGGAGAAAATGGGAGAAATAAAACTTACTGCTTGCTTATTCTGTCCATGACTAGCTGCCATCTGGTATGTATGGTCTAACTGTTGATCCCCTTTATTTAGTCGAAATTTAGTTTTGGTTAGATCTCGCCATCCACCATTTCTGCTAGAGAAATCCATCACCCATGGCACTGTAGGATGATGATGGGGCGAGTTGAACTTTCGGCCCGCATAAAAATTAAGGCATAGTAGGTAATCAAGAGTCGTTATCTGGTGGCCAACCTGAAAGGAAGTTTACTGGGTAAAATGCGCAAGAAACTGTATTCTATTTAACACAATGATTTTCATTTCATATTAGCTATTTTTGCATTATCCAATTTCCCATTTTCATGGGTGGGGGAAACCTCAGCCTATAAACTCAGACTATAGGGAAGCAATTTAAGCAAATTAAAGCATTAAATATGATGATGTGCCATTATCAGTTGTTCCCAGAGCTTAATCAATGGCATACCAAAGCTTCGAAAATCAACCCAAGATTCTAAAACACACCCTGGTGTACCAAGAGCCACTATTAGGATCTGGCGCTCTATACAAGACGAGGGGAGCATGGAGATCAGAGATCTGCCTAAAATCAAGAAAATATCCATAAAAAATGATAGGCGCAACAAACCACACAAGTGCTTGAAATATAATGAACCGCGAGGTAAGCAAAACAAATGATTGTTGTTGCAGCTAACAACCGTAACAATGATGCACCCAACCACCACCAGATAGTGGCCCAGGTCACCTGTGGTCTCGGAAAGCTACACACCTCACTCAAGAGCCACCAGAACCGAACCAAAACAATTCCTGTGGGAAAAAAGAGAAAGCTACTGAGATGCCAATCAGAAAAGGGCCTTTCATAAAATTAATGTTTCATTTCTGAGAGGGGGCCCCTCAGCCCTCCAAGCTTACTCCCAATAACACCTCAGCAAAGGAGAAAAGTTTTTTCTTATATGGAAAATAATAAATTAGTAAAATCAGAAACGGACAAAAGAGCTTGCCTGGGGAATCAGATTGCAGATCAGGGCCTGGGCTGGAGGAACATCAACAGCATGCCATGGATATTTTGATAAAGAATGCCATCACAGCAACAAACTTACAGATATGATGAGTGGTGATACACAACTGGCAAGAGGAGTCAAACTACCTTCCAGATGGCCTGGAAAAGGTAGGCCTTGCACAGTGAGACACTGGGTTAACAAATAAGTATGGCATAATTGACTTCATTCTTGACTCACAATAAGGAATCCTGGGTTAAATTTCTGGGTGGGACAGTATTGGTCGAGTTAGTTTCTTTTCACCTAAGGACTGTTTACTTAGCAATAAATAAGTACCCCTTGAGTTAGGCAACTGTTGTGGAATTTCATCCTGGGGAGGGTCAGTAGTTTGACCTTGAGGGGGCACTCAATACGAGCCTAAAGTTTATACTGTATATTCCAGCCTAGTGGAATAGCTCAGTAAAACAGCTTATTAAAACTAGCTTCTGATCCAGACTTTCAAAGCAGAGATTTAAGCTCCAGAGTGACTCATGATATATGAATGCTCCACAGTACTATCAACAGTGGTATCCATAATGAGTACTGAGAATACAGCTCCGGTGAGAACAACATTAAATGTGCATGTGAATAATGGGCCAACAGAATAAGATGATGGGATGTGCCACTGCAGAGTAAAGATATTACATACCCAGAGTTGAGTAAGCTGCACTAAAGAGCACTGAAGGAGCACCTCCAGTTCTGCATCTTGAACACTGTTGCTGTCCACCTGTAATATAAGAATGTAAGTATTCACCATTAAAAAATTTCATAATACAGTACAGTATATATGTATATTCTTTCCTATTCATGCATATAAAAATACAGTATTGAACGTAATGAAACGCCCCTTTCTGGGCGAGCCCATGCCACTCCCTTAAGTTATATTGCCGAAATAGCTTCCCATTACTAAGTCACATCAGATATGGACCTTCTGTTGCCTACTGGAAACCAGAGCCAGAACCTAGTACCTTTAAAAACAGTAGGGGATTGTTAAGACCACCCCTCACTGGGAAGGCAACCATAAAGTAGACGAGATAATACAAATAACTGCATGGTCCATGAAAATGAAGCACTTAAACAACCAACAGACACCACAAATTAGTCATTCAAAATAAAATGGTTCACTCTAAACTGGGTATGAAACACCCCGTAACACACAGGGCCACCAACAGGTGGCACCCCGTAGTTCCTGGCTTTAAGGCCAGCGACCGTTCAGTCCAGAGCTGATAGATCACAAACCCAACAGACATGCCTGGTAGGGAGGGAGGCAGTCTGGGAGCCACCAGCCCTGACCCGGAAAGGGGCATTTCATTACATTCAATGCTGGCTTACTGGGGGGGTTGGGGGGTTGGATTCCCTTGGTGGTTCCATGAAGCTAACTAATAATAGAGAAGGAAACATGGGACTTGCCAGGGAGAAGGCGAGGCAGCATCTACAAAAGCCTGAACTAGAGGGAAAGACCAGATGCAGGGTGCATCACACCAGCAGGGAAAGGAATAGAAGCAGGAAACTTACAGCAGACGGAATTTACCAACCCCAAAACTGGATCCCTAAACACCATAGGGGACAAACTAAATGAGCACCATACCACAACCCGCAAAAGTGTAAAAAATTAACACACAAAGCAGTAGCCGACTGAAAAGCCTCCTCTCTCGAAGCAGGATCTGATAAGATAAGAGACCCCACAAGCACAAAGGTTGCCGGACTCAAAGTCAGAGGTGCCACCAATCCAACAGTCAGTATTTGGCAAAAATAGACAATGATCATCAGCAAGTAGGAAACTCAATGAGATCCTTTAAACTCTCATGTAGTGAGAATGGGCTCCATAGGTTGATCCATTACCAACCATGCCACAGACCCACAAGGGAGTTTGCCAGGGTCTGAAGGAAACTAACCAAACAGGACACCCAGGCACTAGGGAAGTTCGCTGGATGAACAGACCAATGCAGCCTATAGGATTAACTTGGCAATGAAGGGTTATCTCTTAACTATGCTATCATCATCCATTCATTCAATGACTAAATTACCTCAAATTCTCGTCATTCTTACACTTTACACACCCCTTTATTCCACATCCTTCCATACCATTTTCATTTCTTACTCCGACTTCCTAATGCCATGGTTTTTTCCTGTTCATGCCATGCCAGGAACTTGAGTCCATTCATAAAGGTCAGCACTACCATTACATCATGCAGCCTTCTGGCCACCTTTCTTTGTAACTAGTTTTTCATAACCAAAGCTTCCATTGCACAAGTCACTTTTATTCATAGTCTCACTACATTCAACATCTGCACAAATTCACTTTTTGAATTACTGAGCTCAGATCTCAGTGACTGACTGCTTATAGGATTTCTCTCTCTATTCCTATTCACACACCGAGTTTTCTTCTCTTTCCACCACAAACAGGATACCATTACTGTAGCAGCAGGAAAGCAATGAAAATAAGATAAATCTAAACAAAATGGATTTCAGAGAGCAGAGAGCATTTCATTACACAGCATTAAATGAAAGTAGAAATATGCAACACTGGCATGGAATCTTCCCCCATAAAGCACAGAACAAAACTTTACAAAGTACAGTACAGATGTTTGCAACTAGATGAGCACCAGAACTCAAAGAGACAAGTTATAATATTAGGTTACAGGAAATATAGTTCTCAACAGAGGAGAGAAAGAACAGAAGGAATATGATCCATTACATACAATATACTTTGGAGGAATACACTCAGTGGACAAGAACCAGCCTATTTATATCGAGAGGAACTATGACAAGTGGATCTTGGTGGAAGCTTGAATCTTAATTGATTCTTAAAAATGTAAGAAAACTCTCATACCCTGCAAGGGTGGTCAACTAGTGGAATGCACTGAAAGAAGAAAGTGTTGAAGTCATGTTCATCCACAACGGTAAGAAAAATATGACAGAACTCAAATGTCAAAAGTTGTAAAGGCATGCTAGATACAAATGGCCAAGAGGTGACTCATAATGAGCTATATAGCCCTTCCCCATACACACTTACAGGTAGTACAGTACTCTAATACTTCACTTTTATTCATACCACTTTTTGCAGTCTTTCACAAACATCAACAAAAGTTATATTTAATGTCCCATATATCCGTATCCTTATTATGATATTCTAGGAGAACTGCACCATCTGCATGCTATACATAAACTTATAGAAACTTTTCATTTATTCATATTGTAATTTCTTCTACACAAATAATACATTTTCCAATAAGTATCTTTAATACAGCATTTACAACTGACACTTCAATTGTCTCCTTGTTACACTTTTTTGTATTATCTTAACCCGAAAATTCTTTTTATTCTAATTTGTGCCATCACACACATCATGTGCAATCACTGCTACTGCCTTTACCTTTTCAAAGTTGATAAGTATCTTGAACAGTGCCATGAGAAGCAATTCATTAACTTGTACCACCCCACAGTCAATAGCCTCCTCCCTCCCTACTTTCATTCCAATTAATTCCTATTATAATGCTTACCCATTTCCATTTTTCATTCTCACTTGTTCTAAAAATTACTTTACAAATCCTAGCACATTACGCATTCCCTTCTGATAAACTTTCACCGTTTCTATTATCTCTTATTCCTCCTTTACATCCCCAGTCATTACATTATACTTTCAGGGCCCAGGCAGGAACAAGATGGGTCCCTGCCCAGTCTTCCCATCCCTTTATCATGGAATATGGGGCCGTTTGTATCACACAGCAGAGAATGAAATGTTTCCACATTCCTATGCCTAAACCTTTCATTACAGATAATTTTGAATACATACATAAATCACTCACCAAGTTTGTTCATCTATTAAACTTAAGTGAATAAAATAAGTAGTGTGTCAACTTGCCTGTTTTAAGATATCAAAAGCCTCTTCACTAGACATTAGTTTCTGATATGGAAGCAATCTTCTATCTAACTGACTTAATGCACTTAAGTGTTTAGTTTCCTCACTATCACCATCGTTAACTTGAAAATTATCATAAACTTTTTTTGTCATAGTTACTGGACAGTAGAATAACTTAGTACTAGTTTGTTGACATTGAGTGGCGTAATTATTTTCCGCATACAGATCTTGTGTGTCCGATATGTGATCAGATTTGGGGACTTCAATACACTGACTTGCATCCATTGAAGGTGATACTCTGCTTCTCTCTCTTCCCGAGTCAGTCTCCTGTATGACTTCAATCTCTGCTTTCTCTTTGGTTGTGTGCTGAGAGTGTAGTGAGTCTGGCTGAATCAAGTTATCAGGAATGCTTGGCAGCAAGCTGAGGTAGAGAGAGTCATCAATAAAAAGGTGACTCAAGGTAAAATTCCCAAGGTGAAGCCCTCGATCATGTGTATCTCTAGCCGCTTCCAAAATCTGGTAAAGTATAAAGAGCGGCCGTGCTTCAGATCCAATTAACTTGCCTGGGCTGTGGATTAGAAAATAATTTTAGCCAATAACAAATTTATGCACATTACAAATAATAAAAGAAAAACTGGTGAAAGAAGCGACTGTGTGTTTAGGCATGTATAAACTTGTGTATACAGCGAGTCCTTACAATGAGTGAGGAATGCAGTTTTGAAAAATCAGCATAAGCAATTTTTTGTAAAATAAATTTATGTTTATGTAAATTTATGAAAGGAAAAAACAAACAGGCTTTGAGTATGTGTAAAAACACCTTTCTGAGCACTTTATTCAGATGCTCCCTAAGTTAAGTTCTTCTGTCACTTTGGACTGGTCATACCCTGTACCCTTTTTATTAAATAAAAAACCTACTCCCACAGTTCCAGAGAAGGACCAAAAGCATGCTCTACTGACCAGATTCTGAGGTAAACTTGACTGTAGAAACCTGCAGAGGGGGCTTTTTCAAGCCAAGAACAGGGACACAGAAATGCAACTAGGGGCAGAGGCTAAGGCAGTACCCAACCCATACGGGGAAGAACAAGAAAAGAGAATCCACAGAAGGAATAAAACCCTTAAGCCTTGAAACAAGATTACAAAGAGTGACAAAGAGTGACAAAGTGTGTGACAAACACAGACCATACTCAGACCAACCCAAAATCTTGAGGCCTCTCCTTGCTGCAGAAAAGGAATGGGCTAGGAATACATAAATACAAGCAAGAACTTAAAATCCAGTTGCAGCCTTTGCCGACTGCACACGGGACAACAGTTAGGAAGTATGCGAGGGCTGTGGGGTGGGGACACTTGTAACTGCATGCTGGATGGTGTCAACACCAGGTGCAAGTGTCGGTGTAAGTGCCCAAGCATACTAACCAGTAATAAGAGAGAGAACATCACAAGAAAAAGAACCAATGTGACATACTGAAGGTAGAGTTACAGTATGTCATAACTATGTGACATACTCGTTATAAGTGGGATTGGGTACTGACTGATAAATAGGAGCTGCTTCATATGGGCCAATAGGCCTTCTTCAGTTACCTTTAATCATATGTTCTTATGTTCTTATAGACAACCCATCTAAACTATAATGTAACAGAATTTGTGGATTTTGCTTGCAGAAGACCTGAGAGCATGATGGAATTACGCCTTTTCGTGAGTATTACTGAGATATTACTACTTGCTGTTAAGTATCTGACATATATGATGTGCATAAATAAAAAAATCCATATCCCCAAGTCCTGATGAATTAGTCTTAGCATATGAATATGAGCAGCCCCTGTTTTGTTTGCATTTATTTTCCACTCCAGGGATATATAAATTTACTTATAACTATCAATAACCACACAAATATTTTTTGTAGTAGCACAGAGATATCAGCTCAAATTAAAGAACTTTATGAATATTCATCAAGCAACAGTTGTACTATCATGTTATCGTGATTCTTCATTGTGCAGTTGTCCTACACTACAAGAAAATGTTCCTTTATATGTTATGATATCTATTATTCTTGGTACTTTTTTTATCATATACAACTGTTTATAAACTGCTGGTAATTTATAATAACCAAACTATGTTGATAATAGGAAATTCATTCACTGCTATAACACTCAAAACTACACATGTTGTCTAATGTTTTGTATCTGACATACACATTTACAAAGTAACAATCATCACTTCCTATTTAAATATCTGAATTAATTACTGTTAATTAAAAACATTCAAACTCGCGAGTTTCATCTTACCTAAATGAGACACACTGTAGAACATTATGGTAAACGCTATTCAGCATAACTAATATATGTTGGTCTGCTTCAAAAGCACATATGGCCGGCAGCACATTGGTGTGAGGGCCAGGAACACGGCTGCCTTGTATCCCACCGTGCACTGGGGTATCTCCTCTGTAAGCAGCAAACATTAGAAATAAATGTAAAGTGGATGTAATGGTTGCAGAATAATAAAAAAGAAAAAGTTCATAAGACTGCACACAGAGTAATTACTGTATGTAATACTCATATATACTTGTAACTCTTTCTCATCTCCTCTGGTTCTGACAAGTCGTTTGTAATCACCGATTTCCCTTTCCATTTCTGTTTTGGCACTGTTCACTAGCCACTTTGTTTTACAGTAACATCATTTGTCACAATGTTCTTTATTATCTGTCTTGCCTCTGACTCTTTAGTAACTTCTTCAAAAAGTTATGATGATCCTTGATCCCAGATACTCCTCTTTTTTTTCTGTAGCTTTTGTTGCATCCATTGCAGTTTCCCCTTCCTGTTCTACTACCTTAATCATGCTTGTTGACACTTGCTTTCCTGCATTGGTTCATTTTCTTACATTTCTCTACTTCAGCCATGAGGTCTGCTCAAAGTTGGTTTTTCATATTCAGCTCTGTATTCAGATTCACTATGGTCATTTCTAGATCTAATATCTTCTTCCTCTCCCTGTTTTTATTTCTCCAATTGCCTCTGTCTCACTATCTCCACCTCCCTCATCCTCTTCTATCACCCTATTTTCCATGTTTTTTTTGTCAAAAACACCAACCGTGTTTTTTGTCAAGGTCTAATACTTGACCAAGAATGTCTCGACAAAATAAAGAATAAAAAAAATACATTGTATTCAATTTTGGCCACAGAGGCACTTAGCCAGGTATGTTAGTAAAAGTCTTATATCACCTACATGATTGGGGTATTCACAATATACTTTTTCTTGGGCTTATTACTTGTAGAGATAATGTCTTTTTGGAGCAGAGGTACTCAGAGCACAGTAGCTTGTCACTGCTAATTTGGTCCCCAGAGTTAAGGGGACTACCAGAAGGTTTTGCAGAGAATTTGTTTTCTATATCCCATTATGATAAACAATAAACTTATGCCTTATGTGAGATGTCATATTGATCTCTGAACTAGCTAACTTCATTATCAAAGTGAGGAATAATAAAAATATTAAAGAGCATAAAACATATTAAAAAATATAATTAACTAAAACATTCTTATACAGGTCCCAGGTCCATTGCCAACCATAAATTTTCACAATACAAAGAGAATGTAGACTAACCGTATGGGAATAACTTTGCAGCCATACAGTCTCCACAGCACTTCCCTCAAAACATTGTGCATGCTGTCCGTCCCTACCTGAGCTCCACCTTTCCACTGCACTGCTACACCATGCTCTGTAAGACAATACACACAGTACAAAGACAGCAATGAAGTATTATTAACATTCGTATCACTACAAGTATTATAGACAATAACTCAAACTGATAATTAAAAGTTGAAAACCAAGTAATGTATTCATTTACTATTTGGTTACTTTAAACAAAACACAGTTTATAGAAGCTGAATGACATGAAAAATAAAGTACAAACTTTGAGGGTGCTATGGTAGTGTGTTAATAGAGAGATGCCACAGATGTGTTTGGGGAGCGGTTTAATACTATACTTTTTTAAGTTTAATACATCACAAGTTTAATGCTTATGTAATATGACATATTTTAGTTCATCTGGCCCGAGTCCTGGTTAGGGCATATGACCATTGTCACTACAGTATTGAAAAATAAGAAAATTGTGTTTGGCTTATACTGTAAATCCTTATTATTACCAAGATTTGATATATCTGGCAATTACTACCTAACAAAATGATATACCTTGAAATTATGCATAAAAATCTAGCATTGAATGTAATTAAACACTTCACTCTGGCAGGCTGCTCAGTGGCTCCCTACTGTTGGCCACCTGAAAGGCTCTAGACACGTAATAGAAAACTGACTGCACACCAGTGGCCAAAATGTGCGTGCAGGGAGCAGGGGAATTTATACATAACAAAACAAAAAAGTTAGAAATTTGAATTGAATTTTAAATGTAATACTGTAAATACAACTGTTAATATGAAACTAAACCTACTTATCAAAAAGACAAACATGGGATAATATGGTGTCTAGGTCCATCATTCCTCTCTAGCATTGCCAATCACTTCCATCTTTAATGTGTTGGTACAGCATTAACTTGTTTCAGTTACAGTACTGTCACTATATTTTTCAGCTGTAATTCCTTCTTTATTACAAACCTGAGTATTTCTTGTAAGCATCTTTCCACAAGTTCTTGTTATTAGAGGTTGCTACATAATGAAGCAGCTGGGAGTAGGAAACATCGGCCATTAGTCCAGGAGAATGGCCAGAATTTCGTGCTAAAGGATACACCTGGGTTTCATTTTTTGGAATGACCTGGAAAACATTACAAATAAAATTTAAAAACTCTACTACCTTCATGACTAGAGCAGTTTAAAATACTATACACATTTGATTGGTTGATATGCTAAATATAAAAATTAATTATTTTTACCACTTTCTTCTGATTTAGTCTCTAGCTACAGATACTGAACACTCTTAAACTAATCACTCATTATGCATATAATACTAGGGAAGAAACTCAGAACTAAATTTCCAGCATCTTTGTGGGAAAAACCTGCTGGGATTGATATAAGAGGAGACTACCAGGGACTTGTACTGAACTAAATTAAAAAATTTACTGTCTGCAAATTAATTCAACTAAAATCTCTAGCTAGGGTTGTAAATCCTAATTCCTCTTTTCCTAATGACAAACTGTGGGCTGTAAGGGACAGGTGGGGTGAATGACTATGTTGATAGAAGTTCCAATCCACCTGTAGACAGGGATCTCACATCAGCTTGTATTTTATACAAGGATAAGATTTAATAAATTCAGTTATCTGACTGAACACTGGCTCTGTTTAAATCAGAGATTTAAACATACATAGTCTAACCTAGTACCATAACTTAACAGCCAATATGTTCTTATACTATAAACAACAAATTAAATTGTAAAAGTATAAATAAATGACCTTAAATGTAGTCTAAATACTGTTGAGTAAGTACTAGAAATTATATTCAATTAAATGAACTTATATGATAACTTAAAAATAACTAAGCAAGCAATTGATAACTTAATTTATATATTCAAATATATATGCAGACATATTCAATTTATATGATACAGTTAGCTTGAGTGAATCCTTTCCAACGCTATGGACACTTGTGAGGTTTTTACTTATTGAGGCTGAATTCTTTTCTGACAGAATGGACACTCATGAGGTTCAGTGCTTGGATAAGATTCACAGCTACACTACAATTTTAATAAACGTACCGATGAATGAGGCTTTGCCTCGCTTTTTAACCAACAGACAGATTTATAGTATATTAAAGTTACACAAGCATACAATTGGCCAATCATACACCAAATAACCCTCAATATACTTCTCTGCCAGTCGGGGTGCCTGTCTGACAAGTTTGCCAGACTGATTAACTCTCTTGTCGAGTTTAGGCACGATATTTTGCTACAGCGTTGCTGTATGATGATCTGGTAGCGTTGCTACGTGATTATCCTGCAGTTGCAGAAGAATGATTCGAGATAAAAGTTTATGAATGAAGGTGGAGGAAACCGTGTCACTGATCTCCACTATACACTATTATTTTATAAATGTTCTAGGATTTTCCTTGTAGATATTGTCCAGGTACTCCCCCAGTTCTAGAGAGTATTCACTGGCGATAAAAATGTTAGATAAGGTGTCCTTGAGCTGGTAATGTTCGCTAAGGATCAGTCACTTGTTCACTCATTTGTAAACAAACGCGGAGTGCCGCGAGGCATCGTCGTGGGCGCTTCTCGCCCCCCGAGAGCCTTCCCCCTCTCCCTTGAGAGGTAGCTTGCAATGAATATTGATTGATTATTTTTACAGTCTAGACTTATGATTAAGATAAGATGTGATTATAATATAATTAGATATAAGATTTAAAGATTATAAGTAGTATTTGAAAGTACCACTGAATCTTATTAAGGATTCGATTTTTAATCCTACCGGATGTTGAATCAATGTTCCAATAGTTTTTTAATTAAGAAGTCCTTCTAGAAGCTTCTGGATCCTTGAAAGATCATGTACAAAGTCACGTAGGCATCAAAAGGGCCCCTGTTGAGTACGTGTTCATGGTGCCATTGTCATCCAGGATCAAGCTATATAATGAATCTTTAAAGATTCATTATATGATTTTGATACATTTTAGATATGATTTTGATATGATTTAGATATGATATAGAAATTATACATTTCTTAGATGATTATTAGATATGGTGGGTAAAAATTTCCCACATCTTCCAGAGGGAGAGAACTGGCACAGAGTCCAATACTTAGGACAATAGTAACCATATGTATTTATTTACTCTCCATTGGATTGATAATACAAGTGCAAATTTTGCTTGCACTTTTGTGCTGCTGTCCGTTGTGGACGATTGTGTCTGTTAGGAGTCTGTGGGTCTTGTGGAGTTAGAGTGTCTTGAGGTCTCTCAGGATCTAACTGCAGCTGGCTCACTGATTCCATGTGGATGAGTTTGTCCAATGTCTTCAGGGAAGTTGTTCCTTTAGACAGGATTTTGACTATTCTCAAAATCCCCTGACTATCTGGATGGACTGAGACAACTTTACCTAATGGCCAGTCAGCCCTAGGGCCATCACTGTCTACCAAGACAATATCGCCAGGTTGGAGATTAGCTATATTATGGGGGACATTGGCCCCATAGTGATGTTCTCGTAGAGATGTAAGATATTCTTTTGTCCAAACATCATTCCATTTTTGGATTATGCTGGACAGATGCTTATACCCCTGAACCAACTCGCTCTGACCCACATATGAGGGATCTCTGATCTCATCATCCACTAGAGATGGTACTGGAGTCAGAAGTCTTCCATACATTAGGTGGGCAGGACTTAATGGCTCATGTTGAGTAGGATCCTCAGACAAGTAAGTCAACGGCCGGTTATTCACCCTTGATTCTATTTCCGTGATTACTGTCTGGAGTTCTTGAAGATTGATTTTCTGACGGTGTAGAGATTTTCTCAAGGATCTTTTTACAGTTCCTATTAACCGTTCATAAAATCCTCCGTGCCATGGGGCTCTCGGAGGGATAAATTTCCATCTGCAATGACGCTGTTCCAGTGTGGAAGTAACTGCAGGATGGGAACAGATTTCCCGTAGACATGCTTCTCCAGCTACCAAGTTTGCTCCGTTATCTGAAATCATCAGCTTAGGGCATGATCGGCGTGCTGCGAATCTGCGGAAAGCTTGAATAAATGATTGAGCAGTCATATCGGGTGTTACCTCTAGATGTACTGCCCTGGTGGTAGCACAGGTGAACAGACAGATGTATGCCTTGATAGGTTGCTTATCTGCAGTCCCTGTTAGATATATTGCTCCTGTATAATCTACTCCTGTCGTTTCGAAAGGTTGTAGATGGACCACTCGTTCCTTTGGTAGGGGTGGTGGCCCTGGATAAGAGCAAGTTCTTGCATCGTACCTTCGGCATATCATGCAATTCTTCAAGATTGATTTGACTGACTGTCTTCCCTGAGGAATCCAGTACTGCTGTCTGATTTGTGTGAGTGTGTCTAACACTCCTCCATGTTTGATGATTTGTTGATGTGTATGCAACACAATCAACCTTGTGATCCAATGATTTTTTGGTAAAAGCCATGGATGCACGGTATCTAGATTGATATCTGCGTGTTTAAGTCTCCCTCCACAACGCAGAATGTTGTGATTTTCTTGGTCTATCCACAGACCGAGATTGTGTTTTAACTTATGAGGAAGATTTTCATAGTTATTCCCATAAGTTTCTCTCTGGGCTTGTCTTACCCAATAGATAAGTGCATCTGGAAAAGTGTATTTTATACCTTTTTTCCTGAGATAATGAAACACGTTCTGTGTTACATTGATTAATTTGATGAGCGAGGAGTAACGAGTACAATCCAAGACTGATATTTGAGCTTGCTGCCTGGTGGTAGTTATGGTTTGTGTCGTAATGACGTGTGGCTTTTGTTCAGGCCAACTACCATTCACTAACCATCGAGGCCCATGAAACCAAATATCTGCCTTTGCAAACTGTTTAAATGTCATACCTCTTGATAAGAGATCAGCTGGATTATCCTTTGTTGGTACATGCAACAATTGAAAGCCTGCGGAAATTTCTTTAATTTCCGAGACGCGATTTTTTACATATGGAGTTGGACAGTTGTCGTTTCGTACCCATTGTAAGACAGCTTCATTGTCAGACCATATAATGACATCTTTGATGTTCATGGTAGACAAGACTTGTTTGATATGCACTGCTAAGCGTGTTCCAGTTAGCAGTGCTGTTAGTTCCATCTGAGGCAAAGTCCTCTTTTTTAATGGAGCGACTCTGGCCTTAGAGGTGATAAGATATGATTGATTAGAAGTCACTAAGTAAGCACAAGCTCCAAAAGCTTTGGCTGACGAGTCTGCGAATACATGTAGTGATACTTCTTCATTTTCCTCGACTATGTGTCTCGGAAAGATTATCTTTTCAACTAAAGTTTGTTCTTGAGCCACTTCCATCCAAGCTTTTTGTAACTGGATTGGTAGTGGATCATCCCAACCAACCTTAGCCTTCCATGCTTGTTGCACCAATAAACGCCACTTGATAGTCAAAGGATTTAGTAGACCAAGTGGGTCGAATACTTTGCTAACTTGTGAAAGCAAATCCCTTTTTGTAGTGATGTTGTAATTTACTGGCACAGATTTGATCGATATTGTGTCCGAGATTAAATCCCAATCCATACCTAACACCTTTTGTGATTCTGGTACGTGATATTCAGGGTAATCTCTTGCTATTTGATTATTCAATGTTGCATTATTAGAGGCCCAAGATTGTAGTGGCATGTTGGCACCTTGTAGCTCCTTGTTGGCCTCTTGATATAATTGTAACAGTTCAGTAGTACTGTTAACTGTCCCTTGAAAATTATCTACATATAGATTTTGACTGATTTCAGTCTTACAGGGACTTGATGATTTCTTCAGATGAGTATCTAGAGTTGCTTGCAACAGAAATGGACTGCTTGTCGCGCCGAAAAGAACTGAAGAGAATCTGAAAGTCACTACAGGACTATTGACATCTTCTGGGTTCTCTACCCATAGAAACTTAGTGAAGTCTCTATCTTCTTCCTGCAAGCCAACTCTTAGAAAGGCCTTACTTATATCTGCTGAATACGCATATTTGTTAAGTCTAAACTTCAACAGTATGTCATACAATTTCTGAGTTAGACTTGGACCTGTTTGCAAACAATCATTTAGACTGGTTCCTTGGGGTCCAGATTTAGAGCTACAATTAAAAACTATCCGTAAAGGAGTTGTTTTTGATTCTCTCATTACAGCCATGTGTGGTAAAAAATGGCCTGTTTGCGTATTGTCATGTTTCACGACTTCGATGAATTTATTCTTTAATTGTTGAGCAATAATCTCATGATAGAGTTTTAAATGCTCAGGCCTTTTTCTTAGCTTTGCTAATTGAGATTTAAATTGACTATAAGCCATGTGATAATTGGTAGGTAAGGTTTTATGGTTGATTTTCCATGGTAGCCTTACCCAGTACTGTCCATCATAGTACTGTACAGTTTCTAAGTATTGATTATATGCACAGACATCATCAGGACTTGGTTGTTCAGGAATTATTCCTATGGCATCAAGTTCCCACAATTGAGGTACAGATTCTAATCCATCATCAATCATGTGGGGGATTTTAAGTGGTGACTGTTCTTTGCCTAGTCATGCCACTATTACAGTTTCTGTATGATGTGATTTTTCAGGAGTTGAAGGTTCAAGATCTAGTATAGGTCCTGTCATCAATATGCCTCCTGCTGATTTGAGTATATTCATACCCATAGATTCTTCTGATCCCAGAATGAATCGATGATAGTAGTCAGCTCCAATCAGGATTCCGATATCCCCTATGTAGTCAGAATCAAGTAGAGGATCTGCTAATTGGATTCCTTTTTCTTTTAGGAATTTAATTGTGGCTGTCAGACCAGTCACTTCCATTTCAGTAGGAATTTTATCAACTACTATGGCTTCTACTGTCCTTTGGGATGTACCTAGACAGACATTGAGTTTTACTACTGGAAAGGTTCTACGACCAGAATTAGTAAAAAACCCTGATATAGATGTAGATACTTGCTTTGAAGATTTAAGTTGTAAATCTTCTGCCATCTTTTTACTGATAAAGGTTTTCTGTGACCCTTGATCAAAAAAGCCTCTAGTTGGAATACAAATTCCTTGATTGCATAGTTCTAGCTGTGCAGTAGGCAATATGGCTGCTGTAACAATTTCTGTATCCAAGTCGTTGACATTGCTCATTACTGTACAGAATTGTACGGCTGTTGTGGTATTATCATCTTTGGGCTTTGCCTGAGATGCAGGTTGATTATTGGAAGTCTGTGATCTGGATTGAGTGTTAATATCACCACAGAGTGCTGTGTGATGTACACTTTTATGACAATATTGGCAGTTCTGCAATTGAGTGATACACTCACTTGTATCGTGCTTCCGTAGACAACGGATGCACCTGTTCAGAGATTTCAGTCGATCGATTCGACTGGCACGGCCTACATAAACTGTGCATTGATAAATGGTATGTGCTTCTTGACAGAATAAACATTTTGGGGCACTTGTAGCTCCTTTTGTCTTATCTGTCTTAGGAGCTTGGTTTCCTACAGTTCTGTTAACTGTGGGGGATATAGCATAAGAGCCAACATTATTCTGTTTCCACTTTGCAGAAGAGGAGTTTTGTTGTCTTGATTTTTGACTGCCATTCTGGACATTTTTGCTTTTGTCCGTGGATTCACTTTTGGGGATTTTTTCTTGAGATCTAAGTTTTCCTCGGCTTCGTAATCTTTGTACGTAAGCTCGAAGTCCATCAATGATTTGGCTTTGTGATAAGATGTTGTTACAAGTATGTAAAACTTGTAGGTAAGTAATTACATGCAAGTAGGTCATACAAGCATGTAACACTTGTACTCCTCCAAGGATTTCCTTAAAGGATGAATTGTATCTGTAATAATGTGTATCTACATTATTCATGATGTGATGAAGCATTTTGCTTTTGCTTTTTTCTCGGCTTTGCCTTTTCTATTAAGTAAGTCTCTTTGAGATGCTTGATTAACTTCAGATTTTCTAAGGCTGCTTTCACTCCAGTGAAAGCATGAGATTAGGTGATCAAGACTATATTCTTGGATTAAGATAGTTATCTTAGATGGATGATAATATTTGTATTGACATTGTCAATGTGTTGTTAGCCTTTCAGATTGTGATGTGAGATTAAGATTGGTCTTAATCCCCAATTGTAGACTATTGTAGCCAAGTGATGATGACATTTGTCTATCACCTGATTTAAATGGTCTGTAGGCTGTAGATTCAAGTGATTTTTTTTAGACACTTTGTGTCCTTTTCTTTTCTGTTTCAGCTGCTGGTGGAATACTGTTAGTCATTTTGACCTTTTCCGAGTTTTGGAGATTCCGAGATTTTTCTCTTTTTTCTGATAAATATGTATGATGTTAATGTATTTTGATAAATGAGCTTTCCTGTCTACTTAGGTAATGATTCCAAAGATCGTCCTTCATTTCCTCCCTGGAATCTGGTTGTAGCAGGTGTTCAATTATCAAAAGTATTGTAATAATTTGATTTGTGACCCGAATGCACGAATGCACCAAGTTGGTAAATCTTGTAATAATTTTTTAAAAATAGTAAATGGCACTATTTTTGCAAAGTTATTACAAAATCTGTTACCATAATAATTGTTAGATAAAATACAGTAGAATGTCTACTGGTTTTACATGGAATAGGGTTTGTACAGTTGATTATAGTTAGATTGTAAGGAATGCTCTTACAGTGATGATAACACTTTTTTAAAGAATATTATGTAATGAGCAGCTCTGAAAATCAGTAGATTAGAGATAATGCTAGATAATACACTTAAATATACATGTAATGTTACCACAATGAGGTAGGTAATTGGTATTTATGATTAAGATGCAATTGTGTCTGTGACACTGATATAATTAAGTACTGAGGTTTCTTAACACAAAACAGTATCAGTTTGTTATGAATGCTTACTAGTTAATGGATATGGTGGCTTAAGCCACTGCAAACAATATGTTTACTTAGATATATAGCTATGATAAATATTGGCTGATAGCTAGGTTAGGCTAGAATATGTAAGAATTATTCCAATGCAAAATCAAGAAGTTTCTTATGTATTTGGCATTGAAATATTCGGTAAACGAATGATCATAAATATCTAGGTATAAAGGACCATTATTATCTAGGTTCGAAGGACCATTAATGTGGGAAAAACCTGCTGGGATTGATATAAGAGGAGACTACCAGGGACTTGTACTGAACTAAATTAAAAAATTACTGTCTGCAAATTAATTCAATTAAAATCTCTAGCTAGGGTTGTAAATCCTAAATCCTCTTTTCCTAATGACAGACTGTGGGCTGTAAGGGACAGGTGGGGTGAATGACTATGTTGATAGAAGTTCCAATCCACCTGTAGACAGGGATCTCACATCAGCTTGTATTTTATACAAGGATAAGATTTAATAAATTCAGTTATCTGACTGAACACTGGCTCTGTTTAAATCAGAGATTTAAACATACATAGTCTAACCTAGTACCATAACTTAACAGCCAATATGTACTTATACTATAAACAACAAATTAAATTGTAAAAGTATAAATAAATGACCTTAAATGTAGTCTAAATACTGTTGAGTAAGTACTAGAAATTATATTCAATTAAATGAACTTATATGATAACTTAAAAATAACTAAGCAAGCAATTGATAACTTAATTTATATATTCAAATATATATGCAGACATATTCAATTTATATGATACAGTTAGCTTGAGTGAATCCTTTCCAACGCTATGGACACTTGTGAGGTTTTTACTTATTGAGGCTGAATTCTTTTCTGACAGAATGGACACTCATGAGGTTCAGTGCTTGGATAAGATTCACAGCTACACTACAATTTTAATAAACGTACCGATGAATGAGGCTTTGCCTCGCTTTTTAACCAACAGACAGATTTATAGTATATTAAAGTTACACAAGCATACAATTGGCCAATCATACACCAAATAACCCTCAATATACTTCTCTGCCAGTCGGGGTGCCTGTCTGACAAGTTTGCCAGACTGATTAACTCTCTTGTCGAGTTTAGGCACGATATTTTGCTACAGCGTTGCTGTATGATGATCTGGTAGCGTTGCTACGTGATTATCCTGCAGTTGCAGAAGAATGATTCGAGATAAAAGTTTATGAATGAAGGTGGAGGAAACCGTGTCACTGATCTCCACTATACACTATTATTTTATAAATGTTCTAGGATTTTCCTTGTAGATATTGTCCAGGTACTCCCCCAGTTCTAGAGAGTATTCACTGGCGATAAAAATGTTAGATAAGGTGTCCTTGAGCTGGTAATGTTCGCTAAGGATCAGTCACTTGTTCACTCATTTGTAAACAAACGCGGAGTGCCGCGAGGCATCGTCGTGGGCGCTTCTCGCCCCCCGAGAGCCTTCCCCCTCTCCCTTGAGAGGTAGCTTGCAATGAATATTGATTGATTATTTTTACAGTCTAGACTTATGATTAAGATAAGATGTGATTATAATATAATTAGATATAAGATTGAAAGATTATAAGTAGTATTTGAAAGTACCACTGAATCTTATTAAGGATTCGATTTTTAATCCTACCGGATGTTGAATCAATGTTCCAATAGTTTTTTAATTAAGAAGTCCTTCTAGAAGCTTCTGGATCCTTGAGAGATCATGTACAAAGTCACGTAGGCATCAAAAGGGCCCCTGTTGAGTACGTGTTCATGGTGCCATTGTCATCCAGGATCAAGCTATATAATGAATCTTTAAAGATTCATTATATGATTTTGATACATTTTAGATATGATTTTGATATGATTTAGATATGATATAGAAATTATACATTTCTTAGATGATTATTAGATATGGTGGGTAAAAATTTCCCACAATCTTAATAGATTACTATACAGCATATTCCATAGCATCTTGTTGTTCCATATCCATCTGTGGTATAGCCTGTTGTAGTTGTTATATCTGTCACCTTTTGTTTTTATGTACATTTTGATTCTACTGTATTTGAAGGGAAATAGTCATTTTGTGAGTATGAAATTTTGAGTGAAATGAAAAAAAATGGCTTTGGCAAATTTAGGCTTTTACTGTATCACACCTATTTGTCCATTGCATGTTAGGTTCAGTTTAGATTATGCTGGAGTGAGTGTTGCAGCCAATTGACACCAGCTCACCTGAATTAACACCCGCTGCCACAAGTCGCCTATCCTCTCTCCAAGCTGCAAGGCTGACTGAATCTCTGCTGCACTAAGGGTGTCATGTAGCATTGGGATATAAAATGTTCCATCTCTTACTACTGCCCTGAAGAAAAAGGAAAATCAGAAGCTAACATCACACATATATCAATGAATTACTGAAGGCATTAAGAGTTTAACACAAGCAATAAAATGCCACGCTGCCTAGCGGGCGAATCGCCATGCTGATGATGACTTATGGTATAAATGAAGACATAATTGATGACTTGTGGTATATTAATTGAAGTGGAACAATAACTGTTGATGACTTGTGGTTTATTATCTGGTAATAACTTGTGAAGTATAATATCTCATGATGATAATTAGTAATGGTAATTAAGACAAACAGTGCAGTAATGCATTAATTTCAGAATAAGTGTTTCAAGTCTCACCTTATCCATGGATAATATATATAGGCCTCAACTGTATCAGGCAGTGGTCCTTGGCAGCAGTAGTGAGGGGGCAAGTGGAGCGACTGACTCACAACCTCAATCAATCCGGCTGCCATGCTGCAGATCTAAAACTGCACATGAATATAATATACAATTAGCATCACATATTTTAGACAAATAGCGATGTAGCATTAATCGTTCTTATTAACCTCTCTCTGCCTGTGCACAAAATATAAAATATATATATAACTTTTCTTAAAATAGTAAATTAATATGCAAAAAAGTAAGGAAAATTAAAGAAAAACTGAATATACATATGTAATGTCTTTCTGGGTTTTGTACAACTGCATAGCCACATGGCACCGGGGTCATATACTCACTGTACCATAATGTTTCTTAATTCAACAAGATAAATTTTCCTCCGTATAATTTAACACATTCACAATAAATGTGCCACAAACAAATATTAGTAAACAGTATTATTTTACCATGACATGGGCAAGTGCTGTTTACACTCCGGGTTCTATATTCTAGTGTCCTAAAGACAACCAACAGTGCACCAGCAAATAGTATCCCTGATTTCTGAGGGATTTCTGGTTATGTGATGGTTGATGCTGGGGTAGGAATGGCACACAACTAGCATGACACCTGCACCAACAGATCTATCAGAGGCCCTACATCAATCAAGACAACTTATCATATATGCTGGCCCCTACCCTTAGAAGAGACTCCTGCAAGCCTCTGCGACAGAACATCCTGTCACCCATGAGTATGACATAGCATCAGATTCTTAGATACAGCCCTCACCTGACTCAAAAATAGACATTTGTGACCCCACAGTGCATCTCTCTCATCTCCGATTAATCGACTTTTCCTACTGACAGTGATGCCCCAATCAGAATGATGCCATAAACATCTGCTATACTGGCCAAGGTTTTAAACTACATATACAAGGCCTCTCAGACATTTCCAAATCCTCTGTCTCACCATTCACATTCTCAGAGATCGAGCTGGTGCGACAACACAAAATATGTGAATCCTAGCCCACATTTTCCGCCTCATCGGAAACTTCCCGCCGCTTGAAGAGGCTGTAGGGGGCCACAATCCCTTTAATAACATTCCCAAGCCCAAGCCTGGTCAGTGAAGACCCTAAATCAACAGCAGGTTCCATACTGAACTGTCACTTGGGAGAACAGACGTCATGAGACAAGGAACAACCGAGTCAATAGTGGAACAGCTTACTTATGCAGGTGTTAATATGGGCACCAGAGGTAGTGCACCACCCTCATAGCAGTTCTTGTACCGTAATATTATTTGAGAGGTTAAATGTCTGGGCTCTCCATCTGGCTCTGGCGTCGTCCCGTGACAGCTGATCACAGGGTGTAAACAAACACGATTAGGCATTATACCTTTACCAATGGTCTTCCTCCACACCAAACGTTCATATGACATTATTTACGTATTTAATTTTAATCTTACTATTTATTAATTTTAATAAAAATTACATTTATTTAATATTTAACAAATATACAGCTGATTACAAATAATTTAATACAAAAATGTTATGTCCAACACCAACTTCGGGAAATTTGGGGGAAATTTAAATATGCGGCTGCTCGCTAGATATTTACCTGAATTTACCTGAGGGCCATCATCCTCAGTGGCCTCGACGGGGACAAGAAGCCACGGCTTGTCAAAGCTCCTCCCTAATGTTTCCGAGGATGTTTTTTTTTTCTAACTGGATTTTGAACTGAAGTAATTTAATACCCTTGGCGTTTACTGCTTCGGCGGATATGGGTAAAACACCTCTCCTGCTCATCAAGATTGTAACTTGCTTAGCTAAATGAATTGTGGGGTTCAGTCCCTGAGCCCATTATGTGCCTCTGTAACCCTTTCCACTACCGCCCACAAGATGGGTATGGGGTGGTTACCTTGAGGTGCTCCCGGGGCTTAGCGACCCCGCGGCCCGGTCGTCGACCAGGGGGTACATAATAAATAAACTATAAACTATAAACTAACTGTTTCCAGTCCTAGAACACAGGTTTGTTCGATTGATTTTTTTTTATTATCAAGCTTAGCAATGTGTTGTTACCCTATTCTATATAAAGGATTTTAGAGTGTAGATAAAGAACAAGCTAATTTTGTAACTAATATGCAAAACTATTAACTAGCTCATTAGGTAACTAGCTCTTCAGGTAACTAATAACTAGCCCATCAAGACTGTAATTAACTTAGCTAAATGAATTTTTGGGTTCAATCCCAGAGCCCATTATGTGCCCCTGTAATCTTTTCCACTACCACCCACAGGATGGGTATGGGGTGCATAATAAATAAACTAAATTAAAATGAGTTCATCTAATATCACCATCTCACAGGATGGTTAGTCATACATGGAATCAGGCGAGGACATGAAATGCGAGACTGATCTATTAGCCTGCACTATCAAAATCTATGTACAACATAAGAATATCTTCCAATATTCCTGAGTGTATGAAGTAATTACAGAGCTCAAAGTACCTCATACAATTTGGTCTAAAATCATTGATAACAAGGCAATCAGAGATATAGTGTTGGAGAGTATGTCCCAGCTCTTGTTCACATAGTTTACAATTGGAATGTTCACCAGGATTCATTACCTGCAGCCACCTGCCATAGATATCGATATTCCAGTCTAATTCTGGTAATTACAATATTACTCTGTATTGTGGATGTTTTGTGATGCCCGTACATATAATTCTCAGTTCTAAACATATGAATGAAAAATATGTCAGTATACATGCATCATGTGGACCTGCGTTAGAGACTTAGACATACCCTGGGAGTCTATAGTATGGGATGGAATCACACTACACCCATGGAGAAGTGGCAGACTGTTGGTGTGGGACTATACTTGCGTGTCCACCTTTACAATATATCTCTCTGTAAGTCAACAGGAGCCGCGGTCACTTACACACAGATCAAACAAGTACAGGGAGATGGAACTTTGTTCCAATAGAATCTGATACACTAAGTCCAGTGGTTGAGTGTGTAAGGAGGTTTCTCAAGGCTCTCGGTCTCAAGCTCATTGAAATAATACGAGACGCTAGAGCGGCAGGCTTCCTTTTCCAGCGCCTCAGTGTGGCGATCCATAGAGGAAATCCCGCTGCGTCCTCGGTTCCTGCCCGGCGTCGGAGGAGTTCAAGGAAATCTACAGTCTCTAGGAAACAAACTTCCCTGTATTTCATTTTAATGTTCACATTTTATAACCAATACGGTATTTAACGGTGTGACCTTGTGTATAATAATAAAGTGTATAATAAAGTGTATAATAATAATAATAAAAAGGGGTGGTACGAGAAGCAAATTATCATTCGAGTTTAGAGTCTAACAAGTTTTTCTCTGAATGCTCTTTATTCCTCTTTTCGTGGCTATATATAGCCCCCAAAATATTTTCTCATTGATATATAATGCTATTATTTCTTTGTGATTATATATATATATATATATATATATATATATATATATATATATATATATATATATATATATATATATATATATATATATATATATATATATATATATATATATGATATTATTATTATATTTCTCGAAGATTGTCAGTAATTATAACTGCACTTTACTGACTAACAATCACAAATGGTGTAGGAATATTAGCGACAATAATAATAAGCTTTTTTTTTTTAAACAGTTTAATTTTGTCATAGAATCATGAGGTCATATTTAATAACCTAGATGAATGACACACTAATACTCCAGTGACACAGTACCTACACCAGTAAGACACACTACACCTATAGGTACTACAGTGACACTTTATCTACACCAGTAAGCAACATAGACACTATTCAGGTGTAGCAGTGGTAGGCCAGGCGAGGCTACACAGCAGTTGACGCCGCGAGGGTGGAGGTCCAGCCGCTAGTAATCAAAGTCTCTGGAGATGTGGAAGTGTTGGTCGGCTTCACAGTCTTCTCCCTCGCACGCCGCCACTATACCAACAAACATTAACAACAATCATTAGTCACTCCTCAAAAACCATTAGTCACTCCTCAACAATCATTAGTCACGCCCTCAACAATCACGTGCTTTGCCTCACTACACTAACAATTTGGGCCCAAATTTATTTACATGGCCAGAATGTTACAAGATGTTTCAGCATGTAATATTTACCAGAAGTTCAGAACACAAAATACTTAACAGAATATACTCGACTGTACTTGACTGAGTCGCTGCATTATCTCAACAATTCCTTCAGACTCTTGGTATCAACATATTATTAAATTTACTAAATAAATAACCAGCTAAATATGCAATAGTTAAACATTATCAAATTACTATTCTTAGGCCTACAAAAAACTCGTATTAGTTGAATAAATGATTATTAGTAGACTTATATACTACTGGTACAAGATCTTGTTAATGATTAACAGTTGAACTGCATTTCCAGTCTTACGTATAAAGTGCAATAATAGCAAATTTGATGCAATAATATGGAAGTTGACACACGAGAGGTGAGGACTGACCGGGAAGGCAGGCGCCATGACACTCCCTCACGCGACGAGGGGCGTTCTTCTCTCGACACTCGCTCCTGGCTACCACCAGGTGCGGGAGGTTCCGGCCGCCGCTGGACACCGCCAGGTTCCCGCCCGCGTCCTCTTCTTCTACTATCTCGATGGCACAATCCACACGCCGGAACTGGACGCCGGCGCCGCAAGCCTCGCTACACGGACCCCATGCACTCGTACTCCACCTGCACACACACACACACACAGGTTGCTTAGTTTACCACAGGAAGTCTCCGTATAGATTTGAGAGGAAGATATGCAGCACCTGAGGGAGCTTCGACGAGCTTCCATGTGCGCATGCACGGACACGCACACACACACGACATGTGTGTGTGTGTGTGTGTGTGTGTGTGTGTGTGTGTGTGTGTGTGTGTGTGTGTGTGTGTGTGTGTGTGTGTGTGTGTGTGTGTGTGTGTGTGTGTGTGTACTCACCTATTTGTCCTTGCGGGGATTGAGCTTTGGCTCTTTGGACCCGCCTCTCAACCGTCAATCATCTGTACATCAGTTGATTGACGGTCGAGAGGCGGGACCAAAGAGCCAGAGCTCAACCCCCGCAAGCACAAGTAGGTGAGTACACACACACACACACACACACACACACACACACACACACACACACACACACACACACACACACACACACACACACACACACACACACACACAATTACATTCTGATTTTTAATCAGAGTTCTAAAATGCTAAAATGAAATGGTGTAACAACTATAATACAGTATTAAGATACCTAAAAATCTATGTGGAGATGCGTTTGAAATTAAGTGTACCTGGGGCGTCGACACGCGGGCATGTGACAGTGTTCCAGCCGCTCCTGAGGGAGGGTGTAGCCCTGGCAGGCGTCCTCGCTCACCAACTCGTCAGATATGACGTCCACACATTCCATCTGTATGAGGCGCACTCCCTGCCCACACGTCACGCTGCACGCCCCCACCTTCGTCCGTGGCATCGCCTGCATCGTGTGCCCAGAACGGCGTATCAATACCCACATAGGGTGGGGAAAAGGGAGGTATCAATACCCATATGGGGTGGGGAGGAGGGTATCAATACCCACAAGTAGTCGGGAGCGGGGGTATCAATACTAATAAGTAAGGAAAGCAAGGTATCAATGACCACAAGTAATGGGGGAGGAGGGTATCTCTAACAACAAAGCACACCTCAACCAGTTGATGCTATGAACAACCTCCAACTTATACTTCAATCTAAAACACACAAGTTCCTTAAAGGAATGCAAGCAATATAGTTCTCATCGTACAATAACGTACCTCGGGTGCATTAAGCGGTAAAAACACGTCGTTCTGCCCCACATACTCCTGGAGGGCTTCACCGAGGACGCTGTCACCATCACCTGCCTGGGCAGTGTCTGGGGAAGTGGTGTCACGATTTGATGGTTCACGGTAGTTGCTCGCCCACTCTCTCGAACGAAGATTCGCGGGTGAAGAGCGTCTAGTTTCCTCTTGTATTACACTCAGTTCATGGGACAGGCTTCTCTTGGAAAGATTCGCATCAAAATCTAGTGTATATTCCTTCTCCAGTATTTCTCTGATATCTTTGTTTTTGGTTATTTTGTCTAAAGCATATGGTTTTTCTAGCCATTTAATTGTGGGTTCACCTGTATAATCTTTCTCTTTCGTCTGAGCCGTGTAGGTGAAAGCAATGTTATTACTATGGATGACAATGGTGACGGGCAAACATGTATCGTCGCCGATGGTGCCAGACTCAGCCCCCGGGCGACAGGCATCCAGGCTGGAGTGCCAGGCTGAGGGAATTAACCTGCACAAGCTTGCTGAGTCTTCTAAAGTACTGTTGAGAAAACTGAGAGTGTCAAACAGGAGAAAGTTGAGGAATTGCTCCTCTGGCTTACAGAAGAGACATGGCGGTGGCTGGGAAGGTTTCTTCAGAGGCACCTTTGTAACCGTACTGTCTATTAAGTCGATGAAGAGAACATACTCTGGACACTGATTCTCAGAACCACAGTTGAATAGATCGTGTAATGAAGGAGCTAAGAACGGACAAACAAATTCTGGAAGGTTTTCCAGTTCTTTGGGAAACTTAATTTTTAAATCACATTTAAGAAAACTGGACCCGGATGACGTATTCGTTGAACTGGTAAATGGTACAATTAAACTTTCTCCTTGTTCATGCTCTGCACTTCTCATCAGAGAGTAAGACTTGCCCTTCAGCTCCACTGTTTTGTTCACGTAGTCGCCGTCTTTCACCTGAACATAAGTCAAGTTAGAATATGACTCCTTCACAACAATCTTGTGAGGCGCACACTGTGCATCTGAATCAATGGGTGGACAGTACAGAGGTACTTCAAGGAACTGCGGAATGGCCAGGCACGCACGAAGGTCTTTTATAGGACTAATCAACTTGTCAATCATTTGATCAGTAATACTCATGACCTTGTCAGAGGTGAGACTGTAGCTACCGAAGACGCAAGACTTGGTGACCTTCTCCAGCTCCGACATTCGTATCGGTACTTTGGTCAGATTTCCCGACACGAGGTCAACGTACAGATCGTATTCCGAACATTGCCGGCCACAGTTAAAGAGAGCCTGGTAAGCTGGCGCCAGAAATGGACAGATGGCTCGAGGGATCGTTCTCACGATGTTAGGATCGAAGATGGTGAGGTTACAGGAGCAGTCATACGGAGGTACTGTAGGGGGCGCTGCCGGGGTTGTAGCCGGCGGTGGTGGGGGGCCAGTCGGAACACCTGGTTCAAAGGTGCCTGGCTCTTCGGTAGAGGTAGGTATGATGGTAGTTGGTGGTGGTGATTCAGTGGTGGATGGTGGTGATTCAGTGATGGATGGTGGTGATTCACTGGTTGATGGTGGTGACTCACTGGTTGATGGTGGTGATTCACTGGTTGAAGGTGGTGATTCACTGGTTGATGGTGGTGATTCACTGGTTGATGGTGGTGATTCACTGGTTGATGGTGGTGATTCAGTGGTTGATGGTGGTGATTCACTGGTTGATGGTGGTGATTCAGTGGTTGATGGTGGTGATTCACTGGTTGATGGTGGTGATTCAGTGGTTGATGGTGGTGATTCACTGGTTGATGGTGGTGATTCACTGGTGGATGGTGGTGATTCAGTGATGGATGGTGGTGATTCACTGGTTGATGGTGACTCACTGGTTGATGGTGACTCACTGGTTGATGGTGACTCACTGGTTGATGGTGACTCAGTGGTTGACGGCGGTGACTCACTGGTTGATGGCGACTCAGTGGTTGCCGGCGGTGACTCACTGGTTGATGGTGACTCACTGGTTGATGGTGACTCACTGGTTGATGGTGGTGATCCACTGGTTGACGGCGGTGATCCAATGGTTGACGGCGGTGATCCAATGGTTGACGGTGGTAAGCCACTGGCTGTGAATGACACTGAATGTAATAATAACAAAAAAACAATAATTTTATTAATAAATAATTATGAAAAGAAGGCGCCAAGGCGGGGACATCATGTGTGTCACCTGCGTGGCGGGAGATTCAAATGGCCCTAAATATCACCCAAGAATCCAAGATGACAGTACGAGAACAAAAATGACACAAGATGAGGGCCATCACAGGTATCAGTCACCAAGGGTTCTATCACAGGGACAAGTGACTCACAGGGACAAGTGACTCACAGGGACAAATTACTCACAGGGACAAGTGACCCAGAGGGACATTTGGAAAGCAAGACGTACAATCACCCCAAAAAATCTTGACTCTCAACAAGGAGGTGCATGACTGTAAGAGAGGGGAAAATACAGTTCGCTACACAGCCTAGTCAGAGCCGCGTCCCACCGTCTATGGCAGAAGGAAGGATAAAAGAAACTGGGAATATCAGGAACAGTTGGAGGGAGGGGGGACTGCTGTACGCGGCATAACCGCGGAAGTGACCACGGCGAGCATTGAGTATCAGCTCCTGGAGACATACACAAAGTAGTGACTGCTGCGAGATCAAAAGATGTGATTTATTAAAAATTGTCATAAAAACAGCGTGTGTTCCATTGAAGAGTATACGATGCCCAACCACTTCGGTGTACGTGCCCAACCACTTCAATTCTGTCGAAGTAACAGGATTCGTCGGGATCAAATCCTGCCCCGCTCAGGATTCGAACCCGGAATTCCCGATTGTGAGTCGGAAACGAACTCAACTGTATTACCGAGACCCCCTTAAGCTATCTTGCCACATTTAACGTGTAAATTAGATGTGTCTAACACTATGAGGTGTCTGGCAAGGTCACCGGTGTCCAGACTGTGGTCACTCACGTGTTAACGCAGATGTGTCAGGGTGACTGTACCGGTGAAGCTTCACCAGGTCAGCCTCCGGGCGGCATTCGCCCGATATACACACCCTGTGGGAGCCGCAGAAGGAGCCCTCGAGGGCGGGGTGGGCCGGCCTGGTCACCACGCCGTTCGTGCAGTACAGGTACTCGCACAAATCCTACGAACCCAAAACAAAAACATTAATTTAATTTTTGTGTTCACTTTCCCGTTAGTTCAGTGTTATTTGTATTAATTGAATTATACTAATAAACAAAGATTACAATTTAGAAATATAAAATGCTCAAAATATATTAGCTAAAATATATATTTGGACGTATTATAATATTAAATATATGAATAAATTATTAAATTAGTGAAGAGGATAAACAATCTAATCGATATTTTTGTGTATTATGTAACTTGTCGTGTCAGTAACTGGCGCTTTACTTTAACTTTCCGTTGCACTGTTTGATGGTGAACACTTGTGGCGTGTTCACTATGTTCACTCTCATAACGTGTTCACCATCCCCGGAATCTTTTCCATTACCTCACTCTCACTGTCACCAACCTACCCATCACCACCATGGTCACCATCATCACTACTATCCCCATCTCCACCGTCACCAAAGGCCTGTCCCCCTATCCCTTTCCGCCTGTCCAAAAACCCCGGCCAGTTGAACCATTCCTGACTTTCTACAACAATCTTACCCCTCTAGCCTCTCCAAGCAACAGCCTGGTGGACCAAACTCTCACAAGTCAAGTCTAGCCCCGGGCCGGGCTTAGGGAGTAGAAGAACTCCCAGAACCCCATCAACCAGGTATCAACACTCAGCTCAAGCCTGCAGCTGCCACCACAACCACGTAAACATTCCCCCAGTGGCGCCTTCGCCACTTCCTTCGTCAACAGTGTTGATACAGCAGCAGCAGCAGCGTGGAGGGATACTCACGAACTTGGTGAGGGCCGGGTAGTAGTCCCTGCCGAAGAGAGCATTGCACTGCTCGGGCAGAGGAAACTCGTATCCAGGGGTCCGTTTAAGGATAGCTTCCAGCTCTACTGTGTTCTCTGGAACAAAGTGATATAGTTTACAATATGTGCGGGATAGGATTAATGTGGCGTAGTTTGACATTATCTGATTATAAGTTGGTTATGGATTGTACACTAGAATTACTGGAGTTACTCTGGATTCTCTGCTAACAACACTTTGTTATGGATCCCCGTGAACGTAATTTAAAGCCTCCTCCACATATCGTATTCCCCGGGTGTTGTCGACCTCTTGAGAACCACCGGGTCCGCCACTCCCTGACCAAACATTTCGTGGGTTTAGAGGCTATCTGCCAGCCCAGGTGGTGAAGGGTAGGGCAGGTGGTGATGGGAGGAGAAGGTGACGAAGGGTAGGGCAGGTGGTGATGGGAGGAGGAGGTGACGAAGGGTATGGGAGGTAGTGAAGTGAGAGGTGAGAGAAGGCCTGGGAGGAGCACCACCACCGTCTCACTGCAGTAACTCACCCCGGGGTCCTCCCGCCCTGCCGCCGCCGCCATCTCTGCCTCCCCCGCCGTCATCAAGACACGAAGATTTACTGAAACATATTAGACTTTTGGAATATACTATATCACTCCAACATACTTTGGAATATACCATATTACTTCGCAACATACGACGCAATACACATGTATCATATCATTCTGGAAAATATCATATTAGTTGATAGACCCAGAGCTAAACACCAAACCAAATATCTTCAATTCGAAGAAGCTCAATTAAAACATTCTCAAGTGAGCTACGTCCAAAACATCTTACTCTAGAGTTCATCTCCTCTACAACCTTTACACTATGACTAGATGTAGAAGTCACTTACAACGTAGGTAACCTTCGTGACTCCGAAGTCTCAGAGCTTATTGCTAGTTCTCTCAACTCCTACGTTCGCTCCTCTCTATGTGTTTCATAACATTCCGTAGAGTTGCAATTAGTGTATAAAGATTATAGTGTCACAATCAGAGTTAGAACTGTTATTACATTCGCTGCTGAGGGTGCCTTACCTGTGTGTATAGTGAGCATGATACTGTGAGAGTGAGTGTATAGTGAGCATGATACTGTGAGTGAGAGTGAGTATAGTGAGCGTGACACTGTGAGAGTGAGTGTGCTCACCTGAGGAAGGAGTGGACCACATTGACGGAGCAGGTGGACCAGGTCGTCTTGCCTGGCCCCACAGATGGCGACATGATGTACTTGCTACTGCTACACTGTTGAGCGTCCCCCTGCCCATCATGGTTCATTCCCAGGCTATAGGACATCAATAAATTATTAGAACAGTCGATAATGTGGCCTAACAAACCAACAATTATAGTCCCTGAGAGAGGGGCTAAACTAATAGGGCCGCGCCGAGGAGCGGAGTGTGGACTGGAAGGCGCAGGGAGTAATCAAAAGCAACTATTAGGAAAACTCTTTAACCAAGCAAGTGAACGGATCAAAAGTGAGATGAGGGAGGAGCTCAAGAAAACGTCGAGGGAATGATAAACAACCCCGAAGAGTTAGCTGAAGTGAGCAAAGAAGAAAATAAGGAGCCACCAGGAACAGGAAGTAAACAGTTTTCACCACTGTTTACTGCCTGTTCCTGGTGGCAAAGTGGGTTTTCACCACTCTTCCCAACTTTCTTAGTTGTACTCTCAAAGTGTAACTGAAAATATATTCATGCATGCTAATTGTGATGGATGTTTATAACTTGAGCATTTACAAGCACTTTAATTTATTCTGTGGTTAAGTATTCAAGAGGCCAGCACACGAGGGTATGCACTCTAGCAGATCTCTAACTCTGTCTGTAGAGATATAACCCTGCCCTTGAACCTCAGACCAAGATGTATATATGATAAAATTGAAACTGAATGACCACGTCCGTGGAAGACAACAAACTAATCAATCAATGCATGACAAACCATTCTGTGAGATGGGGATATTATTAATATAACTATTATATTAGGTGCACATAGAGAGCTCTTGATCTAAACTCTATAAACTGCTACATATAACAGGGCAGCAGTACATAGATGTCTGCTTAAGGTCATTAATACCCCCACTAACCCTGAGTGTTGACCTCTGAGACACCCACTTACTTGTGACCCATCTCGTGAGCGACGACGTACACAGCAATGAACGAGCGACCCTCGTTCATGGTGCAAGAAATGTCAGGCCGACACATGCCTCCCACCCAGGCCAGGCCTATCACCGACGGGTTTCCAGCCGAAGTCAGATCCAAACTGCGGCGCCACCACCAACCCCAAAGGCACAGGGACAAAAAAAAATGATTAAATACAATATTTGCTGTGGCATTTATTTCATAATAACGTTAATTGCAATCTCAAATATGCGTCTTGAGAGAATGATTGAATGCCTCACCCTGAGAGCATGATGGCATGGTCCCAGTGCTCGGGGTCGCCCTCGCTGGCCGGGTTCCTTTGCTGCTGCCAGGCGCAGAAGGAGGTGAGGTAGGCGCCGATGTCCCCCCCGCCGTTGTTTGGACCATCGCCTGACGTGAGAATGTCCAGACGCACCACCCGGATGTCAATGACGAAGCCCTGAAGCTCCTCCTGGTGGTAGATCCCTTGTATCTGGTGTGGAGGAAGAAGCTCTTCACTTCACTTGCCAAACCCTTTATTTTCACATGTGTGTGTGTGTTGGGTGTCTAATGTTCAGCCACCGTCATTGTGGTGTTTTCTCCAAGCTATCAGTCAATATATTTATCAATCATTAAAATACATTTAGATTTCAGTGTACAGGGTGAAGCTAATGTACAATGACAGAGATGGAGATGCAAAAGGACAGACAGAGACAGATACATAGACACATAGATGAAGAGAGAGACAGACGGAGTGCAACCTTATGGGGTCCTAGACCAGTGTAATAGGCTTCATTTTTTATATGCTATTACTTACAGCATTAACGAGTGTGAGAATATAGTTGACCATCTTGGATTTGTCAGAACTATCCACCCGCTCTGGGAAGTTTTGATAGAAGACGTTGTCAGCGAAGACAGCCAGTTCCAGGGACTTCCTGACGACTACGGATACCGGCTGGGCCTCGACGGTGTGGTTGTGGAGGTCTGGCTCGTTCTCCAGCCCCGCCGACCCTTCGCCCTTCACCAAGTAGTAAATAACAACTGGTAATGTAATTGATATAATTTTTAACAACCCTAATAGTCCTAAAAAAAATTCTACCTGGAACATTTTTTAGAACCCCTTGCGTCGTCTGCAGCACCTCACAGGACCCTAGGAGGTGCTGGCTACAACCCAGGTCCAGGTACAGAAGAGGCGCCATGAATATCAACAGGTGGGTGAAACGAAGAAATCGTCCGACATCTTTCATTCCTACTGTGGGGGTCACATCTTTGAAATTTGTCTTGCAAAGTAAATTTTGCAAATTAACAATATTAAAAAGTTAAAACTTAAATTAGACACAATTTGTTCGATATTGATTTTTAAAAATACGAAAAGAGTACCACCTCTGGCTGGAAGAAGGGGGACCCATAGCCTCGGAGGAAACCACACATAATGCATTGGAGGGAATGTAGGTCCCCTCCAATACAGTTTCTGTGTGCTTTTCTCCTACCACCCCGTTCCTTTTTTTTTTTTTTTTGCTTTATTGTGTATTTAAAGGTTACAAAACATACAAGACAAATGCCATAGACAAACATACAAGACAAATTTTTATATACTGTACTGCCATATTTTCACACACACACACACACACACACACACACACACACACACACACACACACACACACACACACACACAGGACCAACCTGATATCTCTCAGTGCCATGCTGGAGATCAATCCCTGACGCAAGCTCAGACACGTTCCGAACTCGTCCTCTCATGTCGTGCTCAGCTGAAGAAAATTATACAAATTAGTACTCAGTGAGGTATAGTGCTCGGTATAGATCAAATTTTGTGGGTAGGGGTATAGGGTAGGCCTACTCACTGATGTAGAATGAAGAGTAGACCTACTCAGTGAGGTAGAGGTGAAGGGTACAGGCCTACTCAGAGGGATAAATCAGTACAGAGACGACCTACTCACGGCCAGTGGCGCAGACTGCAAGGTCCGCCTCGTCTTCTCGCCGCCTCCGTCTGTGCACCGGAACTTCATCTTTTCTTGAGATTTGCAAGATGTGCAAGCCGTACTCGCCCTCCTGGAGGGTAGGGGTCAAGGGTCAACTGTATATCGCATGAAAAGATCCATATTGAGCACAATGTTCGTGTTACGCTATAGACAAGGAGTACAGATTCATCGCTTTCCCAGGAGGTTGATTTACACAAATGTTAGCCCTCTTTTAGAGTGTAAAAACTACAATGAACGACCAGACAAAAACACTATGACGTACCAGACAAAATAATGTGGAGAGCAAGAAGACAATGATTCAATTAAATCTTAAATAGATAAATGTATATAAATGGTTGTATATTATAATTGGCTTAATTTATACAAGAAACAATTTTAAAATAATAGGACCTCATTTATCATTAGAATTCTACTTCATATATTATATTTGGAAATTATACTTTGCAAAATTTCAAATAAAAATTGCAAGCGCATTTTATTTTATTAAAGAAAAATAAAATATTATATGTCCCAGACCACTTGTGTAAGAGGACCTTCGTGACTTGTGACAAGAGCTACAGCTCAACACGTCACATCGTTGGAGAGACGACAGCAAGTTGGTCGTTAGAGAGACGACACCAGTAGGTCGTTGGAGAGACGACATCAGTAGGTCGTTGGAGAGACGACACTAGTAGGTCGTTGGAGAGACGACATCAGTAGGTCGTTTACCCACAGAGCAACAGTATCATGAGCTTCCCGCCGGCTCGCTACCCCACGCCACGACCACAACAAGCACATATAAAGGTACCTGCCACTCACATACGACCCTGGACTTACTATACATCACATGCCTAATAAATCTAGAATCGTAAACCGTACACAAAACATAACTTAATGTAACTTGTTATTGTTGTATGTACATCTTATTACAAGCATGAAAGGTAAACACTCACAGTGGGGTTAGAGTGATGCTGGAGAGTGTGGTTAGGCGAGGCAGAGTAGTCAGGCTGGCGAGTGTCAGGAGGAGGAGGAGGAGGAAGGTACTGGTCCACCACCGGCAGGAGACGTCTGGGTAGTGGGTGTAGTGTGGCCAGCTGCTCTGGCGTGATGATGATACCATCCTGGGGACCACACATCACCAGTACAGTATACTTGATATAGTAATTCTGATACCATATGGATAATTTGGTAAGATATTATATTCATGAAACGCTGGGAGAAATAATTGATTACTAAAAGTAGCACACCGACACGTACGTGCCTTCTCCGAGACGTGCTGCCCCTGCCGACACGTACATGCCCCCTGCCGATACGTACATGCCCCCTACCGACACGTGCCCCCTACGACACGCAGCTTTCAGCAGGCCGTCCGGTAAATCATTCCGGTGCACCAGCTTCAAGTGATCAAGCTACACCTCCTCTAGTTAGAAACAATAAGTGGCAGGAGTCTCAGAGCGGGAGTGACGCCCGACTTACCAAGCCTTCAGTATCACAGTTGTTGACAGTGATGACGTGGGAGGAGTTGGCGGCACGAAAATGACAGCGGTCCGGCACTACCTCGACCAGTTCACCGTCAACGTACACTCCGGAACCCAGATGGGGCGCGACCAGGCCTCTCACGGGCGCCACCACGGAGTCCACGCTCAGGACCGGAGAGCTGTGGCAGTTAAGGATTCTACTTGCAACAAATAAAGTAATACACTGTTGACCACGACCACACACTAGAAGGTGAAGGGACGACGACGTTTCGGTCCGTCCTGGACCATTCTCAAGTCGATTTGAGAATGGTCCAGGACGGACCGAAACGTCGTTGTCCCTTCACCTTCTAGTGTGTGGGCTGGTCAACTTACTTTAGCCACGTTATTGTGACTCATCGCCTGCTAAAGTAATACACCTTTATATCTTACAAGCACCAGCGTATGCTAATTGCCAAATATATGTCTAAAACTACGAATATAGCAGATATATATGTCTAAAACTGAGCAGTGACTGACCTGATGAGGAACCGCATGTAGCCATCAGTCTTGTTATGGCCGCCGTCTGGTGAAAGTCTTGGTCTTACTAAATAAAAGACTGGGTCAGGAACGTCACCGAAGAAGTGGTGGCGTTCATGGGGTGTCATCTCCCTCAAGAGAGCCTGGATGGACACGATAATGGAGTCAATAACACGACAAAATATATTAAGAGACAACTGTATATGTGTTAGTTCCGTTGTTAAGACCATGGCGAGTGTAAGTGGACTCATGTTCCGTTGTTCAGACCATGGCCAGTGTTAAGTGGACTCATGTTCCAATTATGAAGATATTAATTTTCATTTACATTCTGATATATCATGAAAGGCGAACAGTAAAGGACATGATTGATATATGCAAATGGATGAGAGTGTATAGCAAGGCAGTTTCTAATATTATACATTATATATCAACACAAAACAGTGGATGCAAAAATGATATGTATAGATCCGGGAAAGGCCTGATTTAATAGTGGTTTAGACATGAGAGCGTTGATTTATGGAACACATTGTCAGCTCAGGTTTACCCAAACACGTTATAAACGGGCAGACAGGTCTTTTGCAATTTAATTTGTTAAGTACTTAAGATATACTGGCTAGCACAACCATTTACAGGACTGGTGCAGAAAAGGTACACTGACCTGCTTAAGCAGAGTGTCGCTGCTGCTGACTGCTAAAGTCTCCAGCTCGATGACCTGCAGGCCAAGATAAAGTCCAAGGAGGACTATGACACAAGTCCCTCGACCTCTGGCGGTCATCCTGACGAGAGGCTTCTCCTTGCCAGACTACAGCAGGTGGTTGGGGCAGTGAAGGAGTGTCCAAAGCACCATTCACCTCTTGGAGCTGTGGCTCTGTGACCTCGGCTACTCCCAGTTAACCCTTTTATCACTGGACGTGACCTGACCGCTGGAGACTGTGGGCGGTGAAGGTATAGGGAGGATCCTCCCACCCCCTCTCACCTGGCCGGCCACTACGCCCCCTTCTCACCTGGCCGGCCACTACGCCCCCTTCTCACCTGGCCGGCCACTACGCCCCCCTCTTACCTGCAAGTTTCAGCGTTATGGTTATACAACAAGACCAAACTATCAGCTCTGGTAAGAATTTATGAAAAATGTCTTCATCCAGAAGTCTAATAGTGACATATAAAGCAGGTTACTGAAAACCTTGACACAAGAGCCTAACCAAACCAAACTAGGCCAAACATTGCCTCACCTGGAGAACTATATACTCCTAACTTATTCCTGAGCTGACAATATAATCAGATTCAGATTCAGATTCAGATGTTTATTCAGGTAAGGTATATACATACAAGTGATGTTACATTAATGGATTGATATATAGATAGAGCTAGTACATACAATGCCTAAAGCCACTATTACGCAATGCGTTTCGGGCAACAGCTCGCCTGCTGGTATACCCGCATCTGTCTCTTAGATAATATATTACAAAACTCTAGGTCTGGGAATAATTCAATACATGGGTTCTATAGTTAAACGATTATATCATTGTCAATTTATTTCTATTACTCTCCTTCATTCATAATGTTTCTGATCTATCTTACTTGGAAGAGTTACCCCATTAAGCGGTAATACAGTCGGGTACGTTCTCGACGCATCATCGAGAATCCCGGGTTCGAATCCCGGGCGGGACAGCAATGGTTGGGCACATGTTCTTTCACCTAATGCCTCTGTTCACCTAACAATAAGTAGGTACTCAGGAGTTAAGTCTTCTTCTTGTGAGGGGTTGCATCCTGGGCGGGGTCAGTAATTTGACGAGGGGGTGGGGGGTGAGGGGGGGGGAATCTTGATAAAAGCCAAATGTGTATGAATACACTCTGGCTTCCTGTCCCCCCGACACAATGAATTATTATTATTAGCTTCTATATGTTCACTAATTTGTCCACATTATGCCTGAGACGTTCTGTATTAGTGACTTTGTGAGTCCTTGTGTTGGTCTTACCTACAGCAATCCTCCACTGTTCTTGTATCTTATGTATGTATGTATGTATGTATGTATGTATGTATGTATGTATGTATGTATGTATGTATGTATGTATGTATGTATGTATGTATCTATCTATATATGTATCTATGTATGTGTATGAATAAATGCACGTTTGCCTAAATAAATGATTATTATCATTACTGCATGTATAAGGGTGGTAAAGAACGAAGCACAAGAAGGAGGAAGTGACATGTGGTGTTATCTGAGACATCAGCGACTCTTAATAGTTCAGGGCGGGGAGCCGCGCCTCAAGTGAGGTCTCCAGGGGACCCCAGAGCCCACATGCTCACCTTTACTGCTATTTCTGGCCTGGTTATTAAGTGCTTTTTATTGGTTAATTAAGGACCCCTTGACTCCTCACTCTAGGCCTAGGCTCGGCTGTGTACCTCTGGGAGTTTCCAACTTCCTTGGATTTTTACTTAAATTTACCTGAGGGGGCCATTATCTCCCTAGTGACCTCGACGGGGTCAGGAAGCCGGCAGCTTGTCAAAGGTTTCACCATTGTCTATGAAGATTAATGTCCCTATAGCTTAGTTATCTTAAGTCTGGTACTAGCCTTCTTTCATACCTCTACTTTTTCCAGTTGAATTTTATGCTTACCGAGGTGTGGATACCGTGTGGGTGTCACGTTCAAGTAGAGGTTTAACATAGGTTGTGTAGATTATCTTGCCAGCTTCTAAAATGCTTAGTTTAATCTATTATGCACCACATACCCATGCTGTAAGTGGTGGAGGACATGTTGCAGAGAGCAACTCCTCCATATGCATCCTCTGAACAGTGGTGAAAATGTTGCACAGGCACATAATGGGCTTAGCAATTGAACTGCAATATTTGTCTAAGCAAGTTACAACATTGGCAAATTAGCTAGTTGTTAATATAGACATCAACAGCCTATTAACAGCTTTAGTTTAGCTTTATTAGCTTATTAAAGCACTACCCAGTCCCCTGGGATGTGGCAAAATGTCAGTACCAAATGGGGTTCAGAAGCAACCCTAAGTTTGTGTACTTAAAGTATTTTACATTTGTATAAAACTAGTTACTTTTTATATTGGTATATTGGGCACCCTCACTCACTCAGACGTCCAATCATTTAGTGTGGACGGTAGAGCGACGGTCTCGCTTCATGAAGGTGGGCGTTCAATCCCCCGACCGTTCAAGTGGTTGGGGCACCATTCCTTTCCCCCCTGTCCCAAATCCCAAATCCTTATCCCATACCCCTTCCAAGTGCTATATAGTCATAATAGCTTGTCACTTTCTCCCAATGGTTCCCTTCCCTTCACCCACCCAGCGGGAGACAGTGTAAGGTCTACACCCTCCTACCCGCTGTATGCCTACCTACTGGAAGGTATACACTCTCCCAGTGGGCATTGATGGAAGATGTCCACCCACCTAGTGGATGGTGGTTTTTAGTCTATTCTCACCCACTGAGTGGCAGTGGAAGGTATACACCCACTGGGCAGTATGATAGAGTAAAGTCTATACCAACTCAGTGATTGGCAGTGGAAAGGATATATCCAACAATTGAGTGGGAGTAGAAGGACTACACCTACCAACACTGGCCAGTGGTAAAATTTATATAATCATATAATGGGCATAGGCACTATACCTTCTCTTCATTGGGTTAGTTACAAGAATATTTGATGTGAAATCACTTTAGACCTAACAAGGATATTACAAGATTGAACACATTGTAAATTATATATTTATTAAACAAAAATTGTCTATTTAAGACAACTGTATATGGTAGTCTTGGCTTAAATAATATGCTTTTGAAATTTGTATATTTATACATATATATATACATACAGTATTTATAAATATAATTTATTTTTAATTCCTCAGGCATCACAATAGCAAGGTCACCGAGTCCATTGCGCTTCATAGACATATAAAAACAATGTAAACAATTTAAATATTTGGTCAAACATGTTAAAACAGAATATATTATATTAAAGATCTTTAGGAACAAAAATATTTCTCCAATGTATTATTTCCTAACCTCAGCTGCTTTTTCCCTTTATTGGAATTGTTTCCTTTCCGCTTGTTGCCAATTAATGGCTCACAAGACTTGTGTGAACTTGTATCTAAATGTCTTGAAGGGATTTGGCTACTGCCAGAATGTTTGGCCTGCACCGTATCTTGCTGCAACATTTCACCAATAGCATTACTACTGAGGCACTCGTCCACATGCTCATTCAATGACTCTAATGTCTTGTAATGTTTTTTCTCACACACTGGACACAAAAATACATTATCTGGGTCCTCTGGCATACTTGTGTTTACTTTTCTAGTGATTTCGTTCACTGAAGGATATTGTAAATTTTCAGAATACCTGATGTCTTTTTTCTTTTCAGTGTGACAGTATTCATTATTGGCATCTGTGTTGCCACTGTACTGAATATCAGTAGGGCCACTTTGTGATGTTTTACATAGGACCTGTGTTTTATCTTGGTCTTGATCTTTTGATATACTTATTAAATGCTTATCATTATCAATAATAAATTCTGAAATAAGATCATTTCCCAAGTTACATCCTTTGGTTGTATTATATTCACAGCAACTATCAACATGCATGATAAAGCCTTTTAAATTAGTAAATTGAATGCATTTCCCACATACGGGGCATTCACGATTTTCTGTCGATAGGTAACCTGAAGTTTCTCCTGGTTTAACAAGAAAGCCATCTATAGTCAAACAGTTCTTTGTTGAATGAGAAGAAACTTTCTTTGTTTCAGATGTAATCAAATTTGTGTCTTGCAGAGAGGGCAATGCTGTGTTGGAAATGGTAGTGTTAAATGACGATGATTCATCATCATACTGACAAATAGTTTTTAAGTTAGACTGGTTTTCAACATCAAGCTTACATGTATTTTCAACAATCATTTTTCCTTCTGAATCTATGACAGAATTAATTTTTGGTTTAAAAGACTGTGAAAACATTTGTGTGAGAGTAGTCTGACGGCTTGAACCCATCTCTGATGAATTCACCAGTGTAGACATGCGTACGCCCAATAAACGCAAAGATATAGGTTCTAAGGAGGTATCCATTTCATGCTGTAAAATTCGTCTCGCTGCAGAAACCATCACATCAAGTGAACGAGTAGCTTCTGATAAAGTCTGAGCACGAGTTTTTATTTGGAAATCAGACGTTTTCATCTTCAAGGTAAACACTTTTCCTACAATGTCTTTCTGCTCCATATCATCAGCTAATTCTTTACATAACTCTTGGGTTAGTCTGAAAAGTGTAATTTTATCTGCGGTGTCTCGAAAAGTAGTCTCTGTGCTTATTGATTTGCGGTCTTTTTCTGTCCACGAGCCAAGTGTGGTATGGCCCAAGCCTAAGGCAATTCTTATGAAACTGTTATAGCTGGTGTCAGAGAAAAGAAGCTTCAGCAGGCCACGTTTCTCCATTATATGTGAGCAAACATTTATACCCAGGGCCTGAAGCTGCTGCTCTGTCACATTCCCAATGCCACACACCTGCAATAAATTATTATATTTCTCACCATGGTTAAAAACAGAAAAGGCAATAGCCTATACTAAGTATTTTAATGTATATTTAGCCTTAAATTATACTTTGTGAAAGCTAAGCTGGAAAACAAAAGCTTCTATTTAATATTTGGGCTAATACAATGAAATAGTTACTTGGCTTAAATTGTTGGGGGAAATTTTTTAGGTTAAATGTCACTTTTATTAATTAAATGTATGAGTATAAAATATTGAAAATGTTTGAGATATTGCTCGAGACAGACAGTTTCAGGGGATCACGTTCCATACCAAGAACCAGGAAAATTTATAAGGTTGCCAAGGTTCCACAGCAAGACGTAATGAGCATTAAACTTTCGGCAACTACCATCAATATCAACACACACACACACATATCCATTGCTATGTCTGAAAGGTATATCATGCAAGTATATGCCACAAAAGAAATAATTTTAGACATGTATATGTCCACACAGGAAGCTAGATAAAGAAGCCTTTATAATACTGTAACATAAGTGACACCCTCCTTCAGTATGTGCAAGTAAGGGTGATTCTGCAACTGATACAATTAGCTGCAGTGAAATGCTCACAGTACTGAACCTCACTACACTAGAAAATAGGAGGAATGGGAGCATGATAGCAGCTTACAAGATTCTAAGAGAAATTTACAAAATGATGTTAAAATGAGATATGGTGGATGTGGAGATAGCCATGGAAACTGAAGATGCAAATAAGTTACAATAGATTTATTTTAATAAAAGTTATAAATGAACAGGTTAAAAGGGAATATTAAAATATCTGTTAACTGCAGCTTCAAAAGCAAATATGATGTTACATGCAGGAAAAGGTATCGTATTAACCAAATAATGACAATACAGGTGAAGCTTTTAAACAGAGACTTGACCCTGCAAGCATGTCTAGACACACACACACACACATTAAAAACATAATTGTGCAATACTGTACGTTGTATGGCAAAAACAAGATATATTTCAACTCAAAACAAAACGGAATAAATAATGTAATTACTTTACGAATGGGTAGTGCTGAAATAAAGTTCATGATGAGCTGTCGATTTGGAGGCAAGTAATACTGGCCGTCGGGCTTATTCATGTCACTACAGATCTTTGCCAGACGAGTATTGGGAGCAATACCTGGAACAAGAGAAGACTGATGATACCTAAAAAAAAATTTGCACAATTTCACCTATTATTGTTATGCCAGGCTTTGTTTGAAACTATCACGATATATAGCTACTGTATGTGCAGGCATCTTTCATAAATTAATGCTATTAAAATTACTAGTGTTAGAGTTTTTAAACCGTTCATATCTCTATACCATTTACCTTACATCCATGATATAAATGAGCTTATTAATTCAACAGGGTGGAGTAATAAGTACAGGAGATGTAGTGAATTCAAGGAATATGATGAGTACAGGCTGGTGCAAAGGGCACTGTTTGGTGTAGGTACACCCACACTGTAGGTACACCCACACTGTAGGTACACCCACACTGTAGGTACACCCACACTGTAGGTACACCCACACTGTAGGTACACCCACACTGTAGGTACACCCACACTGTAGGTACACCCACACTGTAGGTACACCCACACTGTAGGTACACCCACACTGTAGGTACACCCACACTGTAGGTACACCCACACTGTAGGTACACCCACACTGTAGGTACACCCACACTGTAGGTACACCCACACTGTAGGTACACCCACACTGTAGGTACACCCATACTGTAGGTACACCCACACTGTAGGTACACCCATACTGTAGGTACACCCATACTGTAGGTACACCCATACTGTAGGTACACCCACACTGTAGGTACACTCACCTGCACTTGCTGTTAGTTGAGTCTTTGCCTGAATTTTATGTCTTATCTCACGTACAATAGCATTGGATACGCTACCAGGCTCACAATCTGAAAATCAAATATCCAAGTCTTAGGTTGTCTCAGTTTACACCCAGCTTATACTTAATGAATTAAGAAAACTGTACAAGAAGTATGGAATTAAGTACAAGAGAATCTTATTTCAATTTTAATGAATTTATATAAAAAAATAAATAATCACCTTCAAGTGTGCCTGCACAATAACGTGAAGCATTTTCGTGTATAAATTTGGTGATATCCAGGTATGCTTCATCTAAAGACATTTGAGAGTAGTTGGCATCGTACTCGGCAAACACTTCCTGAATTTCTTTACTAACTTGCTTGTACTTTGTGAAATTCGGTGGAACAATGACTAAATCAGGACAAAGTTTCTTGCCAATGAAGCCTGGCATTGCAGCACGAACACCAAACTTTCGTGCTGCATAGTTGCTGGTGCTAAGCATCCCAAGCCCTCCTACAGCCATTGGCTTATCCCTGAAAAAAGTAAGTAATTATCAAAAGAAGGCACCAAGCCGGGGAGGGTATGTAGCACTGTCAAATGTGCGGGATATTTGACAAAAGGGGGAAAAAAGCACAAGGGCTTTTCTTTTGCTTGCCTGTTTAATGAAGCTATTTGTGTTAGTTAAACCTACATAGCCATCACAACCTGTCGAATATGGTAACTCTTGGAGGAGCTTATTAAGTTTCTTTCTGAAGGCTTCTACTTTATTCCAGTAATATTTCTTACATTTTCTGGGAGGAGGTTGAAGATTCAGGGGTGTCTTCAGGGTTTTCTATATCACAGACACTCCTTTTTGTTGTAGTTCTTCTATACTTCCTATGATACTTCTAACTCCAGTTTGTTGTAATTTGATTGTGCAAGATGGGAACCTAACCTTCCAGTATTATACATATGTATATTATGATATAGTGTATCTATCTTGTCTCCACTCCATTTATTTATTTTTTGACTGCCTCAATGGTTTTGAGGCAGTTCCATTATTTCACAGACTTGATATTGCATGTGGGCTGTAGAGGATCTTTGTACTGTATACTTTCTAGCTCAAATATTTTGCCTGCTTTAAAAAGGAAAATGAGTATAGAACAACATTCCACACAAGAACACCAGAGCTTTAAAAAAAACATCATCACTGGTGTGGCATCCCTTGTTTTGAAAGTTCTCCTTATCTATTCTGTAATATATCTAGCTTCTACTACGAGTGCTTTATTGTTCTCTAAACACTAGGTTGACTAACATTATTATTCTTAGATCTTTGAATTGGTTTTATTAAATGAAAAGATTTGACTGCATCTTGTATCTTATACTAATTTTAAACCACCAATTATTCTATTTAAGATACAGTGTAACTCAACTGAGATAGTTACCAAGGTTCAATTTAGTGAGAGGTCAGTTTATTACCTGCTAAAATGTTGCAACACAGATTGTGATAATAACTTTGTCAACTAAGTTCAGCAATCAAACTCTGATCATACCTTAACACTGGGTCATCCCTCATTTCCACTGCAGCATAAAACATGTCCATATCCACGTGCACAATTGTGTGGCTGAGGTCACGGTTTAGTTCCAGTTCCTTGATTAACTGATCCATCTGCACAGAGGAAATCTATTATTAATTTAAATACTACTGAAATTCATAAATTTATAAATGAAATTCTAGCATCATCATCATCATTGCTTGGTTAATGATGCTAGATATGATAAAAAGAATAGGATAAATTAAATGAATCCTAATAAAAACGTTATGTTTCTTCATTATTATGAAGATAACACTGTGCCTCTGCAAGTCAATCTTAACACAACCAGTGATACACGACATTCCGTCACTCCTTGTGATCCTGACTCAATGTCTCATTTCATTTCATATCTCATTTCTTGCCTTCTCTTTTTAGTTCCTTAAAAAGATTGAAGATGGGCTGGAAGTAATAAAACCATGTTGACATCCTTCTACTTGTACATTCACGGACTCAAAAACTATAAACACGAAACCATTCTGATTACCCAAAATTGGGTAATGATTAATGAAATCATTCATTCCAATATTCAGATTACAAGCTTTTACAAAATTTGAACTACAATTTCCTCTATTACTTCAAGCTCATCTGCTCACGCATGTCATAATTGTTGTTATTCACAACAAGTTTTGGCTCAGCACTATTGGTTAAGCTCTAATCTTTTTCTTTCTGATTGTTTATTTCAATTTCAAAAACATTTAAGACACCTGTTCAGCTGGTAATTTGTAACTTTACTATAAAACTCTTAACTCCATGATGCTCAGCTCCCGGATATATAGTTATGACTCCTATTTTATATATCACACACAGATATATTATTATACAGCACATTAAAAATTTACACCATAGAAGCTATGAGACTAACTGGACAACAGCCACTGCTGCTGTATAATCGCACATCGGCTGATACTTGTAACATCCCATGCAGTAAACAATTACTGTTCAATATAATGAGCAGTTCATCAGTATATTTACATATGAGACTACCGTATCATCAAAATAATGGTCAAGATGGGAATTACCTAAAGACAACAAAGCATCATACATATACTGTACTGTATAGATTACACATCAAACAAGCTTTCTTCAGGATAAACAAGAAAATATCACTCAGACTAGAGACTGTTGGGGTTCATGGAATTTGAAAGCACATGCAACATTTCCCAAATTTCTTTTATACCAAAGAATATTCCTTTTGAATTTGGGAGGTAGATCACCTGCATTCAACTTTAAAAACTTGCCTGTAATGTTGCCTTTTTTATATGTTCTTCAGTGAAAGAGGCAGCTGCTTGCCTCAAATGTGATATCTTTGCATCAAGCTGCTGTTGGCATTTCTGTTTGTGTTGATAAAAACGTGATCCCTCCGATGCATTCTTTATGATTTCATTTATCTTTCCAGTGTCTAATCCTGAAAAAGGAGATTTTTTACACGTAATATGTAGCAGCAAATTTGAAGAACCTGACTGAGATGATGGTTTCCTAGTGCGTAAGTATCAATCAGTCAGTCAGACCACGGCTACTTGGCACTGGTTAAGCACATATTTTAAGTTACAGATAATACAGTAATGTACAAATAACCTTTAACAGTAATATTATCAGTCACAATGGAAATGCTGCCTCAGGCACAGGTGGGAGGAATTGAGAATGTCCAGCTGCGTGGTGTGTAATATCAACCCTTCCTCCTGTTTAGATAGTTACTTTTTGTAACTATGTGGACCATTGAACATATGTACATTGACGTAAAAAAAAAAAAATTGATAATAGTATTTAGAACTATTTACTTTATAGTCTGAAAAATAAAGCTAAAAGCCAAACTTAAATATGCCTAGGCCAAGTATAGCACATATATATACTATATTAGGCCTCAGATAGCATGTATTAGGCCTAGGAAGGTTAGGTTAAGTCTATGTTTTCTTTGCAACAAATACAAAACCTATTCTGGTTTTTCCAAATTTAATACTACCGATTTCAACAATCTAATTGCCTCTTCTAATTGTTTGGGAACACTCGGTGCATAGGTCCGAACTCTCATCAAGTCTCCTGTGGATTTGTTCTTTGGTACATCGAGATTTCTCAGTGTATGATTTCTGATTTGATGATTTCTCATTGTGATTTCTCAGTGTATGGTCTTCATCGTTACTACAAGTACTACCTAAACAGGAGGATGAACTGGAAATATTGTACATAATGTATATAAATATAATAATTAAATATGTCAATGGTAATCAAGTGTAAAAATTTGAGGCATAATAAGTAGATATTAAGGATATTGTCCATGCACATATTATGGATGAAAAATGTCTTGTTTTTACATTTGGAGATGAATTTGTTATTTAAATTTGACTTTAAACAGTACTTTTTATAATTTACAATGTCACACGAGTTAGAATATACTGGGCAATTCAATCCACAATTTATACAGTGTGATGGTTGTTCTGTGCAGTTTGTCTTGATTAAACATTTCTTAAGTGACATACTGAAGCATAATTGCTAAATTTCCAAAAAGTACCACACTTGTAAGAAGTTGGTATGTACTCTTTTTTTTTTTTACATATTTGATTCTACCTATGAAAATACAAGTACAGTACTAGTCATAGTATTGGGACAGGGAGGGGTAAGGGAGGGGGGGAGGTTGCGAAATAGTTGGCATAGTTGGCATGTGTGTTGAGTGTGTTGGATTGCTTTATTTGTTAGCACAACCCAGGGAGCACTACAAGGAGGTAACAGCAGAATCTGCTTCCTGTACCCCTGTTCTTAGAGACAAAACATTCAAAGACCAAATCAGTGGGTTCATTAAGTCTCTTTGAATGGAGGTAAAATAAATGTTAGCATATACAGTAGTTAATAAAGTTAGTTTTATAATAAATATATTTTGAGGGGGGGGGTTATTACATGGCAACCAATCACTAAAATTACTACTACCTTCTTAGGGTCACTGCTGTGCTACTCTTATTCAGAAATTTATGTATTTTATCAAGATTTTAAAGAAAAATGAATGTTGCTTGCCTATGTTAATTTCCATTTTTTATTAATTTATTTAAACAAAATAACATTATGAAAATTTGGCAAACAGCTTAAAATCAGTATCAATGCCTGCATATGTTTCAGGAAAAATGTAAAAAACATGAATTCACCATCTAATAATATTGTACTGTATTGTGAGAAAATTCTCTCTGTAGCTCAGGTAACTGTTTGTCATACCTTCCATTCCAGCCTTGTTTGTGTTAAGAATCAGGTTCTGTGGTCCTGTAGAGTTACTGGTCGCTGCTTCTGGTTCAGTAACCTTATCATCTGGCTTGTCCATGGTGGTGGTGGTTGTATATGATTTCTTGGATAATATACCTTTAAAGTGCTGTATTGCGTAATATTGTTTACTGAACTCCTATGGCAACACCCAAGTTGTTAAGATATCTGAAGGGCAAATTAAAGTAATACATTAACTTACAATTCAAATTATATTATCATTATGATTGGTTGTCATGTTTTAGGCAAGCTTATTACAAAAATATAGAGGAAGAGAATTTCTAAAGGCTTAGTAAAACAATTTAAATTCAAATGTTTATTCAAAAGAATGTGTGTATAAAAAACACGAGAGTAATGTACAATTGTGAGGACAGGAGTTACACATACTAATACTATGCATCAGCACACAAGGGGTCCGTAGAATTACCCAAAGCCAGTAGCTCAAACATTTATGTCCCGGTCGGGATTCGAAGTTCATTATGCACCCCGTACTCATCCTGTTTGCAGTAGTTTATTGTGCACCCCATACTTATGCCATGAGTGGTAGTTTATTGTGCCAGTGACCAGTGGCTCCCAGGCGGAGTAGAGGTGTCCAGACAGCCACTCGTCAACCTTGAGGTTACCTTGAGGTACTTCCGAGGCTTAGCGTCCCCGCGGCCCGGTCGTCGACCAGGCCTCCTGGTTGCCGGACTGATCAACCAGGCTGTTGGACGCGGCTGCTCGCAGCCTGACGTACGAGTCACAGCCTGGTTGATCAGGTATCCTTTGGAGGTGCTTATCCAGTTCTCTCTTGAACACTGTGAGGGGTCGGCCAGTTATGCCCCTTATGTGTAGCGGAAGCGTGTTGAACAGTCTCGGACCTCTGATGTTGATAGAGTTCTCTCTCAGAGTACCAGTTGCACCTCTGTTTTTCAACGGGGGTATTCTGCACATCCTGCCATGTCTTGGATGTGCAGAATACCCCCGTTGAAAAACAGACGTGCAACTGGTACTCTGAGAGAACTCTATCAACATCAGAGGTCCGAGACTGTTCAACACGCTTCCACTACACATAAGGGGCATAACTGGCCGACCCCTCACAGTGTTCAAGAGAGAACTGGATAAGCACCTCCAAAGGATACCTTTGGTAGGTCAAGGCTGAATTGGCCTCCCATTGTTGTGGGATGTTATTGCGGAACATATTCAGCTCCTCGGAACCAAATGTTCTGTACATACAACTATGTATGTACTTTTCCTAAATAAATTATTATTATTATTATTATTCTACGGGCTATGGTGAGCCCGTAGTGGACTTACTAGGCCCAGGAGCAGGGCTGTAATTGTTGATGATGGTGAGTGATCGCTTCTTACGCTATTCAAATGCTAACGTTTTCTGTAATTTAAACAGTATGTAATTAGGGTAATTTTAATGGCTGACTGGAATAATGATAATATTATTTTATTTATAAACTATACAGAGTATCAGATTATTGGGGTTATGAGTAGGCACAGTTTTTATAGTTAGCTGAATTTACCCAAAGGCCATTATATATCTTTCTAGTGGTCCCGACGAGGACAGGAAGCCGGTGGCTTGTCAAAGGTTCTCCAGTTGTCCTGAGGATTTTATCGACCTGCAACAGTGTGTTGGCATTACCGGCTTCGACGGGTATGTAGTTCCATGGGTTTATAACCTTACGGGTGAAAACGCATCGTTTATCAACAGTTTCCGTTTCTCCGTTCTTTTCTAGATCATATCATATTGCCTATTTTATTTTCTAAGAAGATATAGTCTTTCTTACCCAAGAGAGGAAGTTGCTGATTGTCAAATATATCTTCTTCTGTCCTGAATATTAAATCCAGTTTTGACGGAACATCTCCTTCCCTTATTGTGGTGGCCCTGCTCATCTAGTTGTGCTTGCGGGGCTTGAGCTTCGGCTCTTTGGTCTTCGACTCAACTGTCAATCAACTGGTGAACATATTCCTGAACATATTGGGCTCTATCATATGTACATTTGAAACTGTGAATGAAGTCTGCCTTCGCCACATCACTTTCTAATGCATTCCATCTGTTAACTACCCTGAAACGTGTTGATACACGAATGTCTGCAGGATGAAGTTAACAACTCTACTAGTACAACTCTCCTCTGTTCTTGCTTCGTAGGCCTCCCACTCTATTGCTTTCAAGTTAAAGTCACCAAGTACCAATAATCGTGATTTATCTCTATCTGCTCTTACTATTTTTTATGATCTCTATGATCATTATGAGGACCTCTCATTTGTGTGTGTGTGTGTGTATGTGTGTGTGTGTGTGTGTGTGTGTGTGTGTGTGTGTGTGTGTGTGTGTGTGTGTGTGTGTGTGTGTGTGTGTGTGTGTGTGTGTGTTTGAACGTATACACAATAAACCGGACGAGCAATAAAACAGAGTTTCCAGAATAGCTTTAATATTTATCACAGACAATTTACCAATATCAATTATTTTTCAAACAGAAACAACCGAACAAGTTGACAAACAAGAAACCTATTGTGTTTCTCTGAGTGCTTGTACACAAGGACACTTTCTTAAGGAATCAGTAGGTACATGTGAGTTTATAACAATCGGGAATCCCAAGTTTGAATCCCGGGAGGGGACATAAATGGTTGACCATCTTTCCATTCACCTAATGCATCTGTTCACCTACCAGTAAATAGGCACCTGCGAGTTAAACAGATGCTCCGGGTTGCATACTAAGGGAGGGGGGATGTATGTGTGTGTGTGCGTGTTAAAGAGAAATATATGAAGTAGATATGCTGGAGTAAAATAGGTTTGGAGTCAGTACATTTGACAACCGATGGTCAGAAGGGCCGGGGGTCCATGAGCTAAAGCTCGATCTCGCAGGCGCATATATTAAAAACACACACACATTCGAAAAGGTACAAAAGTTTTCAATGAGGTTCGTCCCAGAATTACGATGGATGGAGTATGACAAAAAATAGCCGGCTCCCATAATTTTCAAAGGCCAAAAGCTGGTTAATCCGCCTACCTCTGTTGTTGCAACTTGTCCACAGGCTTGGCTTGTTAAAGCGGCGGTTGACCTCCAAGCACATTCATAAATTTTTACGCATTGAACATTAAAAATTGCCTCATATATAAATTAATATTACTATATATTAAAATTCTATGTATAGTTAGGCGTAGGTCAGGTTAGGTTCTGTTGGAGATTATTTGTATTTGTACTACGTGGGTGAAGCATTTATAGCGTTGTGATTCGAACAAAATTCGTCAGTGAAACACTTGTTCCGGATATGTTCGAACGTCAGCAGTTGTGAGTCGTGTGTAAACCGTTTTTCATTCATAAACAGGGGGTTTGGCGGGTGCATGGAATCACTTTTGGATCTTTGTTTGGAGGACGGGCTGCATTTTTGTCCCTGCCGGGATTCGAAGCAGGAATTCCCGATTGTCGAGAATGAACCCGACTGGTGAGCATGGAGAAAACACCTACATGCCTCTGCACCACACACAGTTTCATTCCACAAAACACGGACGGAAATACGAGTGACGACGGAGGTTAAACCTGCATAGTCCTCGTGCTGAGGTTCATCTTCAAGCAAGTTCATTGAGGCAATAAGATACAATTGTCTCAATACACTTAAACTTGAGGTGAGGTGAAGCCTTCCTGCCTCCAGGTAGCGATGCTGGCGCCACAGCTGCATCACCCGGCAGGGTGGTACATAGAGAACGTGTTCCTAGCCAGTGTTGGGTTCCAGGGCTAACTCCTGCAGTCTCAAAGACTCGCTAGGCTTGAGGGCGGCAAAGACGCACAAGTGTGAGTGAGGGGGTCTACCTTTGTGACACACAAAGTGAGCTTGCAACAAACCATGCACACACACAAATATATTGACCTTTTAATGGGCCCTGGACAAAGACACTCGTTGTTAGCTCTGGACAAAGACACTCGTGAGGGGCCCTAGACAAAGACACTCGTTGTTAGCCCTGAACAAAGACACTCGTGAGGGGGCCCTGGACAAAGACACTCGTTGTTAGCCTTAAAAAAGACACTCGTGAGGGGCCCTGGACAAAGACACTCACTGTTAGCCCTGAACAGACACTTGTTCTGGGCTCTGGACAAAGATACTCGTTGTTAGCCCTGGACAAAGACACTCGTTCTGGGGCCCCTGGACAAAGATACTCGTGGTGAGCCCTAGACAATCCTCTTGGGAACTTTTGAAGAAGCTCTCAAGAAGACTGAAAGTGCTTAAACATTTTATTTCACCTTCAAATGTGGTAGTCTTGCAATTAACGATTATATTATTATAAATTATAATTATATATATAAATATATATGTCTGTCCAAAAGGAAAATGGTCTGGGGTTACTGGACGGAATACGCCTAAGTTAAATGCTTCAACAAATATTAGTCATTAATAAATTAGTCATCAACAAATATTAGTCACACCCGAAGGACATTGTCTTTCTTAGAGCCATGTGAAACATGGCGCGTGATTACCGTGGAGGTGTTAGGACAAGCACCAAGTATGTATGAAGAGAAAGAAAAAACAAAGCCTCTGAGACCCATTCATTTGTTTCAGTGCTTCTTGTGGCAGGTAGGGGAGGGGGAGGACGAAGAGATAGATAAAGAGAGAGAGAGAGAGAGAGATGTAGAGGGAGAGAGAGAGAGAGAGAGAGGGGAGACAGATCGCTTCACTCGGGACTTGGGTCATGAGCCTAGCCATTCTGGGCTGTGAGAGGCAATTACGTGTTAATATGGAGCTTGGCACACGTGGTGGACGGATGATATAACAAACATGTGTCAGTCCACAGTGCAGCCTCGTCCTTGGTGTCTGGGGACGACAGTCGGACCATTATACCACGAAGGTTGGACAGGTGACGTCTTTAATATTACACGACGATCTACTACACGGCGGCGTGTTAGGAATAATGGAAAAGGAGAGGCAGCAGTCTCTTCAGGTAAGGACATTTTCCACTCTTGAAGGAGAGCTTCTGCTACTTGAATGGATGTTGTTGCTACGCAGAACGAGCGATACAGGGGAGGGTGTTGCAAGCTGCTAACACCGGCGGGCGAGAGAGCGGGTCGCACAGGGTGTCAGAGAGGGCGACGGCGCCCTCCGCCGCAGTGCAGGTGGCCTGACTCTCCTGCCAGCCGCCCCCACACGCCGCCGAACACTCAGACACGTTCGTCAACAGCCACCTCGAAGTGAACACCGACTCCGGTAGACCACTTTTCAGGGACAGATACCTGCAAGGTGGAAGATGTTCGTTAGTGGTGGAGGGAAAACCCGATCAGTGGTGGGAGAACCCGACCAGTGGAGGGAGAACCCGAGTGGTGGAGGGAGAACTCAAGCGGTGGAGGGAGAACCCAAGCGGTGGAGGGAGAACCCAAGCGGTGGAGGGAGAACCCAAGCGGTGGAGGGAAACCTGAGCAGTAGAGGGAGTTCACGAGCGTGGAGTCCCTGCGCTGTGGAATTAGGGCGGGAGAATAGTGTTAGGGATCCATCAGTCTCGGGAGACTATGGAGTTGCGCTCTGGAGTAACATATATATATATATAACCAGGTTCTTACGTATTGAACATATTCCTTATTCTCTTGAAGAAATTAAAGAAGCCATTGGAAGATGAGTCCGTGGTGTCTGGTTGCTTGGGTGTGGGCGGCTGGACCTTGTTGGCGTCTGGGTCTGGCGGTGGTGGCGCCTTCTCTGGCTTGGTCACACACTGCCCACTGATGCAGAACTGTGGACAACGATGCACACTTTAGAACTCCACCACACACACTTTTTTAAACTTCAAACAAATGAAAACAAAAATCAATTGTGAAATTCTAGAATGTTGACTCTAAACTGAAGAAGAGGTGTAAGAACATTGGATATTTGAGCATCATGTTATCCGCCAATAGAATGCACGACAGTCTGATGTGGCTGGTAATGTGCAGGCGCTTGTGTTCCTGAGCACTGATGACTGGCTCACACCTGTGGCTCAGGCCAGAAAGAGAGCAACAAGACTGTTACATTTGTCTAACCTTTTTAAGGTCGCAGGTGGTGCCCTCTAGCGCCGGGTGGGTGCGGATGGCGTGGGTCGTGTTCTGGCACCACAGCTCCCGACACACATCCTGTTGGACACAACACACTGTTACACACATCCTGTTGGACACAACATAGTGTTACACACATCCTGTTGGACACAACACACTGTTACACACATCCTGTTGGACACAACAGTGTTACACACATCCTGTTGGACACAACACACTGTTACACACATCCTGTTGGACACAACAGTGTTACACACATCCTGTTGGACACAACACACTGTTACACACATCCTGTTGGACACAACACAGTGCGCTGAGTAAAGCTTGGATCGGTTTACCAAGCTTAAAAATGAGCTGATGTGGGACAATACGTCTTAGCTTGCATATATTAAATTAGGAATGTTAGTGCTAATTCCATATTGCATTTTACTTATACAAGATCCAAGTGATGGTATGTACGTAAGTTATATATATATATATATATATATATATATATATATATATATATATATATATATATATATATATATATATATATATATAATCTATTATACACACACACACATATATATACACAGGAAACTTCAAATAGCGGCTTCGCCCCCAGTCCTAATATAAATGTTTAATAATCAATACAAATTGACTTTTTTTTTAATTACTTCATATTTTAAGGACATTGCAATCTAAAAAAATATATATCCCTATATTCAATTTGTAAAACCTTAATCTTATAAAAGAAAATGCTTGGCTCCCAAACAAGTCATATATGGAGGCGGCTACACACCGTGACAGACACCCAGACAGACTATGTCAAAGGACAATTTTGACAGCATCATTTAAAATTTTCATTATCGTCCGGGAGAAACACTTGAGGAAGTGAAGGTAGCGGACTCACGTTGTAGGGCGCCTTGGATGTGACGTAGGGCTTGAAGGAGGACCCTTCAGCGAAGGTGCACTGCTCCTCCTTGGAGTACCTCTCCCCCGGCAGCAGCTCCTTGCCCTTGTCGAAGTCCAAGGTGCGTGAGGCCCGGGCCTTCTTGGAGAGGCAGTCCGGCGATAGACTGAACGGGAGAAGAGAAATGAATTTGTTTTTCTCCCCCTGATGCGCTAGTACACTCACTCACGCTCACACGCTGAGCCTAGTACACTCACTCACGCTCACACGCTGAGCCTAGTACACTCACTCACGCTCACACGCTGAGCCTAAGCTCAACCTCCGCAACTAGGTGAGGTAACAATTAGGTGAGGTGAGTACACACACTATACTCACGTGCGCAAGAAGGTCTTCAGCTCAAGGTTGGAGCACTTGGACCAGGTCACTTTGCCAGGTCCTGTGGAAGGTGACATGAGATACTTGGTGGCGTCGCAGGTGTTCCTGTCCTCCCGTGACCCGTCGTGGGACATCCCCAAGCTGAGGGGCAGAGAGGGACAGCTGTCAGTGATGGGTCGGAAGGGAGAGGAGACGGTTGAAGGGGTGTGAGGACGCAGGACACTCAAGACTCACTTGTGCCCCATCTCGTGGGTGATGACGTAGACGGCTTCGAAGCTGGTGCCTTCGTTGATGGTGCAGGAGTATCTGGCCTGACACATGCCCGACACCCACGCCAGCCCTGAGGGAGGGAGGGAGGGCCAGTGTCACACGGACGGAGGATGCAATTAATATTTTTTTTAACTTGTTCCAAGTGTTGCAAATTGGGACTTTATGTTGACAGATGATTCACTTAATATACTTAAACTGGTCAGAACACCTGAACAATGTGCAACACGGAGGCAGAATCTCCAGGAAACTCGAGGGCCTCCCAGAGCCCAACTGTTTTGAATTACATCTTAACATGCACGATGTTCACTATATACGCCCGGGGAAAGATCCAAGCCAATTGGCCTTGGCTATGCCCCCATGAAGATTGCTGTGAGGAACATCACAACTCATAATCTTCACTATACACATGAGTAACCCGAGCTAGGCCGAGATTAGGGTCTTCACTGCTGCTCCTAACACTATCAGATCACTCTGGACTCCGACTTGAGGATCCTCTGAGGACTTTTGGCTCTTTCCTGATCCAGAAGTTTGTGTAGGATATTGGCCTCCCGCCGTCTCTAATGCCCACGGCCGGACTGTTTATAGCTTCTTAGCTAGTATCCTCCTATTGAAGTGACTATCATTAATAAGATTTGGTCGATTTCAATTCAACGATGTCCGAACACACACCGGACCGAAACAAACAACAATGGGCGCATCCGATCCCACGATCGTCGTCGCCCCTAAACCAACAACAACAAACAAGAACGATTTCACATTACCAGAGCACCACACCCTCGGGGCCTCGTAGCCTGGTGGATAGCGCGCAGTACTCGTAATTCTGTGGCGCGGGTTCGGTTCCCGCACGAGGCAGAAACAAATGGGCAAAGTTTCTTTCACCCTAAGTGCCCCTGTTACCTAGCAGTAAATAGGTACCTGGGAGTTAGTCAGCTGTCACGGGCTGCTTCCTGGGGTGTGTGTGTGTGGTGTGGGAAAAAAAAGTAGTTAGTTAGTAAACAGTTAATTGACAGTTGAGAGGCGGATCGAAAGAGTAAAGCTCAACCCCCGCAAAAACACAACTAGTAAACACACCACCGGAGCACCACACCGCCAGAGCCCACACCACCAGAGCCCCAGAGCACCACACCACCGGAGCACCACACCACCAGAGCACCACAATACTCTACCTATGACTGTAGTCTCATCAGGGGAGCCATCCCAGAGGTCGAGGCCGGAGAGCATGAGGGCGTGGTCCCAAGACTCCCCGCTGCCCGCCGCCGCGTCGTTCTGCTCCATCTGCCACGCGCAGAAGTTGCTTAAGTACCTGCCAGACACACACACTCATTACTACACACTTACACCATGCAACAGGTGAGAAAGAGGTAAAGTCTCTCTTCCTGCTCCTTGGCTACCCTCCTCGCTGTTGTTACTGAGAGCAGGGACACTATGACTATCACTTAATACACTCCTCCTTACATACCCATATGTCTTCGTGCATTATAAAGTCAGTTAAGGGATTAGACAGTATTCTGCTGCCTCTTGCAACAGTGCAGCTGACGCCCGGAGTGTTGATGATGCTGTGTACGACTAATGGCTCCTACTGGCGTTGCTTTACCTCCTCCTTTATTATTCCCTTGTCTCTCATAGTGGTTTCCTTACCTGCCATCATCTCTCGTACCAGTCCTCTCACTGTACCAGCCCTCTCAGTGTGTCAGCATGGTGGTGTAGCAGCCCCCTCAGTGTGTCAGCGTGGCAGTATAAGAGCGTGCCAGTATAAGAGCGTGCCAGTATAAGAGCGTGCCAGTATAAGAGCGTGCCAGTATAACAGCGTGCCAGTATAACAGCGTGCCAGTATAGGAGTGACAGTGGGATACTCACAACTGGATGTTGCCACCAGCCTTAGGTGGCCCGCTGGAGGAGGACTTGATAATGTCGAGTCGGACCACCGTGATGGTGAGGTGGACCTCTAGTGAGGCCGAGTTGTACATCAGGTGTACCTGTGGGGGTACACAGGCACCTCTTACACCTCTATTATCAGGGGCGTGGCACCACTAGCTTAACCGCCCTCACCACGGGTATAGCGCCAGTATCAACGCCTTATATTATATATATATATATATATATATATATATATATATATATATATATATATATATATATATATATATATATATATATATATATATATATATATATATATATATATATATATATATATATATATATATATATATATATATATATATATATATATATTACTATATATAATATATATAGAAGTGAACAGGAGGGAGTAAGTGAAAGGAATGGTGCCCAACCCTTTTTGTCCCGCCAGGGAATCGAACCCGGGATTCCAGTTTGTGAATCGAGAACGAACCTAAATCGAGAACTACTAAAAATTAACCCATTTTTAGCTTTCTATTTCTCGATAAATTTCGGTCTTTTCTTGGATGCTATATTTCTACCATTTTTAAAATTGAGTTTTGAATGCAAGTCGTGAAAGAGGTGAGACCGCGAAATTGACCGCGAAACTGACCGCGAAGAAACTCACCGCGTTCATTATAGTCAGAACCAAATCTGTAATAGTTTTGACGGCGTCTAAATTGGGATTCCTGTCTTTGATGACCGCGTACATCACGTCGTCGACGAACACGGCCGTCTCAATCTGCTTTCCATCAATGGTCGCTCGCTTGGTGATGTCATGGCGGCTTAGATCCTCATTGGCTGCCTCGCCTGTGACATCACTGTCATCCTTCGTCAGGTCGACGATGACGCGCGGAGCTCTCATGGCGTCCAGATCTGAAATAAAGTCATCACGTGAATAATTACATATATATGGTGATAAAGTTTGACCTCTGTGCCTAGTGATTGATTGATTGATAAAGATTAAGCCACCCAAGAGGTTGCACGGGCATGAATAGCCCGTAAGTGGTGGCCCTTTTGAGCCATTACCAGTATCAAGAGCTGATACTGGAGATCTATGGAGGTGCGACTGCACCCTGCGTGACGGGAGATGTCTCCCCTGTGTGCCTAGTGATTCACAGACCATCACCAACCACAGCAAAACACAGACACTAACCAAACACAGCACATTTGGAGTTGGCGTTCCTGTTGTGGATGACATGGAGGCCGTCTGACGTCATGTGGAGGCCGCCGCTGTGGCTGCTGGCCTCTGCTCCGGTCTGGCGTCGTTCCCGCAGGTGGCTGGGGTTCTTGAGTGGCCGCACCAGGTGGGTGTAGTTGGAGGACATGATCACACCAGTCTGAGGGCGGCACATAGTAAGTGTCTAAACTAAATCGAAATCGTGTCAGTGATTGGCTGACGTGTTAACAATTATCTGTATATACATAAACGAAAACAAGGGGTTTGTCGGCGTGTTAACGAGCTTGGATCTTTGTATGTGAAGACGGGCTGGTTTGAAGGTGAGGGTTTGAAGCCACCAGAGCTGGGAATGAATGCACTGGTGAATCTCGAGCAGCCAACATGGCTTCCCCAAAGTGGTTCCTTGGGTACTCAGCCCGTCCTCGCATACAAAGAGCCAAGCTCGTTAATCCAGCCGCCAAACCCCGGGTTTATGAATGAAAAGCGGTTTACACACGACTCACAACTGATGACGTCCGAACACTTCCGGAATAAGTGCTTCGCTCACGTCCTCTGTTCGAACCACAATTCTATAAATGCTTCACCACGTACTTCAAATACAAATAATTACCAACAGAACTTAAACACCTCACTTAATCTACGCCAAACTATACATAGAATTTTAATGTATAATAATATTAATTTATATATGAGAACAAATCAATTTTTAATACACAGTATGTTAAAATTGACGAATGCGTCTGGGGAGGACGCCCGCTGCTTTAACCAGCCTAGTGTGAGGACGCGTTGTTCAAACAGGGTTGTCAAGGAAAATTTTATATTACCGATTTTGTAATTGTCATGATAATAGGGTCTACCTGTATGAACTTGTGGAAATATTGGATGATATAGTGGTGTAGAGTGGCAGTGAATATAGTGATAGTGATTATAGTGGCAATGGATATAGTGGTAGTGGATATAGGTGTCAACAGCCGTATGTTAAACACCGCCAGAAAGTGTCAAACATTGCCAGAAAGTGTCAAGCACCGCCAGAAAGTGTCAAACACCGCCAGAAAGTATCAACCACCGCCAGAAAGTGTCAAACATTGTCAGAAAGTGTCAAACATTGCCAGAAAGTGTCAAACACCGCCAGAAAGTGTCAAACACCGCCAGAAAGTGTCAAACATTGCCAGAAAGTGTCAAACATTGCCAGAAAGTGTCAACCACCGCCAGAAAGTGTCAAACATCGCCAGAAAGTGTCAAACATTGCCAGAAAGTGTCAACCACCGCCAGAAAGTATCAACCACCGCCAGAAAGTATCAACCACCGCCAGAAAGTGTCAAACATTGCCAGAAAGTGTCAACCACCGCCAGAAAGTGTCAACCACCGCCAGAAAGTGTCAAACATTGCCAGAAAGTGTCAACCACCGCCAGAAAGTGTCAACCACCGCCAGAAAGTGTCAAACATTGCCAGAAAGTGTCAACCACCGCCAGAAAGTGTCAACCACCGCCAGAAAGTGTCAACCACCGCCAGAAAGTGTCAAATATTGCCAGAAAGTGTTAACCACCGCCAGAAAGTGTCAAACATCGCCAAAAAGTATCGTGTTTGATAAAGAACCACTTGTGAAAGAAATTGACTTCGACGACGAGTCCAGCTTTTCAGGACATAGAAACTTTACAAGTGTGTGTTTGTCATGTGTGTGTGTGTGTGTGTGTGTGTGTGTGTGTGTGTGTGTGTGTGTGTGTGTGTGTGTGTGTGTGTGTGTGTGTGTGTGTGTGTGTGTGCGTGTGTGCGTGTGTGCGTGTGTGTGTGTGTGTGTGTGTGTGTGTGTGTGTGTGTGTGTGTGTGTGTGTGTGTGTGTGTGTGTGTGTGTGTGCGTGCGTGTGTGTGTGTGTGTGTGCGTGCGTGTGTGTGTGAAGTCGGTGGGCGACCTTGAGTGAACGTTGCGTGGCCAAGTCGGTGGCCCCAACTAGGAAAGTCAATAACTTTAAAACATGCAAGTACTGAACCGAGGCGTGTTCTATAAATTCCTGGAACGTGAAAGGTGCACGCACAAGGCCGCAGGTAAACACACACACACACGCACGCACACACACGGCCACAGATATGACTGCAGGTGTGTAGACTCACAGATATAACCGGAGGTTTGCAAACACAAATATGACTGCAGGTGGGCAGTCATACCTGTGTGCTACACCATTCATAAGGGAAAGAACAGAATGAGGAGGAAAAGATGAAAGTTAGAAAAACAAATGAGTCAGAGAAATGAAATAAATTAAGTGCCTTCGGAACGTGTGCTTTAATAAGAATCCTCAAGCCCCTGAAATCAGAGGGGGTCGAAGCCTCCATCAAGAGTATTGGAACATTGTCAGGTATATAGATTCCAGGTTCACTGTGAATAAGACGGTACAGGCATTTCTTATTTGGCTCACAACCACGATCTTCCTGTTACGACCCATCTGTTGGTACATCGTCCGCCTATCCTACGGCCCACTTCAGCCAACATTACGACCCATTACATGGCCCAACCTCCACTGTTCATCTGCCTAGACCCACCCCAGCAGCCCTGGTTAATCTCCAGGGGCCCACTAGTCCTGACCCACCTCAATAGCCCACCATTCGTGGCCCACATCCATCAGCACAGCCCTAGTCAGCCACCAGGGGCCCCTATAGCCCAGCCCTACAGTCCGCCCGACAATGACCACGCATCTTACCTGACATTTTAGGTCATCGATTATCTCGGGACGACTGAGGTGAGTACAACGTTCTTCTCTCCCATGTCTCCATTGTTCACTCTTGTTGGTACCCGTCTGTGGCTCTCAATACGTCCATTTTGAGCCGAAGGAGACTCTGGCTCTCACTACGTCCATTTTGAGCTCCAGGGAGACTCTGGCTCTCATTACGCTCGCCTTGATACTCTAAGGAATCTCTGGAGCCAACTACGCTCGCTCGCATGTTTTGAACCCTCACATGAATGACTGCCACCTCCAGCACTGAATGACTGCCACCTCCAGCACTGAATGACTGCCACCTCCAGCACTGAATGACTGCCACCTCCAGCACTGAATGACTGCCACCTCCAGCACTGAATGACTGCCACCTCCAGCACTGAATGACTGCCACCTCCAGCACTGAATGCCTGCCACCTCCGGCACTGAATGCCTGCCACCTCCAGCACTGAATGCCTGCCACCTCCAGCACTGAATGACTGCCACCTCCAGCACTGAATGCCTGCCACCTCCGGCACTGAATGCCTGCCACCTCCAGCACTGAATGACTGCCACCTCCAGCACTGAATGACTGCCCATATCCCATCATAATAATAACTAATCATCAGGACTCACGTAGCCGAGTCCGTCGCAGTTGGAGAGGGCAGCAGAGGTGTCCGGGCGGCCCTTGGCTTGGCCGGAGAAGAAGCAGGAGTGGCCCGGGAAGCCCCTGTGCTTGGTGACCCCGTCCTCGCCGCGTACCACTAGCACAAAGTTGTTAGACAAGAGGTCGTAGTTGGGTCGGAGCTCGAACTCCAGTTCCTCTTGGTCGTCAGTGACAGTAACGTCCAAGAAGCCCGGGAACTCCGTCAGGTTCCTGGAGGATCTCTTCTCCCTTGAGCGGCTCCTGACGTTGACCAGGCCGTGGGCGGGAACTGTCATAAACCGGCGCATACAACATTATTAAAACGTATAAACCAGTTCTGAAGACCTTCAGGACTATTAAGGGATTTAGGTCAATACACTGGTGCGTATGGGATTACTCTCGAATTTAAGCAACGATTCTAAGATTTCCTGGATTATTCTTATATATATAGACGATAACTGCAGACCTTGGGGCTCATGTTGGGATTAAGTGGATTATTACAACAGTCCTGGGATTGCAGCAGAGTTTCATGTGAGTTTACGATTATTGTGGAAACTAGGGATTATTTTTAGTATTTAGGGAAGCATCAGGGATTGTGAAATTTAAAATTTTACGTTAGGGTTTATACAAATAATGAAAGTATGATGGGAGAATATTGCATAATTTTGTATTTTATTCGAAGATTTATGTCAAAATTGGATGATTAGAGACTACTGTAAAATATAATATATTTGTATATTATTCAGAGAATTATTATATAATTTTTAGGAATTATATAATATTTTACGGGATTAAAGGATATAGGGGAGGCTATATAGGAAGATTAAAGGCTATTATTATATATGTGGGATTATTAAATATTTAATATGATTATTTTTTTTATTCAGAGAAATGTCTGGGATTTTGAGCCATTTTAAAAGTTAAGAAAATACTGTAGGATTATGTAGCGTATCGTAGAGTGTAATGAATAACTTTATGATTTATGGAGAGTATTGTAGATTGTAGGGATAACTATAATTTAGAGGGAGTAGCGCTGATTTTAGCCATAACTTAATGGTTCATGGAGGAATATCCTAGACTGTAGGGATTTATGGATTGCTGTATATGAATGGATTTCGGGGTTTGTGAGAGTAACACAAGTTAGACCAACAGGTTTTCTCAACAGACACAAGCAACTCGTGGACTTACTCGTACATAAAATAGATGACTATAAAAATGAATGATATATATTCAGAATTTTGTGGATTTATAAATCTGAAATTTTATATATACTCTGAGAAGAGAACTCCTTGTTGTGAGACACTCCCGGAACTTGACTCACCCTCCTGGTCCCCAAACAGGAACTTGAGGTCATCTTTGGTTAGCTTGACAGCCGAGTCCGGAGTCTGAGAAAAGGCAGACAACGTTAGATATTAATGATGATATTATTATTATTATTATTATAATTTTGTGTTTGTGTCTTTTATGCTATATTCCAGTTCCCTCACCCATGGGAGGAGTATATGTCACATGTGGGAGGTGTATTTCACATGTGAAGGGTGTATGCCGCATGTGAGAGGCGTATGTCACACGTAAGAGGTATATGTCCCATGTATAAAGTGAGAATGAGGCGTGAGAGGTCCTCCCTGGTCACATGAACTGTGGCCTACCTTGAAGCCGTGAGCCCCGAGCTGCAAGACCAACATGGCCGCCATCACCGTCAGCAGCCCCTGGCCCGCGCCACCGCCTTCCCTCCTGCCACACCACCACCTGCTGCCCCTCAGCTCGGCCCACCGCTCCTGCATCTCGCCTCACTCACCACCATACCACGCCGGCGATCTCCCGCTGCGGCTCCGTCTCTGAGGAAGGCAAGGGGGGCATGGTTCGCCAGCTGCTGGTGGCGTCGATGTGACCCGTCCCACGTCTTCAATGTCCCGCCCTCCCCACATTGTTATTAATTCATTACTAAAATATATGAAAGTTTCATGCTATGTTCCACTGTCCTCTTCCAGTGGGAGGTGTCAACTGTTTTTTATCCGAAGGCTCGTAGATCTTACTCGGTCATTTCAAGCAAAAGGAACAATTTGAAATTGCAGGAGACTAAACAAGAAGTGATGCTATGAGGCGTGTAAGAAATAGAGGCGATCTGAACGTCGTACACGACTTGGGAAACACACGTCGTACACCGGGAGAGTTAACGGACCTCGAGGAATAATTATTCTAACAGAACACGTTACGCTGCCGCCTGCACCAAATGATGCAGGGACTGATGTTAAAGTATTAATTATTAGGAGGAGTAGGATAGGCTCAGTATTCTTCCTATAGTGTTAGGTTGTCACGTGTCGTCACTCGAGGATGTTGCTACTCCAACACTCCGTCTTGGACAAGAACATGTTGTACATGTTATACCTGAACATCACTGGCCAGTCTGTTGTACACCTTGTGAGGCCTAACACTCATGTTGATAGTTCCCAGGTGCTGTGTAGCACCACGCAAGGTCACAACACAGCACCCGGCCACAACACAACACCCGGCCACAACACAGCACCCGGCCACAACACAGCACCAGGCCACAACACAGCACCCGGCCACAACACAACACCCGGCCACAACACAGCACCCGGCCACAACACAACACCCGGCCACAACACAGCACCCGGCCACAACACAGCACCAGGCCACAACACAACACCCGGCCACAACACAGCACCCGGCCACAACACAGCACCCGGCCACAACACAGCACCCGGCCACAACACAACACCCGGCCACAACACAGCACCCGGCCACAACACAGCACCCGGCCACAACACAGCACCCGGCCACAACTGTAAAGTCAGGTCAAGACAGCAGTGGGTCAGGTCACAGCACCAGCTGGCTCCCTCACCAGTAGCTGTGTCCTCACCAGCTGCTGAGATCTTACTGAGCTCCCTCTGTCTCCATACCTTCCTTTCCCGACATACCCCCTCTCCCTTCCTTCCCCTCCCTTCCCTCTCCCTTCCCCTCCCTCCTCTCCCCTCTCTCACCCCGTCATACTCACGCCATGGAAACACTGCCACACTTATAATTCAATTATTTCCAAAGTAAACATTCACTTCAAGCAGCACAAACCGTATTTACAAATATACTGTTATCTGTCCTTCAGATTAGGTAAAGAATGCGCAAACTCTTCATGTATTAATACTTAATATAGTTCAGAGGGTGGGCAGTACTAAGTGAATGAATGAACGAAGGTTTGTGAAAACAAACTAAACTTATAAGCGAGGCGGAGTATCGACTTGGATTGTTGATCTGGCGCCATGACACCCGTGACGTCACCACTCGCTTTCTTTCAAGGAATTCACCTGAATTTACCTGAAGGTCATCATCTCTAGTGGCCTCGATGGGGACAGGAAGCCACTGGCTTGTTAAGCATTCCCCACCCCCCTTACCATTAGTCCCAAGGGTTACATCTCGTTGTATAGTTGAATTCATTCTCGACTTACAATCGGGGGTCCCCCGGGTTCGATTCCCGAGCGGAACAGAAATGGTTAAACTCACATTCTTTTACCTAATGCACCTGTTCACCTAGCAGTAAACAGGTACCCGGGAGTTAAGGAACTGTTGTGGAGTAGCCTCCTGGGGGCACCTACAATGTGTTAAGTACTTTTAAGGTCTCGACAAGAAGAGCCTTGTCGAGTCTGGTTTGTTGTGTTGACAGTCTTGTGGCCCTCAAGCTTTCTTGTTGCAACCTGCTCTCGCACAAGACAGCACATATATGACTTATTGCTGATAGTCACTATTTCGCCTTATAAATAAATATATATGTGACATATTTTAAACCATATTTTTTTTCAAGGCACTAACTTTTTCTCTCAGTTTTATTAAACAATAGAGATTTTATACAAAATTTGACAATATCCTGAGTTAATTTACAATTTATTTTAATATTTTAGTTTCGTTTTATTATTTTTATAAAACTTTAATATCAATATAGGTATAGGTTCAGTAGTAATTGCAATATCTTAACATACTAAAAAGGTTAGGTTAGGTTGTGTTTTCTATTCAGCTTTTCAAGGTAAACTCAAATATTCACAATAAATTAGTATGTCACATATGCACGTATTCATAAGCAAGATATTGAATATAAGCAAGTGCGAGAACGGGTTGCTTGGTAAGGGCGCACCAGGCGAGTGTTTTACCACTGCGCCACGGGGACAGTTACTCCTGGTGAGGCCAGTGTGAGTCACAGGGGGTCACTCCTGGTGCGGTCAGTGTGAGTTACAGGTCACTCCTGGTGCGGTCAGTGTGAGTTACAGGTCACTCCTGGTGCGATCGAGTCATTAGCTCAATCCACTTGAGATTAGCGTGAATCACGAGTTCCTTCCTTATCAACGGTCGTAGCTTCGTCTTACACGTCGAAGGCGAGTTGGGTGGGGCAAGAGGGTTAGTTTACTTTAAAATGACTTTTCTAGGTCCGACGATCTGGAGGCAATAGTTTTTTTCTGGCTGGAAAAATGACGGTAGACAAGCTCAGATCAATATATAATAGTTTACCATTGATCATCAATATTTTAGTTTTCTATGATGATGTATAAATGTAAAAGAAAGCGAATAAGAGCATCATAAACCACTGTACAATTATCACTAACGTGCTTGGCTACAATAATTTACCTGAATGTACCTGATGGCCACCATCTTTAGTGGCTTCGGCTGGGACAGGAAGCTGGCGGCTGGTCAAAAATCCCTTCCCCCCCCATTATTCATTGGTATTTTTTCCCCATGAATAATAGTGGGGGACATAATGAAGCGTACCTTTGACTTCGGAGGAACAGAAGATAGTTCGGTGGTCAGCAAATGGTATACACTGAAAGAAGAGGTCGTGGAAGTCTCCTCCAACCATAACTTCAAGAACAGATATGACAAAGAACTCGAACGTCAGGAAAGTTAGAAAAAAAGGCTAAGAAGTGAGACACAAAGAACTAGAATTCCCTCCTAGTAGGCAGTACTGGTAAGCACCGTTAGGTCAGCCTCACCGTAACCTAGAAAGACCAAACAGCCCACCGTTCAGCTAAGACTGGTACACCAATAAATGAGTCAGTTAAAGTCCATTTACCAATAAACTTAGCCAGGTTCCCTAGCTGAAGGCAGAACTGTCACTCATCCGGTTACTGGCCAGACCCAACGGTGCTTAATTTGATTGAGCGAAGAACGCACACATCAGGAACTTTTCCACGCCCAAGACTCCATCTTCATAGCTCTAGCCAGCACATGGTTGACAAGGAAGGAAATGGAAGGGTTGGGGATTTGTTGACAGAGCCCCATAAAGCTCATGGGGTTCGTATCCTGGCCGGGGAGGATTTACTGGGCGCAAATCCTTAACTGTAGCCTCTGTTTAACGCAACAGTAAAATGTGTACTTAGTTGTAACAACGATTCTTCGCGGCGGGGATCGTATTCCAGGGACCTGCCCGAAACGCTACGCGTACTAGTGGCTGTACAAGAATGTAACAACTCTTGTATATATCTAAAAAAAAAAAAAAAGGTATGCCGCAAGCAAAATTTGTACGCACAACCATCGCAAATCTTGAACACAGGCGAAAGGTATTCAGAAATACTCAACACCTAACAGATCTGGGAGAGTACAAAACCTTTACATATCCGCACATCTCACAGAAGCACAGCAGAAATATGACTAGGAACTGAGAGACAAGCTAAAGGAGTAAAAAAACACAATTAATATGATTTTGAAAGCTAAATATAAGAAGAGGGCAAGTGACCAAGAAAGCAGATGGAGGAGGGACGTTGGCCTTCACCAAATCAGAACTAACCATATATATCTCCAACGGCAAGCAGGCACAATACTAAAGGGACAATGTATGGAATAATAATATGCAGAATGCAGGAAAATTCCCTCCCCTCCCCCACGAGAAACCCCCTCTCACCCACCTAGAAACAGTGGCAGGAGTTTAAATTGCTTCTACACAAATACCAGATGTTTAGTAAATAAACTTGACGCAGAGTGCGCATGCGCTGAGGCTGAGAATCTCAGTATCATTGGTCTCAGCGAACCATTGGGACGAGAAGAAAGAACAGAACAACAGGACCAGGTGGCGTGATGCTGTGTATAAAAGAGGACTTTAATATAACCAACAATGATAAATTGAACACCATGGAAGCCTCAAAATCTGTATAATGGAACATACTGGCTGAACATAGAAGCACACTGAGAGCGGGAGTGAGCTACACAGCCACAGCAAACACAGCTATTGTTCTACCTAACGTTATAAATGTTGAACCTGAGACTCAAGCTCTTACACTGGAGGACTTTCAACACGAGACAATAGATTTGGGTGAATCAACCATCACACGTGGAAGGAGAACATTTTCTTGGCTCTATACAGGACGTCTTCCTCAAACAGCGTGTGACAGAGCCCACCCGAGGTACCAGCTTGGTAGATCACGGACTACCATCAGAAGAAGGCATCACCGATCATGTGCAGATCACTATTAAAATACTTCGTGTGATCATAATATTCTAAGATGGATTATATTACAGAAACTCATATCCAGAACAATGACTTTCTAGACTACCTTTGAGGAGACGATCATGGAATGAGAAAGAGGAATTGCAAAACACTTCCTGGAGAACAACCCAGCGGGTTTTCTTCCTATTGGGGAGTGTTGTACATGCTGCTATGGCGGTGTGTCCACTCACAAGATGAGTGGCGCTGCCCAATAAACTCGCCCCTCGGGGCAAAATTTATAATTTAATTTAAAAACTTCCTGGAGGAAGTTAATAGAAGATCAAGACGTGGAAGCATTACGGGAAAATTTCACACAGTTCACCACTGAACTCGTTCAAAAATACGTGTCAAGAACAAGAAAAAGAAAGAAAGAAAGATAATTAGATGGCTGACACAGGCAGTAAAAACAACTAAGTAAAACAACAGGGAACAACTAAGCGCAACCTCTAGAAAATATATCAATTCACAAAGAATCACATAGATTAAGATATACAGAAAGACATTACATTCAGCCACCTAGAAAATCAGATCAGACATAAGAAATTATGAAAGAAAACTTGCTCAAAACATTAAGAAAGACCCAAAGTCATTTTACGTCCATATGAGAAGTAAAGCCTAGACAAAAAACTGGGTTATAATTGATTATTAAAAGGCAGCCAATACTCTAAATGACTACTTTACATAATTCACACTAGACAGAGTAGACAACATCCCAATTCACCCACACATGTTTAAAGCAGAGGAAGGGAATGAATAAAGTGATATTCCCATAATGTGCGACACAACCAGGAAGAGCATTGACAAATTAGAGGTTTCGAAGGCTACAGGTGAATGTAATTCAGTCCAAAGTCGTAAAAGAACTTGACGATGAGCTGTGTCTACCACTGAAACTCCTTCTAGAAAATCTCTGGCTCGAGTTTCCCCTAGAATGAAAATATGGAAATGTCGCTCCTAATTTAAACGAAAAAAAGCCCATCAGAAAACTACCGGCCGACCAACCTAACCTGGCCTGAATTAATATCCTCCAAAGTATTCAATATTTCAAAGATTTCGATGAGATCAGCCTTATCATGTCTGGTTTGCAGTGTTGTTAGTCCTGTAGCCCCTCAACCGTTCCTGGGATGAGAGTTGACTTAATTCTGGGATGGATTTTGTCGCCCGTCTTGGACTTTCACCAAAGCAGACATGTTCACTTGGAGGTGTGGCCAGGCCTGGGGTGGTGGAGGACCAGCTGGGGGGGGGGCGTCTCTACTCAACAGTGTGGGTAAGACAACAGCCTCCCGCCCCCCCCCACCAGCTTACTACTCTATTACACTGAGAAATTGGCCCCGTTATGGTCCTGACACTGTAATTGGAAACGTCAGCTCCCCGAGGTAATCTTGGCTAGAAATTGGCTGTCACGATATATCCCAGACTCGCTACCCTCCCTCACCCCTCCTACCCCCCCTCACCTCCTCACCCGATCCCCTTCCTGAATCCTCCTCACACCTGACCATCCTGACCCATCCTCTAGTCAGGAGTGAGGAAAAACAAAGGAATAATGAAGCAAGAGTAAATGTTGCAGTGAGAGGAAGGAGGAAATATAAGAGAAGAGAGGTGTGAGAGAGAAGGAAGGTGTGAGAGAGAAGAGAGGTGTGAGAGAGAAGGAAGGTGTGAGAGAGAAGAGAGGTGTGAGAGAGAAGGAAGGTGTGAGAGAGAAGAGAGGTGTGAGAGAAGGGTAAATAATGGATAATAAAGTCTCCATCTCGCTGTGGATCAAGTATATTTTTAATTATTTTCAAAATGAATCTCAGATTTTTTGGCCGCAGTTGTCGAGTGGAAGAGTCAACAAGGCTGGTGAGACACCGAGGTGGTGGTGGTGGTGGTGGTGGTGGTGGTGGTGGTGGTGGTGGTGGTGGTGGTGGTGGTGGTGGTGGTGGTGGTGGTGGTGGTGGTGGAGGTGGTGGTGGTGGTGGTGGTGGTGGTGGTGGTGGTGGTGGTGGTGGTGGTGGTGGTGGTAGTGGTGGTGGTGGTGGTGGTGGTGGTGGTGGTGGTGGTGGTGGTGGTGGTGGTGGTGGTGGTGGTGGTAGTGGTGGTGGTGGTGGTGGAGGAAGAGGAGGAGTAGCAGAAGGTAAGGTATTAGCAGCTTCTAAATTAATTCACTACCACCAGTAACACTACTCACTCCTCAAGGACAGTGTTCACACTCAGTGCTGTTGGCCAGCTGTGTGGAATTCCTATACCAAGAAATAGAGACAAATAACGAAGCAGTTATTGTTTCCCTCTCAGTGTGCTCGCTCCTGCAAAACCAAATATTCAACAAACTATTTTTTGGGGTGTGTCTGTCGTGAAACGCTCCCTGTGAATTTTGTTTAAATTGGCCGAGAAGTGGAAACTGTTCAGCAGTATTAACGCTTTCCAGTTTCGTCCCAATTAATTGGCAGCCGGAGAGCATTGGAACCTCATGATATAGTTTACATCCAGTCAGTAGGAAATATGATGGTATCCTACAGTTAGTATCTGGAGAGGACAACGGATATAAAGATGACGAAGTTTGTTGACCAGACCACACACTAGAAGGTGAAGGGACGACGACGTTTCGGTCCGTCTTGGACCATTCTCAAGTCGATTGTGATGAGGAAGTAGAGACAGGCAAAATCGCCTGCATATGGCGAAGCTTATCTTACTGTGCGCTGTCCGGCAAAACCTTCCAGTCAGCCAAGTTTTACGGGTAGGCCATCATTCCAGGCGGAGGTCTGGAGGATAAGGAAAATCTATATTCCAGCAGAAGTTGGAAAGGGTCCGCGAGGTTCCCTCGGGAGACAGCGGGCGCCACAGGCAGGGCAACAAATAGATTTTACGCCGCCTTTCTTGACATTGCTTTTCCAGGGGGCTCCTTCCTGGTGGCTACCAGCCTAATATCTTGCAGGAGAGGGAAGGCAGTGGCAGCACAGGTGGTGGTGGCGGCGGAGGAGTCCTCTCCTGGCTAGTTTTCACCCACTCTCTCAGTCATCTTTGCATAATATTCAGAGCCGTGCCTTATCTGCTTTCCTCCCTCTCTATGTCACGGCGGTGACTCTCCCACATGCGTACCACACACTCTCTCTCTCCCTCTCACTCCACGGGTTTGTGTACTCTCATGTGTGGGGCCTCGAGTCATTACTTGAGGACTGTCAGCCTGTACGTGTCCGTGTCAGTAAGGCGCAGCAAGGGCGCCTTCCTTACCATCCTCTACTATTACCGTATACCCTACCCACTACCATAACAACATACCCTACCCCCTGCATAACAACATACCCTACCCTCTACCATAACAACATACCCTACCCCTTGCATAACAACATACTCCCCCCCGTCAACTGACGTTCTCAGCATAGAATCAACTTATATTTACCTCTACATGGGTCAGTCCATCAGACAAGGAGCTGGCGTTGGTGTCCAAGTTCTCATCGTCACATATTTTCAAAACCAAAAGATCTGAAGGTTTTATTTTAAAGTTTTATTTGATCTCGCTCCCGTCACAATCGACTTGATAATGGTCCAGGACGGAGAGGAACGTCGTCGTCTCCTCATCAAATCACACACCAGAAGAAACATCTTCAGGTGTGTGGGGTTTGGTCATCATATCTTCAGCCATGTTAGTGTGTCTCATCGTCTGCTTAAAGTCCAATAGTCGTGTAGTTTCCCCAAGTCCAGAGGCCATGCAGTTCCCATGTTCAGAGGTCCTTCAGTTTTGAAGTCCAGAAGTCGTACAATTCACAGATCCAGAAGTGTGCGTGCGTGTGTGTGCGTGTGAGTGTGCGTGTTACCGTGTGTTGGTTTGGTTTTGGGAATGAACGTCCCCGCGGCCCGGTCTCTGACAAGGCCTCCTGGAAGCCTCCTCCTGCGAGGTAATATCCCTGGAAACACAAACCGTAACTGTCTCTATTTTCCGCTTGTTACAACTTGTAATAAAGTTGTTACATCTTGGCTTAACGTGTTTATGACGTACTAGAACGTTGTTACAACTTGCTATATTGGTTGTTATAACTGGTTAGGAGGTGTTAAAACTTGTTTGAACGTTTTACCAACGTCGTAGTTTCGGTGTGTGTTTGGCGGGATATATATATCATATATATAATGATTGGTGTATGAACAAGAGAGGTCTGGGCGGCGACCGTGCGCTCTATAATGAACCTTCGGCTCCATTTAACAATCTCTATTTATATAAATCCTTTTCTAATTACTTCCGAATCTGCTCCGGCGCTTCTCCGCCTCGGTTCGCTGTGGTTCACTGTGGTTGTTGGAGAGGTTATAACTGCCCAGCTGTCCGGTGGTTGAGGCCAGCTGTCCGGTGGTTGTGGCCAGCTGTCCGGTGGTTGTGGCCAGCTGTCCGGTGGTTGAGGCCAGCTGTCCGGTGGTTGTGGCCAGCTGTCCGATGGTTGTGGCCAGGTGTCCGGTGGTTGAGGCCAGCTGTCCGGTGGTTGTGGCCAGCTGTCCGGTGGTTGTGGCCAGCTGTCCGGTGGTTGTGGTCAGCTGTCCGGTGGTTGTGGCCAGCTGTCCGGTGGTTGTGGCCAGGTGTCCGGTGGTTGTGGCCAGCTGTCCGGTGGTTGTGGCCAGCTGTCCGGTGGTTGTGGTCAGCTGTCCGGTGGTTGTGGCCAGGTGTCCGATGGTTGTGGCCAGCTGTCCGGTGGTTGTGGCCAGCTGTCCGGTGGTTGTGGTCAGCTGTCCGGTGGTTGTGGCCAGGTGTCCGATGGTTGTGGTCAGCTGTCCGGTGGTTGTAGCCAGCTGTCCGGTGGTTGTGGCCAGGTGTCCGGTGGTTGTGGCCAGCTGTCCGGTGGTTGTGGCCAGCTGTCCGGTGGTTGTGGTCAGCTGTCCGGTGGTTGTGGCCAGGTGTCCGGTGGTTGTGGCCAGCTGTCCGGTGGTTGTGGTCAGCTGTCCGGTGGTTGTGGCCAGGTGTCCGGTGGTTGTGGCCAGCTGTCCGGTGGTTGTGGCCAGGTGTCCGGTGGTTGTGGCCAGGTGTCCGGTGGTTGTGGCCAGCTGTCCGGTGGTTGTGGCCAGGTGTCCGATGGTTGTGGCCAGGTGTCCGGTGGTTGTGGCCAGGTGTCCGGTGGTTGTGGCCAGGTGTCCGGTGGTTGTGGCCAGGTGTCCGATGGTTGTGGCCAGCTGTCCGGTGGTTGTGGCCAGGTGTCCGGTGGTTGTGGCCAGGTGTCCGGTGGTTGTGGCCAGGTGTCCGGTGGTTGTGGCCAGCTGTCCGGTGGTTGTGGCCAGGTGTCCGGTGGTTGTGGCCAGCTGTCCGGTGGTTGTGGCCAGCTGTCCGGTGGTTGTGGCCAGGTGTCCGGTGGTTGTGGCCAGCTGTCCGGTGGTTGTGGCCAGGTGTCCGGTGGTTGTGGCCAGCTGTCCGGTGGTTGTGGCCAGCTGTCCGGTGGTTGTGGCCAGCTGTCCGGTGGTTGTGGCCAGGTGTCCGATGGTTGTGGCCAGGTGTCCGGTGGTTGTGGCCAGCTGTCCGATGGTTGTGGCCAGCTGTCCGGTGGTTGTGGTCAGCTGTCCGGTGGTTGTGGCCAGGTGTCCGGTGGTTGTGGCCAGGTGTCCGGTGGTTGTGGCCAGGTGTCCGATGGTTGTGGCCAGGTGTCCGATGGTTGTGGTCAGCTGTCCGGTGGTTGTGGCCAGCTGTCCGATGGTTGTGGTCAGCTGTCCGGTGGTTGTGGCCAGCTGTCCGGTGGTTGTGGTCAGCTGTCCGGTGGTTGTGGCCAGCTGTCCGATGGTTGTGGTCAGCTGTCCGGTGGTTGTGGCCAGCTGTCCGGTGGTTGTGGCCAGCTGTCCGGTGGTTGTGGCCAGCTGTCCGGTGGTTGTGGCCAGCTGTCCGGTGGTTGTGGCCAGCTGTCCGGTGGTTGTGGCCAGCTGTCCGGTGGTTGTGGCCAGCTGTCCGGTGGTTGTGGCCAGCTGTCCGGTGGTTGTGGCCAGTGGAGCACTCGGTGTTAGTGTGGTGCTGGTGCTGGTGCTGGGGGAGGGGGTGTTAGTGTGGTGGAGGGGGTGTTAGTGTGGTGGAGGGGGTGTTAGTGTGGTGGAGGGGGTGTTAGTGTGGTGGAGGGGGTGTTAGTGTGGTGGAGGGGGTGTTAGTGTGGTGGAGGGGGTGTTAGTGTGGTGGAGGGGGTCGTTATTGGCGGCATCGTTGTTAATGAGTATACAACCTGATCTTCATTACTTCCCAGCTGAGCGAGCAGGACGCTCCATGTGTGGGCTGGCCTCACTCTCCCACCAGCCCTCTCTCCTCACCAGCAGCCCTCTCTCTCTCCCACCAGCCCTCTATCTCCCACCAGCCCCCTCTCTCCCACCAACAGCCCTTTCTCTCTCCCACCAGCCCTCTTTCTCCCACCAGCCCTCTCTCTCCCACCAGCCCTCTCTCTTCACCACCAGCCGTCTCTTTTCCACCAGCGCTTTCTCCCGCAATATCCATCTCTCCCCACCACCAACCCTTCCTCACCCCAGCATCAGCTCTCTCTCCCAGCCAGCAGCCCTTTCTTCCCCAGCAGCCCTCTCCACCAGCAGCCCTATCTTCCCCCACTAGGTCTTTCTCCCGCATCAGCCCTCTCCCTCGGGGATGAGTGGACAAGAGCGCACATTCCGGTCCCTCTCCCCACGCGAGGACAGTGATGGCCGGGCCCCTGACAGGCAAAAGAAGGTTTTGTTTACAAGGAATTAGCCGTCGACAGCATGCACGTAGTGGGCAGTGTAATGGGGACATGTAGCCTGTAGGGTGATACAGCAGTCTCTGGGAGAACATGCAGCATGAGAAGGGTGATACATGTGATTCTGGGGGGCTACAAACTGAAGGAAGAGGGTGATACAACAGTTTCTGTTGGGGGGTGGGGCATCGTGTTTATTGTTACTGAGAGTCGAACACCTCCAGCACTGTACGTAATTGAATTTGGCATGATGACACAATGGTGTCAGGATACAGAGAGTGTTGTTAGGATACAGTGAATGTTGTCAAGGTACAGTGAGTGTTTTTAGGGTACAGTGAATGTTGTTTAGGGTACAGTGAGTGCTGTCAGGATATAGTGAGTGCTGTCAGGGTACAGGGAATGGTTTTTAAGGTACAGTGAATGTTGTCAGGGTACAGTGAGTGGTGTCAGGGTACAGTGAAGGGTGTCAGAGAAGAGTGAATGATGTCAGAGTAGAGTGAGTGATGTTTGGGTACAGTGAGTAGTGTCAGAGTACAGTGGGTGATGTCAGAGTACAGTGAGTGCTTCAAGGTACAGTGAATGTTACTAGGGTACAGTGAATCGTGTCAGGATACTGCGGGAGGTGTGAAAGTACAATGAGATATATGTGAGAGCACACAGAGAGAGAGAGAGAGAGAGAGAGAGAGAGAGAGAGAGAGAGAGAGAGAGAGAGAGAGAGAGAGAGAGAGAGAGAGAGAGAGAGAGAGAGAGAGAGAGGTGAGAGCAAAGAGAGAGAGAGAGGTGTGAGAGCACAGTGAGAGAGGAACTAGACCAATATTTACAGAGGTCGTCTCTCACTCATGAGCTAATTTCCAGGTGTGTGTGTGTGTGTGCCCGGCCACTCTGCAGGCCGGATGGAGAGAGAGAGTGAGAGAGAGAGAGAGTGAGAGAGAGAGAGAGAGAGAGAGAGAGAGAGAGAGAGAGAGAGAGAGAGAGAGAGAGAGAGAGAGAGAGAGAGAGAGAGAGAGAGAGAGAGAGAGAGAGAGAGAGAGAGAGACGAAGAAAGATATGCAAGAGGATATATGTTTAAGTAAGACAGACCAAGCAGACAAGAACGACAGTAATGTACCAGAATAAGAGACGCAAGTACCATTTACACCTGAGTGAAGGTCAGCAGTGTGCAGCAGCAGCAGCAGCAGCAGCAGCAGCAGCAGGAGGAGGGAGGCGCTGCGTATCAGGTGCTGGTATGCAAAGTGCGCTAGCAAGTTGCAGGTAAAACGGGCACTAATGTTTACTGTGGCGAGGCCCCGGCCTGCGCCTGAGTACACACACACCACCAGGCTAACATTACACCCTGGTGAACCTCGCCCCTCTCTGTCAACACCCTGGTGAACCTCGCCCCTCTCTACCCACACCCTAATGAACCTCGCCCCTCTCTACCCACATCCTGGTGAACCTCGCCCCTCTCTACCCACACCCTAATGAACCTCGCCCCTCTCTACCCACACCCTAATGAACCTCGCCCCTCTCTACCCACACCCTGGTGAACCTCGCCCCTCTCTACCCATCACCCATAATCAGTGCTGCACCCACACTATTTCTAGTACACATGAGAAAACTGGTATACTAGACATTTATGTCACTGTTTCTAGAGGCGGCAGTGTTGACGTGGTGAGTAATGACTGGCAAGGCTTACAGGAGGCTCCGACAAGCTGATCCTAAGTTGCGTTCATGATCTAACAAGTGGTTATTGAACGTCAACACAGATAAGTGCACGATTAGGAGAATGACAAAAGAAATGCGGAGGAATAAACCTTAATGAAAGGGAGGAAGTCACCAGTAGTGAGGAGGGAAACATTAATCTTGAAGTAGCTACACGACTAGCTCAGACTACGTCGCCTCAGGGCGTCTTCAAGAACCTACAGAAGACAACGTTACATAGAGCATATGTTCGACTTGAGTATGCAGCACCGGCTTGTAGCCCCGCCTCAAAAAAGCACACAGCTATGACGGCTTGTGGTCACTGAATAACAACAGCAGCATCAGGATGCTGAAAGACATACAGCCACAGAGTCACATTCCTTTCCCTTCCCTCACCCTTTCCCCTTCCTTCCCTGCCCCCCGCCAGGTCCCCTGGCACTGTGCCACACTCCCCCAAGGCACTGTTTATGGCTATTTCCGGATGTTTAACCAAGGGCTGAATCTTCGGAGCGAGAGACAGCGGACACTGTCTCTCTCTCTTCCTTTGATTACCGGGTGCAGGGAGGACAGGTGAGGGGCGGTGAGGGGCGGTGATGGGGGGAAGAAACAGGTGGCTAAAAATCCACCATTGGTTACAGCAGTGATTCCATCACCGGATCCACCACTGGCTCCTCCTCACTTCATGCATCATCACACTAATTCATGCCAGTGTTAGTCGCCATCTCCTCATGTCAGCGGATGGTAAACAAATTATTTGTTTCTGCGCTTTCCTCGCTGTGTCTATTTCTCTTCCTCTCTCTCATGGGGCAGGGCTTACCTTCTCCTCTCTCTCTCTCTCATGGGGGCAGGGCTTACCTTCTCCTCTCTCTCTCATGGGGCAGGGCTTCCCTTCTCCTCCTCTCTCTCTCATGGGGGGCAGGGCTTCCCTTCTCCTCCTCTCTCATGGGGCAGGGCTTCCCTTCTCCTCTCTCTCTCTCTCTCTTCCCTTGTCGTCTCTCTCATGGGGCCAGAAGGTGGCAGTCTTAGTAACTCGGTATCTGTAATAAAGAAGACAATATATATAAAGGTCAGAAATATATCCAGATGTATTTGTGATACTCACGGTGGCAGAGAGAGCCGGATGTCCGCCACCGGCTGAGTGAGAGTGGTGGCAGAGAGAGCCGGATGTCCGCCACCGGCTGAGTGAGAGTGGTGGCAGAGAGAGCCGGATGTCCGCCACCGGCTGAGTGAGAGTGGTGGCAGAGAGAGCCGGATGTCCGCCACCGGCTGAGTGAGAGTGGTGGCAGAGAGAGCCGGATGTCCGCCACCGGCTGAGTGAGAGTGGTGGCAGAGAGAGCCGGATGTCCGCCACCGGCTGAGTGAGAGTGGTGGCAGAGAGAGCCGGATGTCCGCCACCGGCTGAGTGAGAGTGGTGGCAGAGAGAGCCGGATGTCCGCCACCGGCTGAGTGAGAGTGGTGGCAGAGAGAGCCGGATGTCCGCCACCGGCTGAGTGAGAGTGGTGGCAGAGAGAGCCGGATGTCCGCCACCGGCTGAGTGAGAGTGGTGGCAGAGAGAGCCGGATGTCCGCCACCGGCTGAGTGAGAGTGGTGGCAGAGAGAGCCGGATGTCCGCCACCGGCTGAGTGAGAGTGGTGGCAGAGAGAGCCGGATGTCCGCCACCGGCTGAGTGAGAGTGGTGGCAGAGAGAGCCGGATGTCCGCCACCGGCTGAGTGAGAGTGGTGGCAGAGAGAGCCGGATGTCCGCCACCGGCTGAGTGAGAGTGGTGGCAGAGAGAGCCGGATGTCCGCCACCGGCTGAGTGAGAGTGGTGGCAGAGAGAGCCGGATGTCCGCCACCGGCTGAGTGAGAGTGGTGGCAGAGAGAGCCGGATGTCCGCCACCGGCTGAGTGAGAGTGGTGGCAGAGAGAGCCGGATGTCCGCCACCGGCTGAGTGAGAGTGGTGGCAGAGAGAGCCGGATGTCCGCCACCGGCTGAGTGAGAGTGGTGGCAGAGAGAGCCGGATGTCCGCCACCGGCTGAGTGAGAGTGGTGGCAGAGAGAGCCGGATGTCCGCCACCGGCTGAGTGAGAGTGGTGGCAGAGAGAGCCGGATGTCCGCCACCGGCTGAGTGAGAGTGGTGGCAGAGAGAGCCGGATGTCCGCCACCGGCTGAGTGAGAGTGGTGGCAGAGAGAGCCGGATGTCCGCCACCGGCTGAGTGAGAGTGGTGGCAGAGAGAGCCGGATGTCCGCCACCGGCTGAGTGAGAGTGGTGGCAGAGAGAGCCGGATGTCCGCCACCGGCTGAGTGAGAATGGTGGCAGAGAGAGCCGGATGTCCGCCACCGGCTGAGTGAGAGTGGTGGCAGAGAGAGAGAGCCAACACCAGGTGAATAAGTTGATTATGTACCTGTGAGAGGCTGCCTGGCGACCTCCACTACACCTCAGAGCGCGACCCACGGCCACGCGCGCTCAGGCGGAGGGCGAGGGGGGAGGTGGCGGGAAATGTGGAGGTGTGTGTGTACAATGTGTAGTGTGTGTGTGGGACCGCGTACAGTGTGTGTGGTGCCGTGTACAGTGTGTGTGGGACCGTGTACAGTGTGTGGGACCGTGTACAGTGTGTATGGTGCCGTGTAGTGTGTGTGGGACCGTGTACAGTGTGTGTGGGACCGTGTACAGTGTGTGTGGTGCCGTGTAGTGTGTGTGGTGCCGTGTAGTGTGTGTGGGACCGTGTACAGTGTGTGGGACCGTGTACAGTGTGTGTGGTGCCGTGTAGTGTGTGTGGTGCCGTGTAGTGTGTGTGGTGCCGTGTAGTGTGTGTGGGACCGTGTACAGTGTGTGGGACCGTGTACAGTGTGTGTGGGACCGTGTACAGTGTGTGTGGTGCCGTGTAGTGTGTGTGGTGCCGTGTAGTGTGTGTGGGACCGTGTACAGTGTGTGGGACCGTGTACAGTGTGTGTGGTGCCGTGTAGTGTGTGTGGTGCCGTGTAGTGTGTGTGGTGCCGTGTAGTGTGTGTGGGACCGTGTACAGTGTGTGGGACCGTGTACAGTGTGTATGGTGCCGTGTAGTGTGTGTGGGACCGTGTACAGTGTGTGTGGTGCCGTGTAGTGTGTGTGGGGCCGTGTAGTGTGTGTGGGGCCGTGTACAGTGTGTGTTTGGGGCCGGCTAAGCCTCAACACAAACATTGTCCCTCTATTCCAGGCTTTTACTTAAATGGACTTCGGCGCCCAGAGAGTAACGGAGAGGGAAGTGTAGGGAGTGATGGAGAGAGAGGGAGGGAGGAGTGATGGAGGGAGAGTGATGGAGGGAGAGTGAAGGAGAAAGAGAGAGGAGGAGGACATGTCCCTGCTCTACCATCACCACTACGGACATGAATTCACAGCTTCTGCCACTATGATTGCTGGTTCGTTACTGCTCTTGTCTCGGGGCGCCCTCGCTCAACGCACTCCACCCCCAGCACTGTGTAGCTCAGAGGCCCTCGGGGGGAAGTGTCACAGCCCTACACCCTCGCTACACCTGGCATGGTACACCCTCAGCACACCTGGCATGGTACACCCTCAGCACACCTGGCATGGTACACCCCCGCCACACCTGGCATGGTACACCCCCACCACACCTGGCATGGTACACCCCCGCCACACCTGGCATGGTACACCCCGCTGTTACACACAAAGAACCGGTGCAGAGCCTTCACACCGGAAGAGCTGGCACTGTGCCGCTGTGGGAGAGGAATGTGAGAGAGCAGAGGAAGGAAGAGAGGAAGGAAGTAAGGAAGGAAGGAAGAAAGAAAAGATGTGATAGGCAGGAGAAGATGGTGTTAGGAAGGGATGCAATAGGCAGGGAACAAACAGCAGATAATAGCAACAAAAGATAAACGAACAGACTAGAAGACAGCATAGAGGAGATAAGACACACAAAGTAGAAATAGAACACAACAGTAATAACTCAAATGAATAACATGATCTGAGAATAGAACATTTCCGTGGGTATAGTGAGTAATAAGAACAGACAAGAACCAGTTGCAGGGCGTGGCACTCAATGGCATGATCTGGGGATAGACCATTTCCGTGGGTATAGCACAACATGGTACATGGTTCAAGTTGGTCTTCCTAACACCAACTTAAACATGAGAATAAAGTAAGATTATGTGTCAATTGTTCCCCCGTCATCTCTCAAGAGTCCCAGTGGTGGTGTCTATGTATCTATTTGTATTTCGAGCTTCAAGTTCCTGAAACTTGCACGAAAGTGCGTTTAAGGAACTTTATATATAATGGCCCTACGTACAGGAGTTGATTATAGGAGGTAGTGTGGTCCTTTTAAGGCTAGCCCAGTAGCGCTGATAATTGAGCTGAGTGGACATATAAATAGGAGAGTGTTAGCAGTAAACTTTACAGTAGCGACAGTCTGAACATCATTCAGGAACGTAAATAAAAAGGCATTTAGATCCACCGCCAATATGAGACCAATTTTTGAGTGTGCCGCCCCACCAGGGACCCTCCATATAAAAAATATAAAATCAAAAAGGTTCAGAAGCATAACAATATTTAGGGGATTGAAAGAGTGGGAAAAGAGGAAATGGTCGCAATGAATAGCCACAGAACAAGAGGGCATGGATGGTAGCTTGAGAAACAGACGCTCCACAGAGATGCTAGAGAACGTTCTTTTAGGGTAAGAGCAGTAGGAAAATGGAATGACCTAAAGGAACAGGTTGTAGAAGCGAACACCACTCATAACTTCAAACATAGATATGATAGGGAATTGAGTCAGGAGTCATTGCACTAGACAACCGGTGATCAGAAAGGTGGGGTCCAAGAACTGAAGTTTGATGTTGTGGGCACAAATACGTGAGTAGACACACAAATAAATATCTGCTTTGTTCTTGTATATTTCCCGTCCTCCTCCCTACTGTCAACAGGGGGGGGGGTGAGGTCGTCGACACACGCAGATGATGTGGTCGTCGACACACGCAGATGATGTGGTCGTCGACACACCCGGATGATGTGGTCGTCGACACACGCAGATGATGTGGTCGTCGACACACGCGGATGATGTTGTCGTCGACACACGCGGGTGATGTGGTCGTCGACACACCCGGATGATGTGGTCGTCGACACACGCAGATGATGTGGTCGTCGACACACGCGGATGATGTTGTCGTCGACACACGCGGATGATGTTGTCGTCGACACACGCGGGTGATGTGGTCGTCGACACACCCGGATGATGTGGTCGTCGACACACGCAGATGATGTGGTCGTCGACACACGCGGATGATGTGGTCGTCGACACACGCGGGTGATGTGGTCGTCGACACACCCGGATGATGTGGTCGTCGACACACCCGGATGACGTGGTCGTCGACACACGCGGATGATGTGGTCGTCGACACACACGGATGATGTGGTCATCGACAAACACTCTGATGATGTGGTCGTCGACACACACGGATGATGTGGTCGTCGACACACACTCTGATGTGGTCGTCTACACACTCGGATGATGTGGTCGTCGACACACTCGGGTGATGTGGTCGTCGACACACGCACATGATGTGGGTTACTTTAGCAACTAGACAAAAATATCCAACAGGAAACATGTGTCGAGATCAGAGAACTTGTCAAGGAAACACTACACTGAAAACTTGGCCTCGTGGCTGCTTGCCTCTCAACTAACTTTATTAAAGGAAGACAAGGAGCTGTCTCTTTACTTTCCTCCCCAGGCGAGTGTGGGGGGTTGAGGAGGGAGGAGGAGGGAGGAAAGGGGGATGTAGTGTGCGTGTGTGCGTGCGTGTGTGTTGTGGTGCACAGTCCTGGTGACGTCCCAAACCTATTCTCACACTCTTTTAACAGTATGTGATGAGGACTTAGCCTTCGGCTGAGGGGCGGATAGTCCTTGACCAGCTGATGTTCACGTGGACCCCCTTCTTCACTTCGGTCTTCAAGAAAGTCTCTCTCGAGTCTTTACTGTTGTCATAGATGATCTAGAGGTCTAGGTCCCGCCTCTCAACGCTTAATCGAGTGGAGTGTAGCCTACTGGGTTCTATCACATCTACATTCGAAGCTGTGTATGGAGTCTGCTTCCGTCACTTCACTTCTTAGCGCATTCTTATTGTTTACTACTCTCACGCTTCGCAAAATTCATTCTAATGTTTCTGTGTTTCATTTGGGTACTTAGTTTCCATCTGTGTCTCTTTGTTCTTGTTCCTCCTTGCTAAATAGTTTTTCCTTATCTGCCCTCTCTATTTTCCAGTGTTTTGTATGTGGTAATCATGTCTCCTCCTGTTTCTTCTGTCTCTCAGTGGTTTAACACCTGTTGTCTTTCCTTGTAGCTCATACCTGTCAAGTCTGGAACTAGTCTGGTGTGTGTGTATGTGTGTGTGTGTGTGTGTGTGTGTGTGTGTGTGTGTGTGTGTGTGTGTGTGTGTGTGTGTGTGTGTGTGTGTGTGTGTGTGTGTGTGTGTGTGTGTGTGTGTGAGGCTGACCTTGAGGATGTCAAAAGAAAAACGAGTATATTCACCTGTGTCAACAATAGAGTATACGAGTATACAGCAAAATATATTTCCCTCACTAACAGTTGCATTTACCGACCCAAATAAATTTGTCAGAGGCTATTTGGCAGCCAGACTGTTTTGTACAGGAGGTGAGTGTGTTGTACAGGAGGTGGTGGGTGTGTTGTACAGGAGGTGGTGTTTTGTACAGGAGGTGGTGTGTTGTACAGGAGGTGGTGTGTTGTACAGGAGGTGGTGTGTTGTACAGGAGGTGGTGCAGGGTGTGTTGTACAGGAGGTGAGTGTGTTGTACAGGAGGTGGTGAGTGTGTTGTACAGGAGGTGAGTGTGTTGTACAGGAGGTGGTGAGTGTGTTGTACAGGAGGTGAGTGTGTTGTACAGGAGGTGGTGGTGTTGTACAGGAGGTGGTGGTGTGTTGTACAGGAGGTGGTGAGTGTGTTGTACAGGAGGTGGTGAGTGTGTTGTACAGGAGGTGAGTGTGTTGTACAGGAGGTGGTGGGTGTTGTACAGGAGGTGGTGGGTGTGTTGTACAGGAGGTGGTGAGTGTGTTGTACAGGAGGTGGTGAGTGTGTTGTACAGGAGGTGAGTGTGTTGTACAGGAGGTGGTGGGTGTGTTGTACAGGAGGTGGTGGGTGTTGTACAGGAGGTGGTGGGTGTGTTGTACAGGAGGTGGTGGGTGTGTTGTACAGGAGGTGGTGGGTGTGTTGTACAGGAGGTGGTGTGTTGTACAGGAGGTGGTGGGTGTGTTGTACAGGAGGTGGTGGGTGTTGTACAGGAGGTGGTGAGTGTGTTGTACAGGAGGTGAGTGTGTTGTACAGGAGGTGGTGGGTGTTGTACAGGAGGTGGTGGGTGTGTTGTACAGGAGGTGGTGGGTGTTGTACAGGAGGTGGTGGGTGTGTTGTACAGGAGGTGGTGGGTGTTGTACAGGAGGTGGTGGGTGTGTTGTACAGGAGGTGGTTGGTGTGTTGTACAGGAGGTGGTGGGTGTGTTGTACAGGAGGTGGTGTGTTGTACAGGAGGTGGTGTGTTGTACAGGAGGTGGTGTGTTGTACAGGAGGTGGTGCAGGGTGTGTTGTACAGGAGGTGGTGGGTGTGTTGTACAGGAGGTGGTGGGTGTGTTGTACAGGAGGTGGTGGGTGTGTTGTACAGGAGGTGGTGGGTGTGTTGTACAGGAGGTGGTGGGTGTGTTGTACAGGAGGTGGGTGTTGGAGTGACTGGGGGAAGACCAGTACTTCCACATGGAGGACTACAGGTGTGGGAGGGTGTGTGGAAGGGTAGGATAAGAAAGATAGGAGACAACCGCACACACATATACCCCACCCTTCCCACTCAGCCTACTCCCCCTCCCCCCGCCCTCTACACCCACCTACACCCAGTGTTTCCCCGAGGAAGGTGTAATTAAGGGTCGCGAGCTAGCCGGAGCGAGCGGGTCCGCCAGTGACAGTTCAGGGCGACAGAGTAAGACAGGGCTCATCGTCTATATTAAACTCTCGCCTCTCAATATATACCATACAGGAAGGTGTGGGGGCGGTGGGCGTCCCCGTGGTGCCTGGGGGTGTGGGGGCGGTGGGCGTCCCCGTGGTGCCTGGGGGTGTGGGGGCGGTGGGCGTCCCCGTGGTGCCTGGGGGTGTGGGGGCGGTGGGCGTCCCGTGGTGCCTGGGGGTGTGGGGGCGGTGGGCGTCTCCGTGGTGCCTGGGGGTGTGGGGGCGGTGGGCGTCCCCGTGGTGAATAGGGTGTGTGGGCGGTGGGCGTCCCCGTGGTGAATAGGGTGTGTGGGCGGTGGGCGTCCCCGTGGTGAATAGGGTGTGTGGGCGGTGGGCGTCCCCGTGGTGAATAGGGTGTGTGGGCGGTGGGCGTCCCTGTACCCACCACAGATGACACCAGTCGTGGGGTCCGCCACCCACCAATGGGTCCACATATACCTTCACATTCCTGCACCTGCCTCGCTACATAGAGACGGATAAGAAAGTACCTAAGTGTACCACGCTAAGTGTAGTGTACCACGCTAAGTGTAGTGTACCACGCTAAGTGTAGTGTACCACGCTAAGTGTAGTGTACCACACTCTGCTACACACCCACACCTGTGGTATGTAAACGTCACAGAAATGTGCTCTGTATATAAATGTGGTTTTTAAACCCAGTTTTACACCATATGACTCACAGGCTATAGCTCCTTGCCACAGACGACGGCGCCTCTCCTCTCAACACAACACTTTACCAACATCTCAGCCACTTGTTACCTACATAACCACGAAGATAAGTAATCTGGTAAGTAATACATATTAGACGTTTTAGTAAGCTGACTTCAGTAAGCTGACTTCAGTATGCTGACTTCAGTATGGTGACTTTTCCCTTATCTGAAATGCACCCAAATTTAATCAGCAACAAAGGTTAAAAAATAGTTTAAATTTCATGACATTTGTGGCAGTGGTTCAAGCGGTCATCCCAGAGGTAAACTCCGCCTTCATTTGCATTTACAATTGCAAGAAACTTGAATGTAATTAAAAACTCAGCTCTTCCAATATAAAGTTTTTTCTTAAATCATTTGATTCACGAAGTTTTTTTTAACACTGGAGCATATAATGCCATTGGCCCACCACCCACAAAATAGGCAGGAGAACCAGGGTGAAGTGTGAGTGTGTGCTGGTAAGCAGAGCTTGGGGTGGGGGTCATCCCTGAACCCCTCCGCACCTCACACTCGCACTCTCATCCACACCCCTACTATCGGGAATGGTATCCGGGGTATGGTACTCAGGGAATGGTACCATCACCATCTTTATCTAAGACACTTCATCTAGGAGAGAAAATAGAACAAAAGCACATAAGAGAAGTCTGTAAACGTAAGTGAGTTATAGACACGTAAGGAAATACTTTGACCTTGTACGGGTGGTCAGCGCGGGGGGGGGGTCATTGAGGGAGGAGGTAGTGGAAGCCACCTCCAGCCTCAGCTCTGAGGCCAGAGTCCACAGAGAATAAGAACGTCAGAACAGTTAAGCTTTAACACAACAGGAACAACGCGGCCAGTTGACGGGGCCTAGAGAGCTGAACCTCACTCTCTTGTTGTTACTGTTAGGTAAGTACAGGAGCCGAACCCCTCCACCACAACCACCCCACCACCCCCACCACCACCACACCACCACCACACCACCACCATCACCACACCACCACCACACCACTTACTCCACCACACCACCACCCCCACCATCACACCACCATCACCACACCACCACCACACCACTTACTCCACCACCCACCACCACCCCCACCATCACACCCCACCACCATCACCACACCACCACCACACCACTTACTCCACCACCCCCACCATCACACCCCCACCACCACACCACCACCACCACACCACCACCTGGACCGTAGACATTCAGCAGTGCTGCCAGCGCCGTCACCGGGACCCGACGCGCCCAGCGGGGCTCGCCACCCTCACTCGCTCTCAGCTACGCTCCCTCCCAACGCCCCCGTCATCATAGCAATTATATCCGCCGTCCCTCATCATTATAAATGTTACGAGGGACTACACACACAGAACAGTGACTGTCATTATCACCTCTAAACTACCATTTAATGCTTGGAGTGGCTGACTGTGCCTTGTTTACAGGCCAGAGACGAGACACTTAAGTGAGAGAAGTCAGAGGGGGTGAGTAGACGACTGTGAAAACAGCAGTAGTAGTGTTGAGGGCACCGTGTTCTGGGGTCAGGCACTGTGTCGGGGCACCGTGTCCTGGGGGTCAGGTGGAGTGCCAGGCACTGTGTCAGGGCACCGTATTCTGGGGGTCAGGTGGAGTGCCAGGTACTGTGTCAGGCCACCGTATTCTGGGGGTCAGGTGGAGTGCCAGGCACTGTGTTCAGGGCACCGTGTTCTGGGGGGGTCAGGTGGAGTGTCAGGCACTGTGTCAGAGGGTCACCACGCCGGCCACCACACATCACCCACGCTAACAAGGTAAGTCCACCTGGGCACCTCAGCGCCAGTAACCACTGAGCTATTTCATGTCTTGTTACTCCGAGTTATAATCTTGGCGACGCTAGTGACAGGACCATTACTGGCTTGTCTTCCTTAGGTCTTAGCTGTGTCTTGTGTGTTATGAACCCCACTGTCACCCCCCTCGCCCCCCCAGCCCCGTGGGTCAGGGAGTGTTGCCGAGGGAGGGAGGGAGCTGCTCAAGGGAGGGAGCTGCCCAAGGGAGGGAGCTGCCCAAGGGAGGGAGCTGCCTAAGGGAGGGAGCTGCCCGAGGGAGGGAGCTGCCCGAGGGAGGGAGCTGCCTGAGGGAGGGAGCTGCCTGAGGAGGGAGCTGCCTGAGGGAGGGAGCTGCCCGAGGGAGGGAGCTGCTCGAGGGAGGAAGCTTGTACATGTCAATATTTGCAGACGACACAAAGCTATTGAGACTTGTAAAAACCAAGAACTGCAGAAGGTTACTTGCCTAACTCCAACAATGGGTAAACAAATGGTTGCTAGAATTCAATCCCAGCAAGTGTGAGGTAACGAAGATGGGCAACGGAGAAAAGAAGCTAAAGGGTATATACATCACAAGTGGGAAGGCACCTACAGGGAATGGGGAAAGAAAAGGATTTGGGAGTGGATATAATTCCAACAATGTCTACAGAGACACACACACAGGCAGGGTAACATCGGCAGCATATGTGACGCTGGCAAACATTAGAGCGACGTTTAGAGGCCTGAATCAGGGCTTCTTCAAGGCACTCTACACAGCCTTTGATAGAGTAATATTGGAATTCGCATCTTATGAAGCTTAAAAATACAATTAAAAAAAAAGGGTTTGAAGCAAGATTGGGACCAGAGACACGAGGCTTAAGCTATATGGACTGGTTGAGGGAATAAAACAGGTCCTGACAGCCGAGTAGACAGTGCTCGGGAGTTGTAGCCCAAAATACCCAGGTACGATTCTCGGCTGCAGGCAAAAACAAATGAGCAGATAACACAAGGAACTCTTAACAACGTCCATATCTACGAGGAAGACCACTGGCGCCGGACTGGGAGGGAACCAGCGGGTAGCAGCCCCGGACACGAGCCTTAACCGTCCTCCACAATATGGTATAAATCATCACAATCGACTTGAGCATGGTCCAGGACGGACCGAAACGTCGTCGTCGTCCCTTCACCTTCAAGTGTTGTGGTCTGGTCAACATACTTCAGCCACGTTATTGTGACTCCTCGCCTGCACATGGTATAGCTCATGTAATCTGGGATCCTGGGGACCCACTAGGCGTCTGGCGGCACCCAGCTGCTACCCAGCGCAAGCTTTTTAGATATATAACCAGTTTATAATCTTTAGCATATGGTGGGCCATGGATCAAGGCGTGTGTCTGTGAGGTTTCCTGGGCGCTGTCTCCGTCCCCCCCAGTTCTGCTCTAATGGTTTCTCAAATGGGCAGGGTTTCTTTCGGCTAATGGTCCTATTCACTTAACAGTAAATAGGTACGTGGGAATTAGACAGCTGCTACAAGCTGCTTCATGAGTGTGTGTGTGTGTGTGTGTGTATGAATATTAAATAGAAGAAAATAGGTCAGGAGTAAGTACATTAGACAACCGACGGTTAGAAAGGAGGAGTTCAATAGCTAACAGCTCGATCCCGCAGCGCAAATATAGTAAACACACACACACACCACACACACACACACACACACACACACACACACACACACACACACACACACACACACACACACACACACACAGTAACTAGGTACGTCAGTACATCATCTGTACATCAGTTGATTGACGGTTTAGAGGCGGGACCAAAGAGCCAGAGCTCAACCCCCGCAAGCACAACTAAGCAAGTAACTAGGTAAGTCCACACACACCACACACACACACACAACACACACACACTACACACACACACCACACACACACACAACACACCCCACACACACACACACACACACACACACTCAAATGTCTCTGAATATTTATCACAAAGTTTCCAGGTCACAAAACTTGGGCTCCGGGAGAGGACTCAACTCGCCAAACATTGATAGCAAAAAAGTTGATGTTAAGCAGTGTTCCGTAAGAGACTGTAATGAGCTTAGTCGCCTGTGTGTGTGTGTGTAGTGATGTAGCCGTGAGGCGGGCACTGCTGTCTGTCCTGCTAGACACCCGTCACTGCTGTCTACCCTCTCGGACACCCGTCACTGCTGTCTACCCTCCCGGACACCCGGTCACTACCATCCTCTGAACCCTTCTGTCCAGAGGGAGACAGACGGACAGGGAGACCAATGGACAGGGAGACCGAGAGACACAAATAATTCTCCTTTCAAACTGGAGTCACCTCCTGCTGCCCATCCTAATGGGGATTCCACTCTTCGTCTCCTTCATGCTGCTGCTGCTCCTCATATGATCGTAAGAATGTGAGAGGAGAGGAAGGGAGAAGGGGAGAAGAAGAGCGAGAGAGGATAAGGGCCGTTTGCGTCATCATAGTCGTGTTGCTGACAGGTCGTGTTAGCGTCAACCATCCTGTCTCGTGTGTGTGTGTGTGTACTAGTAGGATACCCAGCGCCGCCCGGGGCCTGTCTCTCTCTCTCTCTCTCTCTCTCTCTCTCTCTCTCTCTCTCTCCATCTCTCTCTCTCTCTCTCTCTCTCTCTCGTCGTCTCTCTCTCTCTCAGCTCTCTATCTCTCTTCTCTCTCTCCCTCTCTCATGCCGCCATCTCGTCTCTCTCTCTCTCTCTCTCGTCTCTCCATCCGTCTCTCTCTCGTCTCTCTCTCTCTCCTCTTTTCCCCACGGAAGTGTTACAAACATCCTGGTGACCACACCAAGGCTGGAAGTATGTGGAACTTAGCTCAGAAACAAATTCTTAGGTAAGGTGGGACAGTTGACGGGTGAGACAGTTGACGGGTGAGACAGTTGACGGGTGAGACAGTTGACTGGTGAGACAGTTGACGGGTGACAGTTGACGGGTGACAGTTGACGGGTGTTGGACAGTTGACGGGTGTGGAACAGTTGACGGGTGTGTGACAATTGACGGGTGTGTGACAGTTGACGGTGTGTGACAATTGACGGGTGTGTGTGACAGTTGACGGGTATTGTACCAAAAACAATGATGTTTACCAAATAGTCTTAACAAACAGCTAGCAAGTACCAAGAAAAACAAGAAGCGAACGTTACCATTGTGAGTTAAAAATGCGACAAACCAGTTATTTACTTGCTCTGGCCTGTTATTCATGGTTCCCTGATTACCACAATTAACGCACAAATGATTCAAATTGTGTTTACAGAGAGACTCTGAATGCTGAAAATGCATTTAATCAAATTGTATTCGTAATTATTTTTGTCTGTGTGTGTGTGTGTATCTTTACCGGCCGCCAGCCCGGGCACAGCGGGGGCCCTTTGGCGGGACGCCAGCCTGTTGACGGCTCCCCATTCACATACACACACACACATCCCCGAGGTCTGGGGGTATGGTACCTCTTCGTGGTCTGGGTATGGGGTAAGGGGGTGTTGTACCCCCTGTGGTCTGGGTATGTGGGTGTAGAATATCCTCCTGGTCTGGGTATGGGGTAATGGGGGTGTTGTACCCCCCTGTGGTCTGGGTATGTGGGTGTAGAATATCCTCCTGGTCTGGGTATGGGGTAATGGGGGTGTTGTACCCCCTGTGGTCTGGGTATGTGGGTGTAGAATATCCTCCTGGTCTGGGTATGGGGTAATGGGGGTGTTGTACCCCCTGTGGTCTGGGTATGTGGGTGTAAAATATCCTCCTGGTCTGGGTATGGGGTAGAGGGTGTAGAACATATCCGTGGTCTGGGTATGGGGGTAGTGGGTGTTGAACATCCCTGTGGTCTGGGTACGGAGTATAGTTCATCTCTGTGGTCTGGAAAGAATAGTTCATCCCTGTGGTCTGGAAAGAATAGTTCACCTCTGTGGTCTGGAAAGAGATAGATCGCTACATTTTGCAGCTTCATAGACAAAAGAAAAGCTAAACTCAGTATCGACAGCTACTTGGGTGACAAATTAGAATTGAAAAGAGGAGCGCTCCAAGTAGGCTGCCAGTCACCCAAAACAGTTTTCAACTTTTATGCAGCTGAATTGGCGCCTCAACACGCGGAGAATAGCCTACACACGCTGGCGGCGTAACTCAAATAGTCTGACAAACAGAACGATCAAATTCGTTAGTGGCCAACAAAACCAAGTCAGCAATTGAATTCATAAACAGCTTATAAAAACAATTGAAAATAAGTACCGACAGTCCGGTCGCATCTTTAATGTCCTCCAGTACCACTATAAACCTTAAAGACGACTAACATGTACAAACTATCAGAAGTGTAAAGGCGCTCAGGAGAGCTGCAAAACACCGTCCACCATATGACCAGACAATCCAGGAGCTCCAGGAACTCCTGAACACACAACCACTGAACATCAGACTACAGCACCAAGCCTCCAGGGTGTGGCACGCCATCCTAATGTTAGAAGACCTAATGTTAGAAACATTACTCAATGATGAGACGCCCCGCTCCCACAGCTGGTGGCCCAAGATGAGACGCCCCACTCCCACAGCTGGTGGCCCAAGATGAGCGCCCCACTCCCACAGCTGGTGGCCCAAGATGAGACTCCCCGCTCCCTCAGCTGGTGGCCCAAGATGAGTACGCCCCGCTCCCACAGCTGGTGGCCCAAGATGAGACGCCCCGCTCCCCTCACTTTGGTGGCCCAAGATGAGACCCACATCCCACAGCTGGTGGCCCAAGATGAGACGCCCCAATCCCACAGCTGGTGGCCCAAGATGAGACGCCCCCACTCGCCACATCTGGTGGCCCAAGATGAGACCGCCCCCCACTCCCACAGCCTGGTGACCCTAGATGAGACGCCCCACTCCCACAGCTGGTGACCCAAGATGAGAGAAATACAAATAATAATACACACACACACACACACACACACACAACACACACCACCACACACACACACACACACACACCACACACACACACAC